TCGCAGGTTTGGGTTGGGGTTGTACATAGAGTCGGGTTTGGTGAGATAGAATAATGGCTGGCTCTCCAAACTCCCTCCAAAACAACTGAACCTCTCCTCTCTGCTCCGGTTGCAATCTCATGCCTCTATCCATGTGGGTGATTAGGCTTCGCAAACATCCCGCAACACACATACGACTCACAATAGGCGCAACACACTCACACACAACAGATCGCGCTCACACACTTTCTAAGTTGTAGCACAGTGTGTTTCAAATTCAACAAGAAATTGCATCCACCGTCTCTGCTGTTAGTCTTTACCTCACAATAAAGACTATTTGGCCCATAGTGTGTGTGTTGATGTGTTGTGTTTGTGTGCTGTTGTGTGGGTACTTTGTTTGTGGTCGGTTACAGAGCTGTATTATGCAGTGTCTTAAGTGTGTGAGTAATTGCATTTTGTGTGGATGTGTGTGTGTGTGTGCAGATTGTTGTTTGGGATGTAGGGATGTCCTGTGTGGGTAGCCCGGGCTTCATAGATTATATTAGTGTATGCTGGTCGTGCATGTGTGTATGTTGTTGTTGGTTTCATCTTCATCCATAGATCTTGAAAAGGGAGTTGATATGTTTACGTGGGTTGCATTTGCTGTTTGTTGGCTCTTCGCCTTGACTCCGAACGGTGAACATGGTCATAATTCATTACAAAAGGTCCAAAGTTATAAAGTTATGAAGTTATAAATTATAAAGTTAAATATAAAGTACTGAATCAACGCGTGATGCGGAATGATTGAGACATTTATATAACACGTCTGACTTTGTTCTCTCCTCGAGCTCTGGATGCAAAGCATGTTAAACTGTGCAGGCCCGGTGCAAACTTGATTCGCTGAATCTGTCGTTGCAAATGAACAACTTTGAAAACCCCTCCACGACGACTGCTTGTTGATTTAGCGTACAAAAACACATAGACTGAAGCCTTAGAGTGAAACATAGTGATCTAATCTTTATGAACAGACTCAAAAGTAGATGTTTTTGTGGAACCTTCAGAAAATGCAGAATAAATATAAAATAATTCACTTTTGCTTCAATATATAAATGATTAATATCCAAAACACTAAAGTCACATTTCAAAACTCAAATGCTTTACGATATGTGTCAGGATTAGTTATGCATTCTTCTTATTTAGACAATTAAAAAAAATGTCCTCCATATCACCGTGTATTTTTTCGGATATAGTTAAATAAATTACATTTGCTCATTCTGGCCAACACTGTCGTCTGCATCGGGCCGTTAGAATCATAGGTGTCAAAGTCGAAGCCCGGAGCCAGATCCGGGCCGCGAATGGATGACCTTGGGCCCCGGTTGAGCTTATGGATTCGTGGGCAAGAGCATGTGGTGTGTGCCGTCCGTTCGCGTCTGGATGCACACTGGGGCTGTCTTGCAGCGAGTTTTTCCCATCGGGTTTTAACTGCACCTGGCAAATAAATTCTTGAAATTAAATAAATTCCTGGAATCTAGTCTGCGAACCATAAGCAATGGCTCAGGCCGGTAGATCTAGCATCCGGAGTGAGATTTGCTCTTGTAACGGATAGTTTGTGATTTGTCTAGACTTACCCTAAGCATTGGATATTATCATTTTTAATTCTTAATTTAAAATATAATATAATTCACAGTGTTAGGGTAGGTTCAACAGGTAATAATACAATCATTATTACAGCTGCACTAACTCACTTTGATCGTCCTGAGTTAGATTAATGTTATATAGTTCAGTTTAGTGGTTTGAAAGTTCAGACCCCCCAGCTTTAATATCTGATTCTGGTACTTTAAGAAGAAGGCTGTGGTTTATAATTATTTGCCAGATCTTAAATTACTTTATTTTTTTTCCTATTCTTAACAACTCATTGACTGCCATAGACGTATTTGCCTGAGACCCTTTATTTGACTGGGGATTACAGGACCATAAAAAGAGCTGGAATAAACTGATTTTGTGCTATGCAAGTAGACAATGCCTGTTTTTCAGAATCTCATAGTTCACATATAAAATCTATCTTGAGAATCAGTGTGAAATCATCAAAACAGTAAAACTAGGACAACAGAAAGAGTCCTCACATCATTCTGTGGCGTGTAGAGGAAGAGCCTGTAGAGCCCACTGTGTGTATGCTGAGCGCTGATTGGCTGAGAGAGGGTGGTCCTCTTTTTCATTTTAAGCTTGCAGTCTCCTAAGAAGTGTACGACGTATTTCATTCTATTATTCAGTTTATTTGGTGTATAGCCGACTCAAACGAAGTAACTGCAAAAAAAGTGGTGAAAAATAAGTCAAAAATTGCTCAAATTTGGCAAAATGTATGTATCTTAATCTGACATTCTGACTTCTTCTGACGGGATGAAGCCATTTAGTCTTATAAACTGTTGTGTTATTTTTTCTTTCCAAGGAAGACATTTCTGTATCTTTTTAAACAGGATCATTTTGCTTTGTCCCGTTGGTAATTCATGTTTTAAAGCTCAGTCAGAATGTGTCAGATTAAGATACATTTTGCCAAATTTGAGAATTTTTTGACTTGATTTTTCATCTCTTTTTGCAGTGAATCTCAGAGGATGTTAAAAAGTTGTAGATTCGCCAACACAGATCAGAGAATGAAAGAGTTCAAAAACAAGAAATTCCGAAAGACTCCAGGAGTCATTGGTTATAAACGCGGATGTCTAATGTCCATAAAGGTAAATAAATATCCACGAATTTCCCTAAAAGTCCTGGACCATCCCCACTCTCCTCGTTTATACTCAATATCTGTAGTTTTAAAAGTACTGCAGCTTTAAGGATGAATAAAAACTCTTTGCCTCAGACATACCTGGATGCATTGCTGAAAAACTCGACCGAATAACCGAAATAACTCCCGGGCGGTCTCGGTAGACCGGCTCTGCTCCGTGTACCGGTTGAAGCAGGCGCAGATGTGGAGGACAGCAGCAGGAGCCGCAGCAGGAGCGCAGTAGGAGCTCAGCAGGAGCGGGGGCACTAGACGCGCCAGGGACAGTCCAGGGCGCTGAGCATGTCTCCGTGTCTGCGGGGATTGTGGCGGTGAAGAGCGGCCGCGCAAGAGACATCATCCGGGCCCAAGAGCGCACGACGGGCCCCGAGTCCTGGACATCAGTGACGGACTCTGCTGCGCGGGTCCCGGGGCAGAGAGAGGGATGGAAACTCCGCTCTGAGGAGAGGGAGGGAGGGGAGGAAGAGGAGGCGAGAGAGAGAGGGGGGGAGAGGAGGGAGGGAGAGAGGGGGGAGAAGGGGAGGAGGAGAGAGAGAGCGAGAGGGGGGGAGAGAGCGAGAGAGAGAGCGGACGGGAGAAGTTAGAGAGAGCGAGAGAGGAGACAGGGGGAGAGGGAGAGAGAGAGAGTGGCGAGGAGAGCAGAGAGGGAGGACGGGAAGGGGGAGAGGAAGAGAGAGAGAGAGAGAGGAGAGGAGGAGAGAGAGAGAGAGAGAGATAGAGAGAGGGAGGAGACAGGGGGAGGGAGAGGGAGTGGAGAAGTTTGGAGGGGTGGAGCTACGTGGTTATTGTGTGTTTGAAAAGTTATTGATCAGATTCAGGTCCACACACAGATCGTTTCATTTCATTTTAACCTGTTTGAGTGTAGGCTGCATCATGTGATAAAATGTATTGATGAAGAAAAATATTGACAGAAGAGAAGAAGAGGGAAACCTTAAGAGATCCAATGTAATAAAATAAAACATGATATTAGCAATGTGGAAGTATTTATTTTGTAAATGGCCTGTAAAGCCATAAATAAAAATATCTCTTTGTCTCTTTGGGTGAGAGTTTATATCAGGAATTAGGCTCATGTTTTGAGTTGAATGAGTCACAGTTTAGAGATTTTAAACTTGCTTCTTTATCATGCTAAAGTTACAGATTTTATTGTATATTTTTATATAGAGATATGGTTCATTCCTCTTGTGCTGTGTTCTCCTCACTCCTACTGTCCTGTTTCTGCAAATGCAACACTGACATTTCCCCGCTGTGGAATGAACAAAGTATCTTTTCATCTTAATCTTAATCACAGAAATAAATTAACTTTTGACAATGTTATTTTTTACGACAGCACCTTTTCAACAACAGCAGCGGCTCAAAGTTCTTCACATGCACAAGAGAAAGAAAAAGTAGAGATAAAACACAGACATACAGCAACACTTTAGAACAATATCCCTAATTTCAGAGTAAAAAAATAACACACATATTGTTGGTAATGTTTGTTTCACACATCCTGATTCCTGATAAAGCAGCCCTATTGTCAATATTTTGTGAAGTGAATATAAACTTTAATTCAGCTTTGGTGTCAGTGTGATATTCGCCATATTAGCCCAATGTGGTGTGTTTTAACGTCTACCTGCAGTTCCTTGTAGCACCAGAGGGGGGCAGAAGAACAACAGAACCAGTATGAACGCTGTCTCTATCTGTGGTATGAAGTAGTATTTTTATTAGCAGGTGAGGCCACTTTTAAAGAGGCCAAGTCCTGCAGTACCCGGGCCCTCTCTCCCCCGGGTCGCTCCCCTCCTTCTGGGTCACATCCCCAGGAGCTCGCACCCGTAAGTCCACCTGCACAGGGACGCGAGGCGGGATTCTCTGGCAATAAGACCAGACCAGGGACAAGGGGCCGTACGACAGGAAGTATATTTCTCCTTTTACTGAATTATTATTGTTTTTTTACTCTTTAGGCGCCAAAGAAGCTCATTAAAACAGAAACCTGGCTTCGCACAAACATCTCACAACACGTTTCTTACACATTTTCATTCATTTATTTCTTCTATTTCCATTCTAATGCTCCTCTCTCTCTTATGCAGTTTCAGGGCTCCACACTTCCTTTGTTTTATGGTAAATTTCTGAACAACGCTAGCATTTTAAGGGCTAAAAAAGAAGATTACTCATAAACTCCACTCAGAAAATCCACCCACAACATAAAATACATTAAAAAAAAAATGCATACAGTTCCCAAAAAGTTTGTATTTAAAGCATTTAGAAGAAAACACAGTTGGAGTCTCAATTAAACGGTCTTGAAAAGGTCCGAGACGATGTAGTCGCTTGCGTCTCCGTCGATGAGGCCTGTGGCGTTGTTGTGTATGAACCAGCAGGGGATCTTCTCTCCAGTCTCCATATTATTCCTAAAGTCTCGCTGCCAGCCTCTGAAATGCAATATGTTTTTTATTCAGTTCAAATCAAATGAGATAATAACAAGCACATAAGGGCTTGGATAAAGGCTGTAGACCCAGGACTGAGGCTGTAGACCCAGGACTGAGGCTGTAGATCCAGGACTGAGGCTGTAGGTCCAGGACTGAGGCTGTAGACCCAGGACTGAGGTTGTAGACCCAGGACTGAGGCTGTAGACCCAGGACTGAGGTTGTAGACCCAGGACTGAGGTTGTAGACCCAGGACTGAGGCTGTAGACCCAGGACGGAGGCTGTAGACCCAGGACTGAGGCTGTAGACCCAGGACTGAGGCTGTAGACCCAGGACTGAGGCTATAGACCCAGGACTGAGGCTGTAGATCCAGGACTGAGGCTGTAGATCCAGGACGGAGGCTGTAGATCCAGGACGGAGACCTAAGATCCAGGACTGAGACTGTAGACCCAGGACTGAGGCTGTAGACCCAGGACTGAGGCTGTAGACCCAGGACTGAGGCTGTAGATCCAGGACGGAGGCTGTAGATCCGAGGCTGTAGATCCAGGACTGAGGCTGTAGACCCAGGACTGAGGCTGTAGACCCAGGACTGAGGCTGTAGACCCAGGACTGAGGCTGTAGATCCAGGACGGAGGCTGTAGACCCAGGACTGAGGCTGTAGACCCAGGACTGAGGCTGTAGACCCAGGACTGAGGCTGTAGACCCAGGACTGAGGCTGTAGACCCAGGACTGAGGCTGTAGATGAGTGCAGATGGTGTAGTGCGTGTCGTACCTGGTCACATTCAGCTGTTGTCCTTTCACAAACATGGTGGCGTCTGGTTTTTCAGGAGTTTCCCCTGGACGCATGTCGGACACTTCGAAATCAATCCGGTGATAAAACTGACCTGAGGTAAACAGAGAAGAAGATGTGTTTAACTGAAACACTGGTCAGCACTGGTCAGCAGCATGGCCGGCCCCAAACCCAGAAAGCAGACTGCATTATCATCATAATAAGTCCAGTTCTCAAGTCTCTGTCCTGCGGCTCAGAGAATCGACTGTTAGTGACGTATGAACCAACTCTGACTCTCGGATTGCGTTGAAATGTGAATCAGACCAGGTGTGGCCCCGGGTCTACGTAAAACCATTTTGAGAGATGGAACTAGTTACATGGATTTTTTACATAGTTCAATTTTCTGTGGTTTCAAACATAGGTTTAAAACTAAAAACTTCAGTGCTCTAGCCCTAAATCTCAACAGTAGCTACACTGCAAAAAGTTATGAAAAATAAGTCAAAATTGCTCAAAAATGTATCTTCATTTGAGCACATTGTGACTGCCTTAAAATGTGATTTACTGATGGGACAAAGCAAAATGATTTGGAATGAGAAGATAAAGCAACCATTGGAGAATCTTGTGTTAACACAGTCATAATGTGCTCAAAATAAGGTAAAAATAACTCTATTCAATCATTTATTACCTCATATCGTATCATTTCTCAGTCCCAGTGAAGTGAGTCCCTAAAGCACTCTGTTTGGGGCTCTCTGGGGACTAGGGCCTGTCGTACTCGTCACACACATCAATCATTTATAATAATTACCCAAAAGGCCGTGGACGCCCGGGGACAGGAGGTGGCTGTCTAAAGTGTAGAAGCCGAGGTAGTCCCTGTGATACGGGTGCTTCTTCCACACTCTGTGCAGCAGGACCACAAACTTCACCGAGTCTTTCAGGGTCACTGTTAACACGCTGTGTTTTTTCACATTTAAGTCCAGTCTGTGGAGAGAAAAGACAAGATTAATACCATAGAGACGCACAATGAAGCACAGGGACTGGCCTCCTGCTGGGACTCTGAGGAGCACAGGGACTGGCCTCCTGCTGGGACTCTGAGGAGCAAAGGGACTGGCCTCCTGCTGGGACTCTGAGGAGCACAGGGACTGGCCTCCTGCTGGGACTCTGAGGAGCACAGGGACTGGCCTCCTGCTGGTCCCAGAGTCAGGACTAAACATGAGCAGGCTGCATTTCAGCATAACCTGGAACAGTCTTCCCAAAAATGTGAGACAGGCTTCTTCTCTGACAACGTTCAAATCCAGGTTAAAAACAGGTCAGCTGTGCTGCAAATGAAGCTTGAGCGTAAATTCAGACTGGGACGACCTCTGCTGCAGCTCGCACCCCGTCCAGGGCCAGCCTCTCAAGCCTCAACCAATCACAGCTCTGCCAGCCTCAGCCAATCACTGACAGCAAAGCGGGCAGTTTAAAAGGCAGCCACTTCCTACTAACCAACGCTCCTCAAAGCTCTTGACACTCACCGCCTCCCTAGCACCTCCTCGAGCTCCTGCTCTGGCTCCTGCTCTAGCTCCTGCTCTGGCTCCTGCTCTGGCTCCTGCTCTGGCTCCTGCTCTGGCTCCTGCTCTGGCTCCTGCTCTGGCTCCCGCTCTGGCTCCTGCTCTGGCTCCTGCTCTGGCTCCTGCTCTGGCTCCTGCCCTGGCTCCTGCTCTGGCTCCTGCTCTAGCTCCTGCCCTGGCTCCTGCTCTGGCTCCTGCTCTGGCTCCTGCTCTGGCTCCTGCTCTGGCTCCTGCTCTGGCTCCTGCTCTGGCTCCTGCACTGGCTCCTGCTCTGGCTCCCGCTCTGCCTCCCGCTCTGGCTCCAGCTCTGGCTCCTGCTCTAGCTCCTGCTCTGGCTCCTGCTCTGGCTCCTGCTCTACCTACGTCCCATTCACACCATGCTTCTAGCCACCACCAGTGCTTGACCCCGGGGGGTCTGACATCATCCTCAGCAGCAAATGATCTCCCCTCTGCAGGTGTCACTGTCGGGGTCATTGCGCCAAACAGATAAATCTTTCTAAATGCATTAACGTGTCTGTCTTGTCTCTCCAGATTGAACTGAGGGATTGTAATCTTCACTCTTTTTAATGTACTGTGATTATTTATGATTTTTTTTTTGTCATTTTTGCCTTCTATATGAACTGTTTTACACAATTAAACCTGCCTTGCTAAGAAGAAGAAGAAGACAAACTCACGTGGGTCCAGTCAGGGAAGTTGTATCCGTCCACAGCAGTTTGACCCAGCGGCCATCTTGGAGCACGGAGATGTCCCGAGTGCTCACCTCCAGTTTTATCCCCAAACTTTTATGAATGATTCCAAAGCGGCTGAAATAGGTGTGGATCTGACCGTCAGGAGCCAGAGCTTTGTCGCCCACGATCTGTCCGTTTACGAGTATTCCTGAGTGATGGAAGAAAGAGAGAGGTTGACTTCATGTCCTCAAGTGCCAAAAGTACATACATTAGATTGGATTTGAATGATATAGAGAGATACAACACCAGATTCTGTGTCTTTGACGAGAGTGAAGATAGTCCCAGGTTTGTTGTTGATGTTGAAGCACAAAGCATCGTCTCGTTCTGGGAGTTCGATCAAGAAATGAGGATCTCCGTCCACTACAAGACCAGATGTTTGTGATTATATCATTTGCAAACACACATCAGAACCCAGCAGACAAAAAACAATAATGACAGTAATAATAATGAATAAAGAATAATAATGCATTGTGTGTTTAATAGTGCTTTTATGGACACTCAAAAATGCTTCGAAACTACTACTGTAGCCACAGCTGCCCTGGGGCACACTGACGGAAGCGAGGCAACCAGTCTGTGTCATTGGCCCCTCCCACCACCACCAACCATTCACACACACACACACACACCAGACTCATTCTAATGTGGTTGAAATGTCTTGCCTAAGGACACAATGACACTTTACAGCAGCAGCCGGTCCACTGTGACACCTGCTGTTCCCAGAGGTCTCCCATCACAGTACTAACCAGGCCCTGCCTTGCTTAGCTTCAGAGGTCTGGCAGGATCTGGCCTTCACCTGCAGGTATGGCCCGGATAGATGATGGAATACGATTTGGAGACTGGGCTTCGAAACCCTGCGGCGTTTCAAGTAAAAGTCAAATACTCCGTGCGTCCAGGCTCCTTGTCAAGTAGCAGCAGCTCTACTCCGAGCTCCTCCCATGTGACTGAGCTCCTCCCCCTCTCTCTGGAGGAAACACACTTGACCGTTTGTATCCACGATCTCGTCCTCTCCGCCAAAACCAAAAGCTCATGACCAGAGGTGAGAGAGCTCTGACTATAGACGCTGCTCCCTCTTCACCTCAACAGTCCAGTACAGCTCTGACTATAGACGCTGCTCCCTCTTCACCACAACAGTGCAATACATCTCTGACTATAGACGCTGCTCCCTCTTCACCATACAGCTCTGACTATAGACGCTGCTCCCTCTTCACCACAACAGTGCAATACATCTCTGACTATAGACGCTGCTCCCTCTTCACCATACAGCTCTGACTATAGACGCTGCTCCCTCTTCACCACAACAGTGCAATACATCTCTGACTATAGACGCTGCTCCCTCTTCACCATACAGCTCTGACTATAGACGCTGCTCCCTCTTCACCATACAGCTCTGACTATAGACGCTGCTCCCTCTTCACCACAACAGTCCAATACAGCTCTGACTATAGACACTGCTCCCTCTTCACCTCAACAGTCCGATACAGCTCTGACTATAGACGCTGCTCCCTCTTCACCACAACAGTCCAATACAGCTCTGACTATAGACGCTGCTCCCTCTTCACCACAACAGTCCAATACAGCTCTGACTATAGACGCTGCTCCCTCTTCACCACAACAGTCCGATACAGCTCTGACTATAGACGCTGCTCCCTCTTCACCACAACAGTCCAATACAGCTCTGACTATAGACGCTGCTCCCTCTTCCCCACAAAAGAACAGTCCAATACAGCTGACTATAGACGCTGCTCCCTCTTCACCTCAGCAGTCCAATACAGCTCTGACTATAGACGCTGCTCCCTCTGCGCCTCAACAGTCCAATAGAGCTCTGACTATAGACGCTGCTCCCTCTTCACCACAACAGTGCAATACATCTCTGACTATAGACGCTGCTCCCTCTTCACCATACAGCTCTGACTATAGACGCTGCTCCCTCTTTACCTCAACAGTCCAATACAGCTCTGACTATAGACGCTGCTCCCTCTGCGCCTCAACAGTCCAATAGAGCTCTGACTATAGACGCTGCTCCCTCTTCACCTCAGCAGTCCAATACAGCTCTGACTATAGACGCTGCTCCCTCTGCGCCTCAACAGTCCAATAGAGCTCTGACTATAGACGCTGCTCCCTCTTCACCACAACAGTCCAATACAGCTCTGACTATAGACGCTGCTCCCTCTTCACCACAACAGTCCAATACAGCTCTGACTATAGACGCTGCTCCCTCTTCACCACAACAGTCCAATACAGCTCTGACTATAGACGCTGCTCCCTCTTCACCACAACAGTCCAATACAGCTCTGACTATAGATGCTGCTCCCTCTTTACCATACAGCTCTGACTATAGACGCTGCTCTCTCTTCGCCTCAGCACTCCAATACAGCTCTGACTATAGACGCTGCTCCCTCTTCGCCTCAGCACTCCAATACAGCTCTGACTATAGACGCTGCTCCGATCCGTCTGTCTCTTCACAAACATAATTATAACATACATAAAATATTGGTAAATAGAGATTTTAGTCACAAAAATCATTAGTTCCCCACAGCCCAAAATCCATATTATAAGTTGAGAGTAAAAGTCAAGAACTTTCTGTATTCTGTGATATTGCAAACATACAATAACCAAAAATGTTTAGTTCTTACCCAAATACGTAGGTGCTACAGGGCGATAGTGTTGTCCTTTAAGAAAGACATGGACTCCATCGAACATGAGAGGTGTGTTCTCACTTGTGCACGACATTTTCTCTGCTCTTTGACGTTGTTCTGTACGTTAAAAAATAAACATTGTCACCAAAGTTTTTCACATAATAATGTTTTTTTTTTTTTGGGACGTACCCTCTGTCAGTTTGTCGGCCACCAGCGGAGGCTCGTCAGATTCTGGTTTGGTGACAACCATCGACGTGAGCGGAGTCACAAAGTTATACAACAGAGACATCTCCAGGGCTTTGGCTTTACTGCTGTCCTTCTCCTCAGGGCTGCCAACTTTACTACACAAAAGGAAGGACACACACAGGCACGCACACAGGAACGCACACAGGCACGCACACAGGCACGCACGCACACACACGGGCACGCACGCACACGCACACAAGCACACACACACACAGGCACGCACAGGCACGCACGCACACACACGGGCACGCACACACACACACAGGCACGCACACACACACAGGCACGCACACACACGCACAGAGGCACGCACACAGGCACGCACACACACGCACACAGGCACGCACACAGGCACACACACAGGCACGCACAGGCACGCACACAGGCACGCACACACACACACAGGCACGCACACACACGCACACAGGCACGCACGCACACACACGGGCACGCACGCACACACACGGGCACGCACACACACATACAGGCACGCACAGACACACACAGGCACGCACACACACACACACACAGGCACATACACACACACACACAAGCACACGCACACAAGCACACACACAAGCACACACACAGGCCCGCACACACACACACACAGGCACGCACACACACACACACACACACACAGGCACACACACACACAGGCACACACACACAGGCACACATACACACACGCACACACAGGCACACACACACACAGGCACACACACACAGGCACACATACACACACACACACACAGGCACGCACAGGCACGCACACACACACATACACACACACACACAGACAGGCACGCACACACGCACACACACAGGCACACACACACAGGCACACACACACACACACACACATGCACACACAACTGTAAAACTAGTAATCTTCCAAAATAATAATAATGACATGAAAAGTTCTGGGAAAAATATTAAAAACTGAAAAAATATTAAAAACTAAATACACCTTAGTCTGGTTTATCAGATGCATGTGTTTTTGTTAGTGCTGTCAGACCATTTAAATATTTAATTGCGATGAATGCCACTAATTTAAAAGTTAACTCACGATTAACTTCAATTAATCGAACATATTTATGTTCTAAATATCCATTGATTTGGTTTGAAAATGCTAATAAAGGCTTCTCAAAGTCTGCTTTTGTTGTTGCTTTTTGCAGCGTCTAGAACAAGGTTAGGCCTACACCGGAATGCTATTCTTTTTATTTTTTTAAAATCCTGGTAAAGCATTCCGAATTTCACTTTGAACCAGAGCAGAGAAAATGGTTCGAACCAAGCAGCTTCCCCCTCTGCTGCTGTGACCCTAAAGTGGCTGAGTGGATAGCACTCTCGCCTCTCAGCAAGAAGGTCCTGGGTTCGAATCCCGGTCGGACCGGGGCCTTTCTGAGTGGAGTCTGCATGTTCTCCCCGTGTCTGCGTAGGTTTCCTCTGGGTACTCCGGTTTCCCCTACCACTAAACACATGCACAATAGTTCTGGCATGCACCTCCTGTACTGGCCCTGCTCCCATCTCTGTGTGGAGTGAGAGACAAACGGCCAAAAATAAACAATTGTAAACCGCTTTGAGACTCAGATCTGCAGTGAAAAGGCGGTATATAAATAAAGATTACTTACTTACTACTACTACTAAAGTGATGTTGAATTTTATTACTATTGTTACTCTTATGTATTTATTGTTTTTGTTTTGTTTTTATGTGGATGGATGTGTTTGGGGCTGATACTGAACACCTGGATTTCTCCTACAGGGATCAATAAAGTATCTATCTATCTATAAAGTATATCTTTATCTATGTATCTGGACTAATGTGTGTTTATCATTCAGAACTTCACATTGGTCTGTAATTTATCTATTTATTCATTTATAGCTTACTTGGGAAAAGTGAATGACCTCCTTATATGACTAAAATTTGAAATGCTGAACTTAATTCTATGACAAATCATCTTCACATGTTTTCAAAGCATAGTGTAGAGTCTAACAACACCCCTAAATATTTAAATTTAAAGGAATAGTTCACCGTTTTTACATACTGACATATGTTCTTACCTTACCTTAGACTAGTTAATACGTACCTGTCTGGTCTTAGTCCGTGCGCTCTGTCATGCAAACGGAGCAAAAACGGGAGCACAACCGCAGCCTCCTCTGTATACTGTATAGTACCCAAAAGGTAGCTCCCGCTAGAAGCTACCAAACTCTTCCAAGTGTTCCCTATTAAATGTATATAGTTACGTGACGTGTTACACTGCAAAGTATAGTAACACAGAAATGTAACAGTCGATTTTCTCAGCGGATAAAACGGGTACTATATTGTGAGGCGTAGTAATCTGAGGAGCGCTACGTCCGCGCACTAACTTCTCTCCGGAGACTTCTCTCTCGCTCACTTCCGTCAATAGAAGCAGCGTGACTTGTAGTACGGAGAGAAGTTAGTGCGCGGACGTAGCGCTCCTCAGATTACTACGCCTCACAATATAGTACCCGTTTTATCCGCTGAGAAAATCGACTGTTACATTTCTGTGTTACTATACTTTGCAGTGTAACACGTCACGTAACTATATACATTTAATAGGGAACACTTGGAAGAGTTTGGTAGCTTCTAGCGGGAGCTACCTTTTGGGTACTATACAGTATACAGAGGAGGCTGCGGTTGTGCTCCCGTTTTTGCTCCGTTTGCATGACAGAGCGCATGGACTAAGACCAGACAGGTACGTATTAACTAGTCTAAGGTAAGGTAAGAACATATGTCAGTATGTAAAAACGGTGAACTATTCCTTTAAGTACATTTAAGTAATGACCGTGTTGTCTTTATTCACATTCTTAAAAATGTATACGTTTTGATTCAGTTGATAATGGATAGAATGGAGTATCTCTGTAACATCTCCTGCCCCTCACTCACCCCTCAGACCACAGCCTTTACGTTACCTCCCAAATTGACAGAAACTGCAGCTCCTCCAAAACTCCTCCGCCCGCATCATCACCAGGACTCCCCCCATTCACTGCATTTTCCCCTGTTCAAACCCAGACCTTTCCAGACTTACTTAAGACCAGTCACAAGACCAGTCACAAGACCAGTCACAAGACCAGTCACATGACCAGTCACTCTTGCATCTTCGTCCAGCTCTGTTGTTTTAATGTTTTTTAAATTGCGTCCTGTATTTAAACATGTTTGAACAGTGTCTTTTGGGTGTTTTGAAAGGCACTTTTATATATTTTCATTATTATTATTACCTCTTGTCCAAAAGCTGTTGAATAGTGAGATACGCCCAGAGTCGCTCGGTGAAGTCTCCAAAGATGTACTCCTCGTCTGGATAGAGCAGCCCCCAGTCCTGGACGCTGGCCTGGCCTTGGACCTGGAAGTCTTCATACTGTAAAGACAGAACATGAAGGTTTTGGAGACCTGTAACCTCATAGTTTCTGCTTCTGAGGTGTTTGAAATCCTCACCCCGAGTCCGAACACTTCCACCGGGAAACTATCGACGCCATTGTCCATGAGACGACCGGCCACGACGAGCTCAGTGCCGCTAAACAAATGGTCGAAATGGTTTGTGGTCAACAGGTCCACGGTGTTGGCGGGATACTTCAGATCCACGTCCAGCAGCACAGGACTGGACACCTCTTTGTAGAAACCCTGGAAACACAAGACGTGAGTCCCTGGATCTTCTGCCTCAGTCCTGGGTCTACAGCCTCAGTCCTGGGTCTACTGCCTCAGCCTTGGGTCTACTGCCTCAGTCCTGGGTCTACAGCCTCAGTCCTGGGTCTACAGCCTCAGTCCTGGGTCTACAGCCTCAGTCCTGGATCTACAGTCTCAGTCCTGGGTCTACAGCCTCAGTCCTGGATCTACAGTCTCAGTCTTGGATCTACAGCCTGAGTCCTGGATCTACAGCCTCAGTCCTGGATCTACAGCCTGAGTCCTGGATCTACAGCCTCAGTCCTGGATCTACAGCCTCAGTCCTGGGTCCACAGCCTCAGTCCTGGATCTACAGCCTCAGTCCTGGGTCTACAGCCTCAGTCCTGGATCTACAGCCTCAGTCCTGGGTCTACAGTCTCAGTCTTGGATCTACAGCCTCAGCCCTGGATCTACAGTCTCAGTCTTGGATCTACAGCCTGAGTCCTGGATCTACAGCCTTAGTCCTGGGTCTACAGTCTCAGTCTTGGATCTACAGCCTGAGTCCTGGATCTACAGCCTCAGTCCTGGATCTACAGCCTCAGTCCTGGATCTACAGCCTCAGTCCTGGATCTACAGCCTCAGTCCTGGGTCTACAGCCGCAGTCCTGGATCTACAGCCTCAGTCCTGGATCTACAGCCTCAGTCCTGGATCTACAGCCTCAGTCCTGGATCTACAGCCTCAGTCCTGGATATACAGCCTCAGTCCTGGATCTTTAGCCTCAGTCCTGTGAGCCTCACTGAGGTTTCTCATTATCTCCCACTGGGTTTTGAGAGTTGTCCTTGCCGATGCATGAGGGTCTAAGGCAGGGGTCTCCAACCTTCTTCAATCGGGGAGAGCTACTTGAACAACATGAGAGGTGGAGAGCTACTCCTTTTTGCAGTTGTAAAAAAAATCTATGTAATAATTTTGACAAAACATGTGTTTACCATATAATAACATTTATACTTATGATTGACATGTAACGACTCAAAAATCATTCAGGATCATGCGTTAAGTTCTAAATCCTTTGGGGAGCTACCTGAAAGGGACTGGTGAGCTACTGTTAGCCTTCAAGCCACAGGTTGGAGACCCCTAGACTAAGGACAGTGGTGATGATCGAGGACACTTAACATTCAAAGATATTTATTAACAATTATTAGCATTTATGGACAATGGTCTCTGCCCCTTTTGGACCGATGGCTCTATTTTTTATCATTTCATTTCTTGTGTTTGAACGGTTTGATTCTCTGATCAGTGTTGGCGAATCGACAGCTTTGTAAAGTCCTCTGAGATAACTACTGTTGTGATTTAGGGCTACAGCGGTGACACCTGGAGTTGTAGAACTGCGTCTGAGTCTTCGAAGATCCTGCGAGCGAAGCCCTTGTTCTCTTGGCTCATCACGTCCAGGAAGCTGTACTCCACGTCGTTCCCAAAGCCCAGACAGTACACCGACATGTTTCCAGCAATTTCTTCTCTCACATTTTTTTGGATAATTTTTGGGTTGGTTTCTCCTTCAATGACAAAGACAACATCAGATTCACTTCATTTGCTATGTTAGAGAAACCGAGCTGTCCTGCCAGATGGAAGAAGCTGGAACATGGTTTTTCTCGGGGCCAGAAGAGTCACTGATTATTTTAAAAGCTTATTCAGAATCTTTGAATCCAGACTTACTTTAGGACTGGATTCATAAAGGACCTCCAGAACAGGCAGCTCACAGTCCTCTTTCAGAGCAGAGCACCTCTCTGGTCTCACTCTCGAGTCTCTCTCTAGTCTCACTCTCGAGTCTCTCTCTAGTCTCTCTCTCGAGTCTCTCTCTGGTCTCTCTCTCGAGTCTCTCTCTGGTCTCTCTCTCGAGTCTCTCTCTGGTCTCTCTCGAGTCTCTCTCTGATCTCTCTGTAGTTTCTCTCTCTCTTGTCTCTCTCTGGTATGTTTCTCTGGTTCTTCTCTGGTCTCTCTCTCTGGTCTTTCTCTGATCTCTCTGGTAAGTAAGTAGTAAGTAATGTTTATTTATATACCGCCTTTCACGGACCAGAGTCACAAAGCGGTTTACAATGGTTATTTTTTTTGGGCATCTGTCCTCTCACTCCACACAGAGATGGGAGCGGGGTCGCCGAACAGGAGGCGCATGCCAGACCTATTGTACATATTTTTAGTGGTAGGGGAAACCGGAGTACCCGGAGGAAACCTATGCAGACACGGGGAGAACATGCAAACTCCACTCAGAATTCTGGTCTCTCTATTGCGCTGGTCTCTCTCTGGTCTCTCTCTGGTCTCTCTCTGGTCTCTCTCTGGTTTCTCTCTGGTCTCTCTCTGGTCTCTCTCTGGTCTCTCTCTGGTCTCTCTCTGGTCTCTCTCTGGTCCCTCTGGTCTCTCTCTGGTTTCTCTCTGGTTTCTCTCTGGTCTCTCTCTGGTTTCTCTCTGGTCTCTCTCTGGTCTCTCTCTGGTCTCTCTCTGGTTTCTCTCTGGTTTCTCTCTGGTCTCTTTCTAGTTTCTCTCTCTCTTGTCTCTCTCTGGTCTCTTTCTGGTCTCTCTGCTCTCTCTATTGCGCTGGTCTCTCTCTGGTCCCTCTGGTCTCTCTCTAGTCTCTCTCTGGTCTCTCTCTGGTCTCTCTCTGGTCTCTCTCTGGTCTCTCTCTGGTCTCTCTCTGGTCTCTCTCTTTTGTCCCGTCTAACTCGCCTCCTCTACAATCTGAACTTGCTAAAACCCTGACCGATTTGGGAAAGAGTCAGTTAGTAGTTAGTTAGATGTTGAATAAGCCACTAAAATAATAGTCACTTTCCTGCTGTCACCTTTTGCACTGCTTACTGCATATAGTGTTCACCATGTGCACGGCTACATTGTATATAGTAATTGTAATCGCAATAATTGTATTTTAAATGTTATAACTTAGAAATGTTTGCTGATTTTTATTATGCCTTACTGTATTCTTTACCTCTCTTTTCCGACTGAGCAAAAGCAAATTTCCTCTTCTGTGACTTCCGACTTACATGGCAATAAGAATGATTCTGATTCTGAGTAAGGCCATGTAGAATACGGACTAATACATGCTTAATAAATACCAATTCATAGCTAATTAACCATCAATTATACACTAATTATCCATCAACTAGTCATGGCTGAGCTATAATGTGACCTTATTCTGACCATGTTGACGTCCACAGGTACGTACCGGGTCCTGGCATGCCGTCCGTCAGTAAGATGATGATGTCAGTGCTTCTCTGTGGGAGCTGCTGGTCTCTCCTCGCCGTCTGAAGCATCTCAACAGTTCTCAACATTGCTGTGTTAATGTCTGTGCCTAAATTATATCAGATCAGAAGAATTACGATGAGACAAAATGTTCATCCAATGAATAGAGCATGGGTATGAGCAGCTGCAGATTTTTGAGGGCCGTGTCGAATCATTAGCTAACCTCCGCTAGATCGTAGTTCCCTGATGTGGTTTTTTGCTTCCTCCACAGTTTGGTTGGTTGCTTGTTGTAAGGTCGATCTCCAGGGCATGACTCCATCGTTAAATATGACAATGGCGAAGTGGTCTTCCTCCTGAAGGTCTTGGAGGATTTCTAACATTGCATCTTTAGTCTAGAGCACAACAATCGCACAGAAACCCAGGGGCATGAGAGAGATTCACAATTAAATCTCAAAGGTGCAGTAAGCAATGTTGTTAGCTTAGCAGTAGCACAACTGGAAACCACTCCCCCCTCCCCTCCCTCTCCACCAAACCACTCTTTTTATGCTATACTATCTTTTTAGCTCATTATTTGTACAATAAACGTTTTGAAAGTGCCTTAGTCTAGTCATTTCTCAGTGGTACAATTTGGTGGTGGAAAGTCCTATCCTGACCAACTATTGGCGTTACTGACAGGATCCACCAGTACTACGGAGAAATGGACCCGAGTAGGCAGGCCCTGGAAGGTTACGCTAAGCGAGAGATATTGCTGGCTAGTGCCAAGGAGAAGACCACAAGTGCTAAAATAATGGACTAATTGCCAACCTGCGACAAAAGCCCAAGCGCGTATGAACTTTTTTAACTGTAAAAAACTGATGAATCTATAAACGCCTTTGTTTTGCGCCTCAAAGAAGCTTTCTGTATGTGGCAGGAGAGGGACGAAGGTGGAACCGGGGACCGGATGATTTGCTCCTAGACCAATTCATGGTGGGCCTTGGTCGAGGACTGGTTAAACAAGAGCTTAGCCGACAGCTGCGCCGCCGTGACAGCACAACATCAGGGCCGCCTGCGGAGGAGGAATCATTTGAAGTTCTGTGCATCGATTACCTGTCCCTTTGCCGAGCGGGAGACAGGTATCAATACATTCTGATAATGACAGATTTGATTTCTAAATATGCAGGTGCAGTCCCCACCCTTGACCAATCAGCGAGCACTACAGCAAAGACCCTGTATCGCTATTTGATACTGACGTTTGGTTGCCCAGAGCGGGTGCTGTCCGATCGGGGAGCTGCTTTTGAATCATCCCTTTTGAAGCAGCTCTGTCAACTCTACGGGTGCCAAAAGAGTCGGACTACAGCTTACCACCCACAGGGTAACGGTGCATGTGAACGGTTCAACCAGACTCTGCCACAGTTGTTGAATTCACTGACGGACACAGAGCAGAGCCACTGGCCAGAATGGCTGCCAGTTTACCAGTGGACTGGTAAACCAGTGGACTGGTAAACCAGTGGACTGGTAAACTGGCACATCAAATTATGAATAAATAATTATAGACGTTTCACCTGAAGGATCTTTTTGCCGGACATGGAACCGCTCTTGTCAATGACGAAGACCACGTTCATGGGGACACGGCGGAGGTCAGGAGGAGCGAAGTAATGGACAAAGTATCCGTTGACGATCTGGTTTACAGAACACAGAGAGTTTAAGAAGAAATATTATGCAATTTAAAAATGATAATGAAGATAAGATGAGAGATCGTCCCACAATGGGGAAATTTCAGAGAGTATACAAAATAAGTGAGTAGCTGCTATGTTTCTTCGCAATCTGTAAATGCTTCAATAGCAGTCTTTCAAAATATGTACAGGACAGACCAAAAGTTTGGACATACCTTCTCATCAAAGAGTTTTTTGATTTTCATTATAATGTAAATTGTAGATTGACACTGAAGACATCAAAACTATGAATAAACTCATGTGGAATTATGTACGAACTAAAAAACTGAAAACTGAAAATATGTGTTTCATTCTGGTTCTTCAAAGTAGCTCCTTTTGCTCTGATACTTTTTATCTGTACTGTATGTATAGTGCGGAGTTATATACTGTATATACAGTATAGTGCAGGATAAGTAGATAAAGTAGCGTGACATTGTTCAGTGACATTCTGAAGTTGCAGTATTGCACATTCCACATGATTGCAGTATTTATTTAGTTACAGATGAATGACATTTGCAGGCTCAGCAGTTCTCATTGTACAGTCTGACAGAGGCAGAAAGGAAAGACCTGCGGAACCTCTCCTTCACACAGCGAGGGTGGATAAGTCTGTCACTAAAGCTGCTCTCCAGAGTGTCCTGCAGGGGGCGACAGTCATGATCCAGCTGTATGGCTCGGTCCAAACTAAACTGTACCAATGTGTTCCATTTGGGTCAATGACATTTAAAAGTCAGCGTCATGAAATGTCCGCGGCCGCTGCTGCTGAATGTTCACACTCTCTTGTTTCCATCTGTTTGTCCAGTGGGGGGCGCGCTACTGGACACGATTGCTACGTCCAAAACGCCCAGTTTGTCTGCAGTTATTGAATAATATTTTTTGGCATTGTGTAAAATCTCTAATTACAGGTTGATTATAGTTATATCTCCAACCATTAAAATAGTCTCTGTCCTGTTAATTCTTCTATTCACAAAGCCTCCATGAGGCTGTAGATCCAGGACTGAGGCTGTAGATCCAGGACTGAGGCTGTAGACCCAGGACTCAGGCTGTAGACCCAGGACTCAGGCTCTAGACCCAGGACTTTAGAATGTCACATAAAATCCTCAGTAGAAAATAAAAGGTGAAGCAAGTATCAGAAGGAAACAATTATATTGGCCTGCACTATCACTGGCTGCAACCACAACAAATTTATAGTAAAGAACATAAATTAACTTGAGAAATTACCAAAACTAAATTAAGAGCAATACTTTTGTTTTAAAAATGCTCTGACAGTGATGTCATAGTGGTACAATGACGTCATACTATTACAGGAGGGGCGGAGTTACATGTTTGTGCCTGAGGTTCCTGATATTAGGTTGGATGGAGCTAAAAACCACTCCAGGTCCGTGACTGATGAGGGAACAATGTTGGAACATGATTAAAAGAGAGAAAAGAGAGAAGATAATAATATTTACTAAAGAAAAGAATATCTTGAGCTGGTGTTTTGACAGTTACCTGCAGATCTCCGAGGCTCTTTTCTCGCTTCACGTCATATTTTATCACGAAATCGCCGTTTATCAAAGTCCCGTCACAGTCTGGACATCTCTGCTGCTGCTCCATGGTCGGACAGAAGGAGATACGAGCCTAAAGGCAAATGTATTATTCAGTTAATAACACGTTAGTTTGAACACTAGACCTCCCAGAGCAGTCAAAGTGATGGTTTACTCAATCTATGACCTTTACTTTATCTTTACTTTATCTTTCAGTAGTTTACGTCTGTCATGAAATTAAACTGTAATTTGTTTTTTTAGTAAATGTGAGTAATTCTGCCTTTAACTGCATTTATTTGAATGTATATGTTGTTTTATCTGTATTTCAAGTTATATTCACCAGTTTCAGCGCTTAATAAAAGTGAGAAAGATTTTTAAAGATATACATTGATTTTAAAGGGGTCAAAATGAGTAGTTTCAGAATTCTGGGAGTCCTAGTGTCAACTGATGTATTTCTCAAACATGTTCAATGCAATAGTAAAGATTGTTGTGAGCACTTTTTTGTCCGTGACAGTTTTCTCCACCAGGGGGAGCAAGTCATTGGAGAGGAAAGTGGACTGGACATCGACGTTTTCAATTCCCTGGGGTTCGTAGATGTTGGTAACAATCTGAAAACAAAGACAGGGATCGTGAAGACAAGCTGTTTCTGACGTTTAAGGCTTAGATTATAATCATTCAAAGGTTTTTTTAGATTGACAAAAGTGTATAGAAGCTAGTACTGCTTTAGCCTGGTCGTACCACACCATAGTACAAATTTCATTTCATACTAATGTCTGGATTTGCTCCATTGACTCCGTTAACAGGTGGGAGGGGTTAACTCCTTTTGCAGATTGAAACGATTGGATCTGAGTTTACTGTGTCGTATGTAATGTGCCCGAGTGAGTCGATATCATTTAGCCTAGCTTTAGCCATCTCCTTTGCCGCTAACGGAACCCGTGGGGAGTAGCGCCACAATCTTTGCAGCGATTACATTTGCCAAACATTCCTCTTGCTTCTGCTTCCGTTTCTTGATAGAACCAGACCAGATTACTTTACTATCGCATTCTTCGTCAAACTACAACCTGCCCGTTCGACACAAACTCTTGACGTCACCCACAACTAACAACAACACCCGCCTCCCGCGCTCTCTGATTGGTCGGATGGAATTCAACCGATTGTAATCGCAGACACATGGACCAAACCCAGACGTTACATGCAGGAAATGATGATGGAGCGGAGTGTACGGATGGATAAGGCCAGGCTAGTACTGCTTAATAACATGTTGGAGTGATAGACATCAGACTGACCACGCCCCCCTGCGGTGCCAAGGTGAAGGCCCCCTCATCTCTGTTGATGGTTCGTGTGCCCTCCTTCATGATTCAATCCCCTCTCGTCTCCATCTTTTGTCTTTATGTTCTTCTGTTCCTACTATTTTTGCCTTGTCTATTGTGTGATTTTCTCGTTTGCAGTTGTCTGATGTTGCCGATTTGAGGTTTTCCTTTGTTGCTTTTTCTTTTGTTGATCTTGTTAGTTACGCTGCTGTTTTCTTGTTCTTTCTTGTTTCTTTTTCGACCTTGTCTCCTGTTGTATCCTTTCTTTCGAGTGTAAAAATCCTCAATAATGGACTGGGACTATGTCAAAACAGTAGGAACGGAAGAACACAAATACAAAAGATGGAAACGAGAGGAGATTTAAATCGGCGGGGACGCGGACCATCAACAGAGACAAGGGGGCTTTCACCTCGGCTCACACTTGGGACTCACTTCTCCAGAGACCACAGAGGGCGTGGTCAGTCTGAGGGGGCGTGGCCAGTCTGACGGATCAGTTAGATCTGTCAAACTGACCACGTCTGGTAACAACAGCTGATCAGAAACACCTCACACCTTCATGTTTACTCTGGCGGAGGCGGAAGTCTATATCACCGAAACATGTGGTAATTACAATTTTAAGCCGCTACTTGTTTCTACTTCTTTGATACCTCGTCATTTAAATCAAGTGATGTTCAGTTAAAACAGTCGTCTCTCTGCTACTTTACAACATGAAAACCTGCGGCTCACATTCAAGTGCGGCCTCAATGTGGACAACATTAATTTTCTTGTTGGTTTCTTTGGTGCGGCTTCAGTCTAGAAAGTACGGTAAGCAGTACTAACTTCTTTACATTTTTGTCTTATCAAAAGAACCTTAATCGAAGCCCTAACCATAAGGAACTTTTTACATGTGTTTCTGAGGTGTTGAATATAGATTTACCTTGAAGTCCTGAATGCGCTGCTTGGGCTGGACTCGGGTCAGGATCTCGTACTGACCCAGGTTTCTCTGTAACAGTTCTTCGTACGTCAGAGTGAATGTGACGTTACTTAAAGCTGCAACGTTCACAGACACAGAAAACTTCTCCATCTTTCTCCCTGAAGCCCTGAAACCACCAGAACAAGCATTTAACGATCATAATGATAATAATTATAATGATAATAATCATAATCATAATAAGAATAAATATTATTTAACAGGGCCTTCTAACACGAGGCTGAAACTACCCAAACTCCCGGAGCAGTCAGTTTGACGGCTCCCACTCAAATTTATGGAATTCTGAAATAAATCCCCAAAACAGTTTTCGGTTTTCACAAGTTTTCACTAAATCAAGTCATTCAAAAATGGTTTCTTCTTTACACAAATACATGCTAAAACTGGTTAAAAAACTAAACACTATGTGTTGCTATGGTAACTCACATGCGCCAAGCTGAGATTGCTCTGAACCAGTCTAGGACTAGTCCAGGACCAGTATAGGACCAGTCTAGGACTAGTCCTGGTCTAGTCTAGGATCAGCTGAGGACCACTCTAGGACCAGTCCAGGACCAGTCTAGGATCAGTTTAAGATCAAACATAATGACATAAACCACAGATAGAAACAGTAGAAGTCACAAAGGTATAAAGACCAAAAACATACAAAAGCAGAGTAATTACACTTCAAAAACAAAAAGCCGAATTGACTGCAGTGGGAGTCCTGGGGTTAAGACTCCAAAGAAGGCCCGACAATAGAAAAGAAACATAACTCAAAATATAAAAAATACAGAATGAAATACATTTGAAGACCTTATGCCGGGTTTAAAAAAAAAAAATTGTGGATATCAAAATTGCATGACAATGTCAATCTGAAAGAGATTCCGGCAAAAAAAAATCCTATATTTTATAAAAAGAACGTGTTTTTCATGAATTTAAGTTGTCTATGCTCTAACCTGTGTGTGACGTCACAGCGGGTAACCCCCATGCATTGAAAACCATGGATCTATGCCACAGGACTGCCTTTTCTCTCTTCTCTCCACTGATGCCCAACACAATACTGCCCTCTACAGGTGACAATTGCTCACTACACATAAATTGCCGTTTGAGAGTGAAAATGTGTCTGAGGTGGGATTTGAATCCCAGTATCTGGATTGGTAGTCCATTGACACAACCACTGGACTATCTCAGTGACAACAAAGTGATATAATCTAGTATTTATCTCATACTCGCTGTACACGGCCTTGTCATCTTGAATAGCTGCGAAAAAAGAACGAATACCAAATTGTAAACAACTTACAGCGTTGAAACGTACCCGTTCTGACGTCACCAAGGGCTGTGAAGTTTTTTCGTCTCTAAGGGCGTTGCTATGGGGTTATTTCGATTTGGGGGGATCAGACAAAAAAAACAACAACTGATTTTGAAACCTTTAGTAGTTCTCTTCTAATATAAAATGGTATTAAAACTGTATTTCTAAATAAATCGAACCCGTCATAAGGTCTTTAAAATGGAGGTTTTGAGTTTCAGAGTTTGGAGCCTAAAAATTATTACCATAAAATTATCTGCCAAGAAATTGCACGGACAGGACAGTAGTAAGAGCACACAAGGAACACACAGAACACACATCACTGTTTTCATTTCTGAGCCTAAATGAAGCTGTAAAGCAGATGTCTCTGTTTCAGTCTATTCACACTGTAAAAAGTGATGAAAAATAAGCCAAAATTTTCAATAATTTGCCTTAATGTATCTTCATTTGAGCAAATTCTGACTTTCTCAAAACAGGATTTTCCAATGGGACAAAACAAAATGACCTTGTTTTAGTTTTTAGTGGTAGGGGAAACCCGGAGCACCTGCAAGAAACCGGAGCAGACACAGGGAGAACATGCAAACTCCACTCAGAAAATCCCATTTCTAACGGGGATTCGAACCTAGGACCTTCTTGCTGAGCCGCCCAGTGTGGCAAACAAAGAACAATTTGGGCCACATGTTTAAAACCACTGCTGCAAATGCTTCTTAAATAAGAATAAAATGAAAGAGACACATCTGCGTCAGTTACGGCGCAAAGCATCAAAACCAATGCCCATATAAGGAAACGGGTTCCAGCTAGCTTATGTTCAAATCAGCTTCTTCCACATTAACACTATGGTGACGTCAGCACTCAGGCCGGTCCACTATTGGTTCTGGTTCAAAAATATATATGTCAAATTCATGTAGTGGAACTTTCAAAGATGGAAACTTGTAATGATCGGAAAAACTGGCACAAACTGGGATTGTTTTAATCTGAAGGTTGGCTCTTCGCGGGAACTTGGATAGAGTTGAGGAAAGTATATATTTGCATCAGCTTGACAAGCACAGCACACTGCTCACTGCATGGCTACTGCGACAGCGCCCCCTGCTGGCCCCGCACCTCCGTCACATGTACAGGAGATTTGGACCAAACTCTTGAGCCCAAAGACAGTTCAGTCCTCTCACATGTGAAAGTGAAGAAAGTTTTGAGGATATTTTGGGAAATTTGTTGAAATGTCTGTTGAAAATATTTTGCATTGATGTTTTCTTATGGCTTTTGTTTATATTTTTGCTTACATTATAATTACTCCCCAGGCATGGACCACTTCCAAAGTTAGTTTTATATTGGATAATTGACACATTCAACAAATCTTTTTAGCCCTTTGACTTTTGACCTTTTGATTTGGAAACACATTATATTTATGTCCACTGGTCCTTGATTTCTTAAAAAACATTTTCATATACAGCACAGACCAAAAGTTTGGACACACTTTCTCATTCAATGAGTGTCTTTTCATGACTATTGACTGTAGACCCGCACCAGGCTGTGTAAGGGCTGTTTCGACCAATAAGGAGAGTGTTGGTGCTGGGCCACATGACCTCAACAGTCACCGGACCTGAACCCAGTCCAGATGGTTTTGGGCTGGACCACAGAGTGAAGGGGCCAACAAGTGCTAAGCATCATGGGAACTCCTTCAAGACTGTTGGAGACCATTTCAGGTCCTCTTGAAGCTCATCCAGAGAATGCCAAGAGTGAAGCAGTATCAGAGCAAAAGGAGCTACTTTGACATATTTTCAGTTGTTTCATACGTTTTTATTTTAGTACGTACATATTTCTACATGAGTTCATTCATAGTTTTGATGCCTTCAGTGTCAATCTACAATTTGAGAAACTCTTAGAATGAGGTGTGTCCAAACTTTTGGTCTGTACTGTATACAAAAACATATTAACACAAACTGTGAACTTTTAGCTACTATTTGCCACTAACCCAACGTGTTTTCAAAAGTTCAAAAGTTCAAAGGGCTAAATAGATTTAATGGAATTCTCATTAAAAAAAATCCCAAATCAACAAGGTATATTGAAATAATAAGCTTTGTTTCATGTGTGCGGGACCAAACCCAACATGTTTTCAAATTAAAAACTCAAAAGGTTAAAGGGCTGAATAGATTTTTTGAATGTGTGAAATATCTAATAGAAAACAAACTTTACCGCAGTGAAAATTCATCAGAAAATGTCCGTAAATAAATCGGAAATGTTGACTTTGCGACCCTTCTCAGTCGCAATTTTAGACTAAAGTTGTAGTAAATTGCGATGTGTGTGAATGTGATTTTGAAATACTGACTTTACCCTTGCTGCAGTGTCAGTCTGTGTTGAAACTTGCGGCTGGTCCAAGTACAAAGGGCAGAAAAAAGGACCAAAACAAACAAAGTGGGCGACTTACTTCACCAGCGCGGCGGTCTGCCCAGCTCTCACCGCCGTCTCATACTGTTTCTTGGCCGTTTCCTTCTCCTTCACCACACCCACGTACTGCCGGCTTTCTATCTCCCTGTGGCACCAGACGATAGGTCAGAACCACATGTGCAAAAAGACATTATTGTGTGTTCTGGAGGAGACATTAAATGCAAATGTAAAGATTGTTATGAGCACGTTTTTGTCCGTGACAGATTTAAATTGAAAAGTAAACTCTTCCAGCTCAGTCACCGTTTTAGGGTTAACATTCTGTAGTTTAACGCTCGATATGATCCTGGTGTTGTAAATTGTGATATTGTCTTTTTGTAAATCCAGATAAGAGTCATGTGACAATTGACCAATCAGATGCCTTCATTCACAGGGGAAACTCCAGCTTGCCTTAGAAAACTATTTAGTGACTTGTCCGCCTCTGTCATGGTGCAAAGATAACGCCGTCAAAGCTAACGACTCTAAAGCTAATGCTGTCAAAGCTAATGCAGTCAGAGCAAATGCCGTCAAAGTTAGCGCCATCAAAGCTAACGCCGTCAGGACTAACGCCGTCAGGACTAACGCCGTCAAAGCTAACGCCGTCCGAACTAACGCCGTCCGAACTAACGCCGTCCGAACTAACGCCGTCCGAACTAACGCCGTCCAAACTAATGCCGTCAAAGCTAACGCTGAAGCTAGAGCCGTCAAAGCTAACGCCGTTAGAGCAAACGGCGTCAATGCTAACGCAGTCAAAGCTAAAATCTCCAAAACTAACGCCGTCAAAGCTAACGCCGTCAGAGCAAACGCCGTCAGAGCAAACGCCGTCAGAGCAAACGCCATCAGAGCAAACGCCGTCAGAGCAAACGCCGTCAGAGCACCCATATAGGGAAATTGAAATAAGCTAGCTTGTGGGGGCTACTGACATGGTGAAGTTGGTGATGAAAGCCGTCTTGGGCAGCTCCACGTCAAAGAAGATTTCCTTAGAGCTGTTGGCCTTGTTCAGAGCTTTGGTCGTCATGACGCTGTGGGCGAAGCGAGAGGTGACGGTGCAGTCCAGCGTCACACTCATCACCTCCACCTGCTCCACGGAGAGAAGAACAGAACATTTATCTTCCCCTCCTTAACCTCCTTTGGCTTGTCTCAATCTGAATTATCTATAGATGCCTTGAAGCAGGAGTCTCCAACCTTTTTCAATCGGAGAACTACTTTTATACAAACGAAGAGGCAGAGAGCTACTACTTTCTGCAGTCATGATAAAAATCTATCTAAGTCTATCTATAAACTTTAATGATCTCACAATGGAGAAATGTACATGTCCCATCTGGCAGATATAGAATCAGATTGTGCAAAAGACAGAATGTTAAAGATGCAGTCATTATTTTTTTCCAGACACATTTTTCTAAATATTGTGGGAAAACGTCCCTAAACCCTAAAAGTATCAAGTTATCATGTGTTTTCAAATAGTGATGGAATTGACCAGATGCCTTTAGTCTACAAAACATAATAAAAATATATTGGAGCGGACCGATAAAAATAAACCAATGGGATTCGTTCATCCCCAACGAACCAATGGGATGTGTTTACCGCTTTCACCCACTTCCTGTTTCTCTGAGTGCACCGGAGTTAACGGATTTTCTAAAACCTAAAATGGCTGAACAGAAAATGCCAATTTCACGTTTGCCGCCCACTCTCCCTGTTGTGACAAAGAAAAGAAATGGCTGGATGTTTGGTTTGGTGGAGAGGGAGGGGAGGGGGGAGTGGTTTCCTGTTGGTGCTATGGCTGAGGTAACAACATTTCTTACTGCACATTTAAGGTTGTCTGTATAGTCTATATAGGACCGTACGTATCCAATCCAATCCAATCCACTTTATTTCTATAGCACATTTAAACAACAGAACAGTTCCAAAGTGCTGCACAAAAAAGTACACAAAAAAATAGAATAAAAAATAAATAAATAAATAATCAATTTATAAAATCAATAAAAATCGTAAAACACTAAAAAATTAAAAAGACACAGGGACCACACAACTCACGCGGTGTTAAAAGCCAGAGAATAAAAGTGGGTTTTAAGACAAGATTTAAAACACTCCAATGTTGTGGCTGTTCGGACGTGGAGGGGCAGAGCGGTCCACAGCTTAGGGCCGACGACGGAGAACGCTCAGTCCCCTCGAGTTTTACGTTTCGTCTTAGGAACCACGAGCTGGAGCTCTATCCTGGCGGTGTAGTCTCCCGGTGATATACACAGAGATATAGTAGAAGAAGAAGCTCTGGTAGGGTGCGGTGTACGCTTGTAGCAACCGCGAGAATAGAGAGAAAGACAAGAGTTTCTTCCATGTTCCAACTGTGGTCTCATATAAAGGAGGACACTTTGAAAAAATCACTGGAATGAGGCGGGCGAGGTGGATCAAGGCTTTCCCAGATAAGCGCCCCCTGCAGGCCACCCCAATGAAACGCAGTAATTTCTTCTGTTTTTTTTTCCAAAAATGCCCGAAATCAAGACTCTTATGAGAATTTTTGTTAGTCCTCCCTAAGAATTGAGTGTCCCCGAGTAAGACTGTTCCAACAACCGTACACCGCACAGGAGGAGAGCCTTTGACTCCAAAACAGACTTTACATGGTTTTCAATGGGACCAAAACTGTCCCATCTCTGCTCACTCGCCCCCTATAGGCCAGGTTCATGAAACCCAAGAATTTACAGACAAGATTACAGGCACACTTCTCATTGTACAGTCTGACAGTCGCTCCTTCGTGGCAACAAAACCTACACGAGCACAGGGAGAACATGCAAACTCCACTCAGTAAGACCTTGTTCCGGCCAGCATTCGACCCAGGACCTTGCTAACTACTCATCCACTGCACCGCCCTCAAAACAAGTCATACATATATTTTGTAGCAAACAGCAGCCAGTGATGAGGCGTGTGGTGTCAGTGTTGAAGTTGGCAACCTTCAAATGATCTCTGCTCATGAGAGGATTAAGTCAGTGGTTCCATTCGGGAGGGTGTGTTGACGTTTGGGTGAGTCTTGTGGCTTTCAGCTGCAATAAATATCTCACCTCATTCTGGTCAAGGCTTCTCTTCTGCGGGTACACAAACAAGAGTCAGTAGCAGCACATATATAGTGTCATGTTTGTTCAAAAATGGTCAACTACTAAGAGCCATAGAACATGTTTAGCCGAGAAAATACACATATGACTATATATGGTGCTCCGTGAACTGGGTGCAACACTGACTGCCACCCCCCTTTGACCCAGAAATGGATTAAGGGGAAGAAGATGGATGGATGACTGTATATTTATTCACAAAAGTTACACCAATGCTTTACATAATCTATGATAACAGGAACTGGTCTGTTTCCATGACTAATGTGACCTGTCCTGCTCCACCCAGCGGCTGCACCACCTCAGCGGCTCTGACCTAAAATACTCTTGCACTTTTGTGAGTAACTTTTATTAATTCTGTATTGTTTATCTGTTTGGATGGATGTGTTTCTGCTGCTGGACACCTGCATTTTTACTGATTTAAATCTGAATTTTCTTATACTTATAACTTCTTGCTTATGTCACTAGCTGTGTTTTGAGGTTTTTATTTTATTTCATGATCATAATGAGACAGACAGATGATACACACACACGCGCGCACACACAATACCCCGTTGTGTCTGTGTGTATGGGGATCAATAAAGCATAAATCTATCTATATTTGGAGTAGTTATGTTTTCATCATAAGAAGAGATTAATTAGTTATTATAGTGCTCTATAAGATAAACAGATGGATAAATACTTCAATATCTATCTATCTTTCTAACTTTCTAAATTTCTAAATAAAGTTGAGTTAAAGATAGAGAGATAGAAATATAGCAAGACATTTGGTAAGTGTAATAAGCATTTACCTGCAGCGATCTGGGGGCTCCATGCTGAAAGAAGAGAGATTGAACACTAATCTTTTCTGTACATATATAGTTTAAATCCGATTTATACAAAAAGGTAAATCCACAAAAGTTTGCCGACCTGTGTGTGAGCTTCCTCCAGAGAGACCAGCACCGCTCCGAGGCCCAGTCTGGGGAGAACGAGGCCCAGGCAGAGGCCCAGGCAGAGGCCCAGGCAGAGGCGCAGGAGGCGGCAGCGGACACCCGACAGTCCAGACATGACCCAATCCACTGAGCTCCGGGTCCTGGGCCAGCACCAAGTACAGCAGAGGCCTGGGGGAGGGCCTCTGTGTGTGCGTGTGTGTGTGTGTGTGTGTGTGTGTGTGTGTGTGTGTGTGTGTGTGTGTGTGTGTGTGTGTGTGTGTGTGTGTGTTTGTGTGTGTGTGTGTGTGTGTATGACCATATGTTGACACACAGGAGCATTGATCAAGGCAGGGCCAGTGTAGGCAAGGCAAGTTTATTTGTATGGCACACTTCATACACAAGGCTGAACTAAAACAGGATATAAACAGTAATAAAAGGGATAAGTACGTTAAAAAGAGTAAAAATACTGTTTTGAATCTGGATTTAAACATTGTCAGAGAAGAAGCCTCACATTTTCAGGAGGGTTGTTAAAGATTGTTGGTGTCCCTGTGCTCCTCAGAGTCCCAGCAGGAGACCAGTCCCTGTGCTCCTCAGAGTCCCAGCAGGAGGCCAGTCCCTGTGCTCCTCAGAGTCCCAGCAGGAGGCCAGTCCCTGTACTCCTCAGAGTCCCAGCAGGAGGCCAGTCCCTGTGCTCCTCAGAGTCCCAGCAGGAGGCCAGTCCCTGTGCTCCTCAGAGTTTGAGTTCGAGTCCTGGGTCCCCGGGCACTGCTCCTGATAGACGCCCATTAGGAGTGGGTCAAATGCAGATTATGAATTGCCCTACGGGGGTAAATAATGTGCACCTTTACCTTTATCCAAACAAAAAGCTTTGTTGGATTTTTTGCTCTGGATGTAATTTATCTGAGATGGCTGACTTCACCGAGAGAGACAGAAATGTGCCGCGAGGCATCTTTTCTACCGGAAATCAACTGAAGAAGAAGATCCAAACAAACAAATAAATACATCATTCTAAAAGGTTCTAACAACAGTGATAAAGTGCAGCCGCAGCAGCAGCAGCAGCAGCAGCAGCAGCAGCAGGTGGTGAAGCCGCTGGGGATGGGACGCTTCTCTGGTTGATATGTGCAGAGTCTGTTTGGATCCAACCATTTTCTCTGCTCTGGTTCAGAGTGAAATTCTTATTGTATTAATGGAATTTAACAAATATAAAGTGTATTTCTGCTTATTCTGTTTGGTTGAGACCATCCTCTCTGTTCTGGTCTGGATTAGTGTAAAACCATTACATTACATTGTACTGCAGTAATATTTACAGACACAAACAAAACGATTGTAAAACACATCACAACAATTGTTTTAGACACTTTTAGGACTTTCTTCAGTTTCTGAGTCAAAAGTAAAAACACATCAGGCGTCCGTATTGTATTGTATAATTGTGACGTGTGTGTGGTATTATGTAAAAGGAAGTGTTTTCCTTTTGGTCTAATCTGATGATTTATTAATGTGTGCGTCTGCTTCATTCATCCACGTCTGATGCTCATTCATCATTTCAGCTTTGGTTCTGATCCGATAAATGTGATGACTTTCTGTTCTGGACACGTGTGGCATATCCGTTTGTCTGTGTGTGTGTGTATGTGTGTAAGTGTGTGTGTGTGTGTGTGTGTGTGTGTGTGTGAGGGTTTGTGTGCATATGTCTGTGTGTCTATGCAAGTACAGTAAGTAAGTAAGTAATGTTTATTTATATAGCACATGTTACAGACCAAGGTACAGACCCAAAGCTCTTTCCAATGTTCAGAGTCAGATATTGTTCCAATCCTTCCACACACGGTGATGACAGAAGTGAGTCCAGAACACACTGGACCATCAGCTCCAACACCATCCATTCACTCTCTCATTTACATTCAGAACTATTGTGCATGTTTTTAGTGGTAGGGGAAACCGGAGCACCCGGAGAAAACCTACGCAGACACGGGGAGAACAGGCAAACTCCACTCAGAAAGGCCATGTTTCGACCAGGATTTGAACCCAGGACCTTCTTGCTGAGAAGCGAGAGTGCTATCCACTCAGCCCATATATGTGTGTGTGTCTGTGTGTCCCAGTATGTGTGTGTGGGTGCATATGTCTGTGTGTTTATGTATCTGTGTGTGTGTGTCTGTGTGCATATGTCTGTGTGTCTATGTATGTGTCTGTGTGTCTATGTATGTGTGTGTGTGTGCATTTGTCTGTGTGTCTATGTATCTGTGTGTGTGTGTCTGTGTGCATATGTCTGTGTGTGAGTGTGTGTGTGTGTCTGTGTGCATTTGTCTGTGTGTCTATGTATCTGTGTGTGTGTGTGGGTTTCTGTGTTTGTCCGTATCTGTGTGCATATGTCTGTGTGTGTGGGTACATATGTCTGTGTGTATGTGTTGGTGTGTGCGCGTCTGTGTGCATATGTCTGTGTGTGTATGTATGTGTGTGTGTGTGTGTGTATGTATGTGTGCGCCTGTGCATATGTCTGTGTGTGTGTGTGTGTGTGTGCCTATGTCTGTGCGTCTATGTGTGTGTATACGTCTGTGTGTGTCAGTATGTGTGTTGTGTCTGTGCGCGTGTCTGTGTGCATACGTGTGTGTGTCTATGTCCATATGTCTGTGGGTATGTCAGTAGTGTGCGCGTAACTGTGTGTTGTGTCTATATCTATGCGTGTGCTTGTGTGTGTGTGTCTACGTGCACGCGTGTGTGTGCCTTTCGCGTAATGATCCCGCGCGCGCTGCTCCTCCTCCGCCCTTTAATCCCTTATATCCACTAATACCTCCACACACACTCCCCACACACTCCCCACACACTCCACACTCACCACAGCCTCTCACAGCCTCTGACGCCGCAGAGAGAGCCCCAGGCGCTGCTCTGCCTCCACTACTCAACTTTTTCCCGTTTGTTTTCCAGCGCAACTGAAGTTTTGAGGTAAGTTTTTTGGTCTTATACTTGCAGCGTCTTTAGATCACGTGGGTATAGAAACTTGTGCGTCAAACCAAACAGCGACTTTTGGTATATTATAAAACGGAATCACTCATTGCCTGTGGATTAAAGTGCGTTGATGGGAGTACTTTGGGAGGGTCAGAGCCTAATTGTTGATTTCTTAATGGCCTCGGTAACTCTCAAAGGGCAGCGCAGCGTAAAGAGCAAAGCTGCAATTCAGTAATGTACAAAGTGATGACTGAATATAATAGACTTTATTACTGGTATTTTTATGTGTAATTTCAGATGGAACAAAATGAGTTAGTACATGTTTATATCAGGGTTTTGAAACATATGATCCAAAAAAACTTTGGACAAATACTAAGTTAACATCAGTCTGAACTTGACCAAATCTCTCTGGTCCCTCAGGTCTTTCTGGCCTCTCTCTCTGGTCTCTCTGTTTTCTCTCAGGTCTCTCTTTGATCTATCTATGGTCTCTCTCCAGTCCCTCTCTGGGGTCTTTCTGGTCTCTCTTTGGTCCCTCTTTGGTCTCTCTCTGGTCTCCCTCTGGTCTCTCTCTGGTCCCTCTCTGGTCCCTCTCTGGTCTCTCACTGGTCTTTCTCTGGTCTCTCTCTGGTCCCTCTCTGGTCCCTCTCTGGTCTCTCTCTGGTCTCTCTCCGGTCCCTGGTCTCTCTCTCTGGTCCCTCTCTGGTCTCTCTCTGGTCTCTCTCTGGTCCCTCTCTGGTCTCTCTCTGGTCTCTCACTGGTCCCTCTCTGGTCCCTCTCCGGCCCCTGGTCTCTCTCTGGTCTCTCTCCGGTCCCTGGTCCCTCTCTGGTCTCTCTCTGGTCCCTCTCCGGCCCCTGGTCTCTCTCTGGTCTCTCTCCGGTCCCTGGTCTCTCTCTGGTCTCTCTCCGGTCCCTGGTCTCTCTCTGGTCTCTCTCTGGTCTCTCTCTGGTCTCTCTCCGGTCCCTGGTCTCTCTCTGGTCTCTCTCTGGTCTCTCTCTGGTCTCTCTCTGGTCTCTCTCTGGTCTCTCTCTGGTCTCTCTCCGGTCCCTGGTCTCTCTCTGGTCGCTCTCTGGTCTCTCTCTGGTCGCTCTCCGGTCCCTGGTCCCTCTCTGGTCTCTCTCTGGTCTCTCTCTGGTCTCTCTCTGGTCCCTGGTCTCTCTCTGGTCCCTTTCTGGTCCCTCTCTTATATGTCCACTTTCAGATTAAACAAAATTATTGAATACATGTTTATAACATGTGGTTTGACAGATACTAATGATCCAACAAAACTCTGAACTTGACCAAATCAAAACACATTTGCAGACCTAAATAGTCCGTTAACTGGTATTGATAATTTTTTTGTATATATTTTTGCCATTTTTGAACATTATTTTAAATGTACTACTAGACACATTAATAATATAAAAGACTTCATAAATTGAGGTTAAAGTAAATATGGTTATAATCCAAATGACATTGTTTTTCTTGGCTCAGGCTGGTTTCACTATAGCCTGTTTTACTTTGTATTAGTATCTATTGTATTTATTAAAAGTAATAACACTGTAAACCGATCCAGGACAAAGGTCAAACACAGCAGGACGCACAGGCGCAGAGCAGAGACCGGCTTCATAACAACTACATATGATGAACAAGTAATTTAAAAATGGAAATAAAATAGAAACACATACATTAAAAGTCTTGATAAAATAGAGCGAGAGGAAGTTTGTTGCACTAAAGTGTGGATTTATAGAAAAATCCTCACAAAATGCGACCTTTATGAAAACTGTAGGTTCCCTGAGTTCTATGGGACATTGAGTTCTGTGGGACATTTTTCTGGGTACCACGGGTGCCCCCTGTGCCCGTGGGTGGGACAGCTATGAGCTAGTACTACACTATCCAGTTATTATTATAGACCCATGGTAATACTCTATCCAGTTATTATTATAGACCCATGGTAATACACTATCCAGTTATTATTATAGACCCATGGTAATACTCTGTCCAGTTATTATTATAGACCCATGGTAATACACTATCCAGTTATTATTATAAATGGATATAATAATAACTGGATAGTTATTGTTATTGAATCTTATTGGATAGTTTTCCTGCTTATCTCTAAAAATACATCAATACAATAATATCTATTCAAATATATAAACTTAAAAGTATACAGGAGGATTATCACAAATTTTAGGAAAGAACTGTTTTTTGAACAAAACTCTCTGGTCTCATTTGACGAGCACGTGTAACCAGAATGATTTACAATTGAGAGAACCAATAGTCTTGATGATCCACTTTGAAGTAGAAAATCCTCCTAGATACCTTTAACTAACCCCAGACTTAACTCATAATTGATCAATAATAACTGTGTCCATAAAGTCTGAAAACATTCCCCACCCTGGCCCTTATGGATCCAAGATATGTAAGTCTATACTAACCTCCATTCAGTTCCTCCTACACGCTTTCATTAACAGTTTGTCACATGGGAGCGCCAACGCAGACAGTAGTAACTTAGAGAATGAAGCCCAGCAGGTTTCAGACACGACCTGACCACACACACACACCCAGAGTATTCTTCACTGCCTCCGTCTCACTGACAGAACCTCTTTCTTGTGTCTTGGCTTGCTCCCGCGGCAGGAATGGCTTCATCCGCGGAGACAGAGAGTTCCCTCACACCGGTGGATTTCATTCAGCTGCAACATTATATGGACGGTAAGGCAGCACAAAGAGAGGATTTAGACTGTGACATTATCTGCTTACCCGTTAGTTCATTCTGGAAACCTGTAGACGGCATTTTTACAATCTATCTATCTATCTCTGAAATGTATCCATCAGTTACTATACATTGCTTGCACTAGAATACACATTATTTTATGCCACTTGTATTCAGACCTGAAAAGTCCTTTGCTCCGCTTGCTTGATCCGAATCAAAAGCGGACCAAACTTTTTTCTTTTGCTCCGGTTCGTATTCAGACTGTCCTTTTTGCAAGTGAACTTTTTTATATAAACATATTGATACGTGTGACGATCGGCGCTCCTATTGGACAGCGAGAGCTCACGGAGGATAGACGCGGAACCAGAGGAAAACATTGAGATCGTATGTGCAGCAGTCTGCTCTGCCTGTGTTTGCTCTTTTTAGAGCAAAACCACCTTCAACATCAACAGCAGCTCATATGACACAGGCCAAACACCTTGTTTTAAATATTGGAACAGCGTCGGAGAATGCGTGAGGAGAAAGCTGAAGGAGACTGTCTGTGCGCTCCGTGCCCTGTCCCACACATGGATCTATGATAATAACTCTGTCCCACACATGGATCTATGATAATAACTCTGTCCCACACATGGATCTATGATAATAACTCTGTCCCACACATGGATCTATTATAATAACGGCCCTGTTCAGCATTGTGGATAAACCATGGATCTATAATAACCACGGGACAAACAGACGCTGAGGATCAGGTAGGAACCAAAGAACACAATTCACTACATGATGCGGAATATTGCTCTTTGAGACGTGAGTCAAACAGTGTCACGTTTTTAATAATGCAAATGGTTTAAAGATACTGCCATTAACATCACTGTGAACTGTGAACAGTTGTGACTCCATAAGCCTGTTGCACAGCGTCTCCTCACTGCTCCAGGTCTGCACACGCTCAGTGTTGTTGTGTAGCGTTAGCAGCATAGTTAGCATCATAGTTAGCAGCTGCGTGGCTAATTCCTCAGTTTCTGTCTGCGGTGCTTGTTAAGCCCAAAAAATGCGCACGTATCTTGGAGTTGTGTCGGATCGACACCGGATGTATTCAGACCTGATTCGGTTTGGACCAGAATTCGTTTGGAAGCGGACCGAGACCACCTAAAAAAGTGGGTCTCGGTTCGGTTCTTTGGTCCGGACCAGGATTCGTTTGTGTGTATTCAGACCTGCATAAAAGCTTCGGATCAGAGTTCCAAACGAATCCTGGTCCGTTTAAAGTGGAGCAAATGTGCAGGTCTGAATACACCCTTAAACTTTTATACATATTTTTTATTATTATTATTTTCAAGATAGAGATTTTAGACTTGTTCTTTGATGCTAGATTTAGAGAATTATTATTAGTAGTAGTAGTAATCTTTATTTATATACCGCCTTTTCACTGCACATAGGAGTCTCAAAGCGGTTTACAATTGTTATTTTTGGGAGTGGGGGTGCCAGTACAGGAGGCACATGCCAGACCTATTGTACATATTTTTAGTGGTAGGGGAAACCGGAGCACCCGGAGGAAACCAGTGTTGTGCCAGTTCACAGCTTTTCTGAACTAGTTCAAGTTCAGTTCATACATGCTCAAAGTGAACAGTTCACGTTCAAAGTTCACAATTTTAATTCTGAACTAGTTTAAAGTTCAGTTCATTTTACTATTTTTTGTGAAATAGTCAAATAAATACTTTTTTTTCACACTACGAGCTCTATACAGTGCCTTGCAAAAGTATTCGGTCCCCTTGAACCCTTCAACATTTCGCCACATTTCAGGCTTCAAACATAAAGATATAAAATTTTAATTTTTTGTCATGAATCAACAACAAGTGGGACACAATCGTGAAGTGGAATGAAATGTATTGGATAATTTAAACTTTTTTAACAAATAAAAAACTGAAAAGTGGGGTGTGCAATATTATTCGGCCCCTTTACTTTCAGTGCAGCAAACTCAGTCCAGAAGTTCAGTGAGGATCTTTGAATGATCCAATGTTGTCCTAAATGACTGATGATGATAAATAGAATGCACCTGTGTGTAATCAAGTCTCCGTATAAATGCACCTGCTCTTTGATAGTCTCAGGGTTCTGTTTAAAGCGCAGAGAGAACCATGAAGACAAAGGAACACACCAGGCAGGTCCGAGATACTGTTGTGGAGAAGTTTAAAGCCGGATTTGGATACAAAAAGATTTCCCAAGCTTTAAACATCTCAAGGAGCAGTGTGCAAGCAATTATATTGAAATGGAAGGAGTATCAGACCACTGCAAATCTACCAAGACCCGGCCGTCCCTCCAAACTTTCATCTCAAACAAGGAGAAGACTGATCATAGATGCAGTCAAGAGGCTCATGATCACTCTGGATGAACTGCAGATAACTACAGCTGAGGTGGGGATGGTGTGTTCAGGGTGATGAGCTGTGTTGCTTTTACGCCAAACATATCGTTTTGCATTGTGGCCAAAAAGTTTGATTTTGGTTTCATCTGACCAGAGCACCTTCTTCCACATGTTTGGTGTGTCTCCCAGGTGGCTTGTGGCAAACTTTAAGAGACTTTTATTGGATATCTTTGAGAAATGGCTTTCTTCTTGCCACTCTTCCATAAAGGCCAGATTTGTGCAGTGCACAACTGATTGTTGTCCTATGGACAGACTCTCCCACCTCAGCTGTAGTTATCTGCAGTTCATCCAAAGCGATCATGGGCCTCTTGGCTGCATCTCTGATCAGTCTTCTCCTTGTTTGAGATGAAAGTTTGGAGGGACGGCCGGGTCTTGGTAGATTTGCAGTGGTCTGATACTCCTTCCATTTCAATATAATTGCTTGCACAGTGCTCCTTGAGATGTTTAAAGCTTGGGAAATCTTTTTGTATCCAAATCCGGCTTTAAACTTCTCCACAACAGTATCTCGGACCTGCCTGGTGTGTTCCTTTGTCTTCATGGTTCTCTCTGCGCTTTAAACAGAACCCTGAGACTATCAAAGAGCAGGTGCATTTATACGGAGACTTGATCACACACAGGTGCATTCTATTTATCATCATCAGTCATTTAGGACAACATTGGATCATTCAAAGATCCTCACTGAACTTCTGGACTGAGTTTGCTGCACTGAAAGTAAAGGGGCCGAATAATATTGCACACCCCATTTTTCAGTTTGTAATTTTTTTTTAAAGTTTAAATTATCCAATAAATGTTGTTCCACTTCACGATTGTGTCGCACTTGTTGTTGATTCATGACAAAAAATTAAAATTTTATATCTTTATGTTTGAAGCCTGAAATGTTGCAAAATGTTGAAAGGTTCAAGGGGGCCGAATACTTTCGCAAGGCACTGTATATATATATATATATATATATATACATATATATATATGAGGTATATATACCTCATATATATATATATATATATATATATAGGATATATATATATATATATTTATATGAGGTATATATATATATATATATATGTCCTGTACACCCACAGGAGGAGAGCCTTATGACTACAAAACAGACAAGATTTACATGGTTTTCAATGGGAGCAAAACGGAGTTGCCCCATCTCTGCTCATAAACTACAGACAGTAATGCGCTGCAGTGCTGTGTCTGTACTTTATGCTCATAAACTACAGACAGTAATGCGCTGCAGTGCTGTGTCTGTACTTTATGCTCATAAACTACAGACAGTAATGCGCTGCAGTGCTGTGTCTATACTTTATGTCAAATGTAAACGGTGTAAACTTTGTCGCTAACTCACCCTGTGTTTTCATCACGACTCGGGCACATGTGAAAAGCACCAGCTCACAGCGCCGCAACACAGAGTCGGGGTGCGTTCACAGACGGTGGAAACCGTAGGATTTTTTTGATTTTGGCGGAAAAAGTGCGAGAATACAGGAGGGAGGAACTTTCTCTCGTTGCGTTTCAAAAGAGAAAACAGATTCCAACGTTCATAGTGATGTCTGCCGTTCATGACACATAAAATGAACTAATTCACGTTCAAGTTCTTTTTTTTAAAATGTGTTGCGTTCAGTTCAACGTTCACGAAAAAATGGGCGTGTTCAATGAACGCGTTCTTTTGAACTCGTTCACGCACAACACTGGAGGAAACCTACACAGACACGGGGAGAACATGCAAACTCCACTCAGAAAGGCCCTGGTACAACCGGGATTCGAACCCAGGACCTTCTTGCTGAGAGGCGAGAGTGCTATCCACTCAGCCACCGTGCTGTTCTGTAACTTGTAATGCAACACTGAAATTTCCCCACTGTGTGACGTATAAAGGATCTCTTCATCTTAAAATATACAACATGGTCAAATACTTTTCTTCCCTCATTAGTTTCTATGTTCCTCTCGTGTTATGAAAAGTAAATAAAAAGCCAAACACAACTATTTTGACTTAAAGAATAACATTTTCCAACATGTTTTTTCATTTATATTTTGCAGATAGCAATAAAAGAGTAAAAGATGTGATAAAACACTTTCATCCTGGAGGTAAACTGGCCCAGCACACGTTTGGAGAGGTGAGTCCACTGCTCTGTCTCCTGTTTACGACTCCCACAACCGTCATTTTGACTGCTCTTACCCCAAAAATGTTTCGTTTTTTTTAACAGAAGTAGTAAAAGTCCGTTTATTTTTTATTTTTTTTCCTCTACTCACATTTAATTAAGTACTAAAACTGGTGAATATAACTTGAAATGCAGCAAAAAGCAGTTTGTTGACAGGCTAATAATGCTAACTGGTAGCAAGTAAACATTGAGTTGCTATGGTAACGAGTACTGGAGGGACAACTACTTTCATTTCAAAAGCAAGAGAAAATGTCATATAAATAATGTCATATAAATAAACTACACATAGAGACAGAAAAAGTTACAAACATTTACATACGATAATTAATTACGCCAGACTGAAACTAATCTAATCTTTTATTTATATACCGCCCTTTCACTGCACATCGGAGTCTCAAAGCGGTTTACAATTGTTATTTTTGGGAGTGGGGGTGCCAGTACAGGAGGCACATGCCAGAACTATTGTACATATTTTTAGTGGTAGGGGAAACCGGAGCACCCGGAGGAAACCTACGCAGACACAGGGAGAACATGCAAACTCCACTCAGAAAGGCCCTGGTCCAACCAGGATTCGAACCCAGGACCTTCTTGCTGAGAGGCGAGAGTGCTATCCACTCAGCCACCGTGCCGCCACCTGTCAAATGTGTTAGCCTACTGTCTACCACCTTCAATGCTGTGTTGTAAAGCTGCGGGTGTGTAATGTGTCCCTCTGTTGTGTTGCTCAGTGTCTGGATGAGGGCGGCTTCTCTCTCTTCATGAAAACATACCTGGATGTCCGGGACGTTCCCTCGGATTTCTGTAAACGACTCTTTGGGTATTTTAAACACACGGATCACAATGGAGCAGGGAGCTGTCAGCTGCAGAGAGGAGGTAATAACTGAGAAAAGATAGACTTTGTTGATCTCACACTGCAGAAATGTACATGTCACGTTAGCACAGACAGTCTCTCAGCTTGTGTAAACGACAGAAGTATGTAAACATGTTAAAGGTTAGAAATATAGTCTGTGCAGGATATAATTAATAATCAAAACATAGTCAGCTGCTGATGTAGATAGAAGGTTTTGTGCTGAAGAAATTACAACTGATTCAGATCGGAAGTTTTTGTCAGGAGACTTCAATGTCTTAAAAAAATGCAAAATTATCTTGCAAATAGCCTGAGAATGTGGAGTTACCTGTAGCCTTCTTCTTACCATTTATTGTGAAAAACCAAAATCGAGGTTTTTTCAGCCCTAGTGCATTAGTGACTTAAAGTGACTTATCGTACAGTCTGACAGCGGTGGGATGAAGAAGGAGAATCGTGTTGTTTCTGTACCTTTGACCAGTGTTCACCAAACTTTTAAAGCCGTCATTGTCCAAAAAAAAAAGGACGTGACTCAGAATACCAAGATTCAAGAGTTCAATAAACAATATTTAATTCTCTTTACAATCAAATACTGATACAAGAGTCTTTGAGCTCCTATATTTCCCTTTCTATCCCTGCGAGCTGCACACATCATCACAAATAAAATGTGCAGAAGGGGCTCTTCAGGAGGCGTCATCTTTTGGGTCATATATGGTAAGACCGACTGAGACCCTGGTCTGCGTCTGGTCTAGTCCAGTCTCCTGTACGATGAGATAGTGAGCGCTACTGCAGGGCCTTTATCCCCCCCGCTGTCAGACTGTACAATAAGTCCCTTTAAGTCACTTGCACTAGGACTGAAAACCTGCACTATTGACACTTTTTATTGTTCATAATGTATCCTGAAAATACTATAATTTTGCCTTTAGCATGTTTCACACGTTTTACCGTAAACTCATTGACCGTAGGAAAACACATCATATGAAAGCACTTTGATTCTTTGGTAGATTTTGAGTGGCTCTTTGAACACAGACTTGTATAATATATCTCATACTTACCTGTAGCTGCTTTTCAGAAGTGAGCAGAGATGAAGTCACAAAAGTCCCAATGTGCTCCTTTTTGCTCCGACACCCATCACCTCCAACACCCATCACCTCCGACACCCATCACCTCCAACACCCATCACCTCTGGCACCCATCACCTCCGACACCCATCACTTCCGACACCCATCACCTCCGACACCCATCACCTCCGACACCCATCACCTCCGACACCCATCACCTCCGACACCCATCACCTCCGACACCCATCACCTCCGACACCCATCACCCCCGACACCCATCACCTCCAACACCCATCACCTCCGACACCCATCACCTCCGACACCCATCACCTCCGACACCCATCACTTCCGACACTCATCACCTCCGACACCCATCACCTCCGACACCCATCACCTCCGACACCCATCACTTCCGACACTCATCACCTCCGACACCCATCACCTCCGACACCCATCACCTCCGACACCCATCACTTCCGACACCCATCACCTCCGACACCCATCACCTCCGACACCCATCACCTCCGACACCCATCACCTCCAACACCCATCACTTCCGACACCCATCACCTCCGACACCCATCACCTCCGACACCCATCACCTCCGACACCCATCACTTCCGACACCCATCACTTCCGACACTCATCACCTCCGACACCCATCACCTCCGACACCCATCACCTCCGACACCCATCACCTCCAACACCCATTACTTCCGACACCCATCACCTCCGACACCCATCACCTCCGACACCCATCACCTCCGACACCCATCACCTCCAACACCCATCACCTCCGACACCCATCACCTCCAACACCCATCACCTCCGACACCCATCACCTCCGACACCCATCACCTCCAACACCCATCACCTCCGACACCCATCACCTCCAACACCCATCACCTCCAACACCCATCACCTCCAACACCCATCACCTCCGACACCCATCACCTCCAACACCCATCACCTCCGACACCCATCACCTCACTATATCCCGACAAAGCTCAGAGATTTCATATCACTAACTACGTACAGTACATGCATTTAGGCCGTTCAAGTCTCATTCATAATTCAGATTTGAACTGGTTTTGTTGAAATACTTTGAAGACCTGCAGCTGTACTTTTGCCTCTGACCCCTGTTGAATGTTGTCTCAGGTGGAGTCTTCCTTCGGGACGTGTCTTGTTATTTTTCTGTTCTGGAGGACGGACAGCCGCGAGACAAACTTGAATGTACGTTTCTTATTAAAAAAACATTTATGTATTTTATAAATGACCGAAATGTTATTAACAGAACAGATGTTTGTTCCTTTGTTTCCAGTTACATTTAAACTCTACGACAAAGACAACAACGGCCTCCTGGACAGTTCTGTGAGTGAAACACTAGTTATAGTCACAGTAGCAGCAGCAGCAGCAGCAGCAGGAGTAGCAGCAGCAGCAGCAGTAGCAGGAGTAGCAGCAGTAGCAGCAGCAGCAGCAGCAGCAGCAGCAGCAGCAGCAGTAGCAGCAGCAGGAGTAGCAGCAGTAGCAGCAGCAGCAGTAGCAGGAGTAGCAGCAGGAGTAGCAGCAGCAGCAGCAGCAGTAGCAGCAGCAGCAGCAGCAGCAGCAGTAGCAGCAGCAGCAGCAGCAGCAGCAGTAGCAGCAGCAGTAGCAGCAGTAGCAGCAGTAGTAGCAGCAGCAGCAGTAGCAGCAGCAGGAGTAGCAGCAGTAGCAGCAGTAGCAGCAGTAGCAGCAGTAGCAGCAGCAGTAGCAGCAGCAGGAGTAGCAGCAGTAGCAGCAGTAGCAGCAGCAGTAGCAGCAGTAGCAGCAGTAGTAGCAGCAGCAGCAGTAGCAGCAGCAGGAGTAGCAGCAGTAGCAGCAGTAGCAGCAGCAGTAGCAGCAGCAGGAGTAGCAGCAGCAGCAGTAGCAGGAGTAGCAGCAGGAGTAGCAGCAGCAGCAGCAGCAGTAGCAGCAGCAGCAGCAGCAGCAGCAGTAGCAGCAGCAGCAGCAGCAGCAGCAGTAGCAGCAGCAGCAGCAGCAGCAGCAGTAGCAGCAGCAGTAGCAGCAGTAGCAGCAGTAGTAGCAGCAGCAGCAGTAGCAGCAGCAGGAGTAGCAGCAGTAGCAGCAGTAGCAGCAGTAGCAGCAGCAGTACGCAGCAGCAGGAGTAGCAGCAGTAGCAGCAGTAGCAGCAGCAGCAGTAGCAGCAGTAGCAGCAGTAGTAGCAGCAGCAGCAGTAGCAGCAGCAGGAGTAGCAGCAGTAGCAGCAGTAGCAGCAGCAGTAGCAGCAGCAGGAGTAGCAGCAGTAGCAGCAGTAGCAGCAGCAGCAGTAGCAGCAGCAGCAGTAGCAGTAGCAGCAGCAGTAGCAGCAGCAGGAGTAGCAGCAGTAGCAGCAGTAGCAGCAGCAGCAGTAGCAGCAGCAGCAGTAGCAGTAGCAGCAGCAGTAGCAGCAGGAGTAGTAGTAGCAGCAGTAGCAGCAGCAGCAGCAGTAGCAGCAGCAGCAGCAGTAGCAGCAGCAGCAGCAGCAGCAGGAGTAGTAGCAGCAGCAGCAGTAGCAGCAGTAGCAGCAGTAGTAGCAGTAGCAGCAGCAGCAGCAGCAGCAGTAGCAGTAGTAGTAGCAGCAGTACATGCCAGTAGAGTAGGGCCAGATCCAAAACTGGAGGATTATAATTGAATAATTACAGAACAGACTTGAAAACAAGTCTTTGCCCAAAGCCCCACTGAAAGATCAAGGCTATGCTCACACTCAGAGAGCAGCCGTCCTCCTGTGGACTCACCACCTGCAGAGGGTCAGTGAGGGGCTGGTGCTATGAGACTTGGGTGGCATCTCTGACTGCCACCCCCCTGACCCAGAAATGGATTAAAGGGTAGAACATGGATGGATGGATGGACTTGAACACATGGGCACTCATCAACAGGGTGTGGTTTTAGGATATATAGGTTTTATTTATAGAAAATACAAGGTATTGAAATCATCATCACCGTAAGCAGCTAAACAGAACTGTTTTTAACCTGGGTTTGAACATTTTCAGGAAGACTGTCCCAGATTTTATCTACATGAATCTGAAATGCTGCCTCCACATGTTTTGTCAGGAGACCAGTCCCTGTTTTCATTCCAACTGAGCAGGAGCAACACTCCACTCCAGAGAATGGGTGGAGTCTGGCTCCTGCTGGGTTGGAATGAAAACCTGCAGCCACACCAGGCCTTTGAGGACTGGTTCAACACCCCTGATTATGGTTTCTAGTAAGAAGCCATAATCTCATTATCTTTTAGTAGTGTCTGTACAAGTAGTAGTAGTAGTACCAGTAGTACACTGCAAAAAATGATCAAATATGAGATCATAATTGCTAGAATCAAGTTTTTTTTTAGCCAGATGTTGTGTGTGCGGACTGGGTCGCCGAGGTCTCCGCCTTCGACTGCCGCCCAGTCCTCTCAGCACCGCTTCACCACGGACCCCTCTGCAGGTGGTGGGCCCACAGGAGGGACTGCCCACGTCATCCCTTCCGGCTGAGCCCGGCCGGGCCCCGTGGGCTAAGGCCCGGCCACCAGGCGCTCGCATACGGGCCCCGACCCCAGGCCTGGCTCCAGGGTGGGGCCCCGGCTGCGCCATGCCGGGCGACGTCACTGTTTTCATAATAGTGTTGTCCATGGTGTCTTCTGGACTGCTCTTTGTCTGACTCGTCACCTGAGACCTGACAGGTGACGTGTCAGTTTTTTTTTAGAGGGGTTGGACGCTCCACTTTTCTGGAGTTTCCCGCGGGGAGAGGCGGCAAGCTGGGGTGGCCATTCTCATTGCCCCCCATCTCAGCCGCCACATGTTGGAGTTCTCCCCGGTGAATGAGAGGGTCGCGTCCCTCCGCCTTCGGGTGGGGGACAAGTCTCTCACTGTTGTGACGGCCTACGGGCCTAACAGCAGTGCAGAGTACCCGGCCTTCTTGGAGTCCTTGGGAGGGGTACTGGACGGTGCACCGCCCGGGGACTCCGTTATTCTCCTGGGGGACTTCAACGCCCATGTGGGAAACGCCAGTGACACTTGGAGAGGGGTGATCGGGAAGAACGGCCCCCCTGATCTGAACCCGAGCGGTGCCCAGTTGTTGGACTTCTGTGCCAGTCACGGTTTGTCCATCACGAGCACCATGTTCGAGCACAAGGGTGTCCACCAGTGCACGTGGCACCAGGACACCCTAGGCCGGAGGTCGATGATCGACTTTGTTGTCGTATCATCTGACCTTCGACCGCGTGTCTCGGGACACTCGGGTAAAGAGAGGGGCGGAGCTGTCAACCGATCATCACCTGGTCGTGAGTTGGATCCGCTGGCAGGGGAAGAAGCCGGTCAGACCTGGCAGACCCAAGCGTATAGTGAGGGTCTGCTGGGAACGTCTCGCTGAGCCCCCTGTCAGACGGACTTTCAACTCACACCTCCGGGAGAGTTTCTCCCAGGTCCCGGCGGAGGAGGGGGACATGGAGTCCGAGTGGACCATGTTCTCTGCCTCAATCGCCGATGCGGCGGCTCGTAGCTGTGGTCGCAAGGTCTCTGGTGCTGGTCCCGGCGGCAACCCCCGAACCCGGTGGTGGACACCGGCAGTAAGGGATGCTGTCAGGCTGAAGAAGGAGTCCTATCGAGCCATGATGGTTCGGGGGACTCCTGAGGCAGCTGTCCAGTACCGGCAGGCCAAGCGTGCCGCGGCCCGGGCTGTTGCAGAGGCAAAAACCCGGGACTGGGAGGAGTTCGGAGAGTCCATGGAGCATGACTATCGGTCGGCCTCGAAGAGATTCTGGCAAACCATCCGGCGCCTCAGGAGGGGGAAGCAGTTCTTTGCCAACACCATGTACGGCGCGGGTGTCGGGCGGTGGAAGGAATACTTTGAGGTTCTCCTCAATCCCCCCGTCACGTCCTCTGTTACAGAGGCAGAGGCTGAGGATGTTGGGGCGGGTACATCCATCTCCCTGGCTGAGGTCACCAAGGTGGTTGGTAGCCTCCATGGTGGCAAGGCTCCGGGTGTGGATGAGATTCGCCCTGATTATCTAAAGTCTCTGGATGTTGTAGGACTGTCTTGGCTGACACGTCTCTGCAACATCGCGTGGCGATCGGGGGCAGTGCCAATGGAGTGGCAGACCGGGGTGGTGTTCCCTCTCTACAAGAAGGGGGACCGGAGGGTGTGTTCCAATTATCGTGGGATCACACTCCTCAGCCTCCCCGGTAAGGTCTACTCCAAGGTACTGGAGAGGAGGTTACGGCCGATGGTCGAATCTCGGATCCAGGAGGAGCAGTGTGGTTTTCGTCCCGGTCGCGGAACACTGGACCAGCTCTATACTCTCCATCGGATACTCGAGGGTTCATGGGAGTTCGCCCAACCTGTCCACATGTGCTTTGTGGATTTGGAGAAGGCGTTCGACTGTGTTCCCCGGGGTGTCCTTTGGGGGGTTCTCCGGGAGTACGGGGTCGGAGGTCCTCTGCTGAGGGCCATCCGATCCCTGTATGACCAGAGCCAGAGCTGTGTTCGCATTGCCGGCAGTAAGTCAGACCTGTTCCCGGTGAATGTTGGCCTCCGACAGGGCTGCCCTTTGTCACCGGTTCTGTTCACTGTATTTATGGACAGAATATCTAGGCGCAGCCAGGGGTCGGCGGGGGTCCGGTTCGGAGACCACAGGATTTCATCTCTGCTGTTTGCGGACGATGTTGTCCTGTTGGCTCCAACGAACCAGGACCTGCAGCATGCACTGGGACGGTTTGCAGCCGAGTGTGAAGCGGCTGGGATGAGAATCAGCACCTCCAAATCCGAGGCCATGGTGCTCGACCGGAAAAAGGTGCCTTGCCCTCTGCAGGTGGGTGGAGAGGTCCTTCCTCAAGTGGAGGAGTTCAAGTATCTCGGGGTCTTGTTCACGAGTGAGGGAAGAATGGAGCGTGAGATTGACAGGCGGATCGGTGCAGCGTGCGCAGTTATGCGGTCGCTGTATCGGACCGTTGTGGTGAAGAGGGAGCTGAGCCGAAAGGCAAAGCTCTCGATTTACCGGTCAATCTTCGTTCCCTGCCTCACCTATGGTCATGAGCTTTGGGTAATGACCGAAAGAACGAGATCGCGGATACAAGCGGTCGAAATGAGCTTCCTCCGCAGAGTGGCTGGGCGCTCCCTTAGAGATAGGGTGAGGAGCTCAGTCACACGGGAGGAGCTCGGAGTAGAACCGCTGCTTCTCCACGTCGAGAGGAACCAGTTGAGGTGGCTCGGGCATCTGTTCCGGATGCCTCCTGGACGCCTCCCTGGGGAGGTGTTCCGGGCACGTCCCACCGGGAGGAGGCCCCGCGGAAGACCCAGGACACGCTGGAGGGACTATGTCTCTCAGCTGGCCTGGGAACGCCTTGGGGTCCCCCCGGACGAGCTGGAGGAAGTGTGTGTGGATAGGGAAGTCTGGGCGTCTCTGCTTAGACTGCTGCCCCCGCGACCCGGCAACGGATAAAGCGGAAGAAAATGGATGGATGGATGGATGGAGTTTTTTTTTACTTGACTTAAGTTCATTCTGACTGTCTTAAAATGAGATTTGCCAATGAGACAAGCAATTTTGACTTGATTCAAGAACTATTGCTTTATTTTCTCATTCCAAGAGAAAAATATCTTGTATCTTTTTAAAACGAGACAATTTTTCTTGTTCCACTGGCAAATCTTGTTTTAAGGCAGTCAAAATGTGCTCATATTTAGATACATTTAGCCAAATTTGAGCATTTTTTTGTCTTTAATTCTGTCATCTTTTGCAGTGTAGTACTAGCAGCAGTAGAAGTAAGGAAGGGTAACAGCAGCAGCAATACTGTTGTAGTAAAAGGAGGAATATGAGTAGCATCAGAAGTATTAGTTGATGTCGGACTGCAGCAGTGAGTAGAAGTTTCCGTAGTAGTAATATTAGTTGTAGTTGATGTTATAAAGTGCTGCTATAAGTTTACAATCTTTTTCAGGAGGTGGATCGGATCATTACTCAAATGATGAGAGCCGCGAACTACCTCGGCTGGGACGTGACTGAGATCAAACCTGTACGTGACGTATCCACTATAAGTACTTTCAGATAAACTGGTCTATCATCTATCTTTCTATTTATCTTATTTTTCACATTACACTTATCTTTTCCCCCACTACACTGCAAAAAGTGATGACAAATAAATCCAAAATTGATCAAATTTGGCAAATTAAATCTAAACTTGAGCACATTCTGACTAGTACAAAGCAAATCAATCTTGTTTTAAAAAGATACAAGAAATGTCTCTCTTGGAATGAGAAAATAAAGCATCAGTTCTTGGAAAAAGACTAAATGGCTTTTGGAGAATCTTGTTTTAACACAAACAGAATGTGCTCAGATTAGGATCAAAACCACTCCATTCAAGCAATTATTATCTCATAGTTTATCTGTGTTATAAAAAGTAAATAAAAAGCCAATCATAAAAATATAGTAACAAACAAAACATACCAAAAACAGACACAGACTATTTATAGATCTGCTTTTATGACCTTGGATCAGTCTGAAACGGAGCCGTGATCTGGGAACACGGGGAGGAACTGATGATTTTGTTCCAGATGCTGAAGGACATGATGAAGGCCATCGACGTGGACGACAGCGGCACCGTGACTCTGGAGGAGTGGGTCAAAGGAGGAATGAACAACGTCCCGCTGCTGGTGCTGCTGGGACTCAAGGTACAAGGCCCTGACTCAGTCTGGAGACACTCACACGGACACAACAGGGGTTTGATTAGAATCGTATATTGGTTGGTTAATAACTGATACTACTTGAATTATCTGACTCTGAAGACAATCGTTGTGAGATGGTGGGAGCTGGTCCGAGGCGAGGCGGAGATGGGGAGGAGGAGGGTTGCTGCATGAATGAAGCCCCCTCGTAATATAAAGCTTTATGTTGTTGTGAAGCAGCAGTGGGAGGACTTTGTCTCTTGTCTCTCTGGTCTCGCTCTGGTCTCTTTCTGGTTTCTCTCTGGTCTCTCTCTGGTCTCTCTCTTGTCTCTCCCTGGTCTCTCTCTGGTCTCTCTCTTGTCTCTCTCTTATCTCTCTCTAGTTTCTCTCTTACTGGTCTCTCTCACAGTCATGAGTTCAGGTGGTTAGAAATGTCTATAAAGTGTTTGAGGGGTTTTACAGCTTTATAACTTACTTCTTCACATACAACTCTGAAGACAATCGTTGCGAGATGGTGGGAGCTGGTCCGAGGCGAGGCGGAGATGGGGAGGAGGAGGGTTGCTGCATGAATGAAGCCCCCTCGTAATATAAAGCTTTATGTTGTCGTGAAGCAGCAGTGGGAGGACTTGGAGTGCAGTGAGTCCTTCCATTCTGAATTTCTGCCTTAGCTCCACTGCTTCAGTAGTTGTAGTTGTACGCAGCGGTCAAACCAAGGCCCGTGGGCTGAGAGTGGCCCACCGCAGCATTGTTATTGGCCCCTGAAAAGATTTTCAGTTTTTACTGATTAAGGTACAGCATCGATGGTAGATTAATCCATTGCATGTTATACATCATTTTAAAGCTAATTTCTCCAAGAAAACAACCATATGATTTATTTCATTCTTAAGTTTTAACTCAACTGGTTTATAAATTGTTCACATTTAATAAAAATATAAATATCTGGTCAATCATTTAACGTTGACCCAGTTTTGGTTCAGTCCAAACATACAGTAACTGCCTTTAGTTTTTTACAGAAAATTCTACCAGAAAATAATCTCCAAACTCAGGGGAAACTAAAGTGGTCCTTTTGTCTAAATACCTTCATAATGTGTAAACGCAAAACATCCACAAATGCAAAGATGAGCTTCAAACACTTTTACTAATTAGTTTGACACCCCTAAAGTGGATAGCACTCTCGTTTCTCAGCAAGAAGGTCCTGGGTTCAAATGCCAGTTGGCCTGTCTGAGTTGAGTGGAGTTTGCATGTTCTCCTCGTGCGTAACTTCCCTAAGAGTCCTGAGCAATCTTTACAGCTGTACTCCGGGGACCACTGCTCCTGACAGACCGTAGTGACATTGCGAGATGGGTCAAATTCAGAGGGCAAAATTCCCTATGGAGATAAATTAAGTACACATTTACAAGTGTAATGAATATGTCACACAAGCACTATGTAAAAGTACAGTTTCAATTGAACAACAGCTCGACTCAGAGGACTTCACAACAATAACAAACAGAGAATCAAACAGCTCTCAGGAAAGGCAATAATAACAAACACATCGGAGCCATTGGTCCATAGGGAGTCTTTAAATGTGCATAAGTTTGAGTTTGATTTGTCTCTTCAGATGGTGGAGAAGGACGGGCAGCACACCTGGAGGATGCAACACTTCAACAAGCCGACGTACTGCGCCGTGTGTGAGAGCATGTTGCTGGGCCTGGCCAAACAGGGCCTCTGCTGCACCTGTGAGTCCTTCTGCTTCTGTTTTTAATCAGAGTAGAAACACTACTGCTCACTCGGATCAGAAAATACTGCTGTTGCCAGGTGCTCTCCAAGATCCTCCAGAGCAAATTGTGTAGTAGATACAAAGAGAATATTCAACACCCATCCTGAGCCAATGCATGAAGATCAAGATTCATTTTATATGCCATTTGCAGGAGAAAAAACACATTGGAAAAACCGTGCAAGATTACCCCAATGTGCACCAGATAGTACCCACCATGAAGAATCTTTAGTAATCAGAAAAAGTTGCCTCACTTTGAGCTTTCTCTTTTTGTATTGCTATAATTCCATAAATTTTTATTGGGAACACAGTCCTCATGATCTTTTATGAAACAGGAAGCTGAAATCTGTTGTGAATTCTACTTTTAGATTAAAGTACTAAACAACAGGGATAACTCTAAGTCGCCAGCAGGGGGCAGTGGTGCACTACAGATCCCTGCCACAGCTCATAGGTCAGGGGTCTCCATCCTTTCAGGTAGCTCCACAAAGGATTCAAGAATTTAACACATGATCCTGAATGATTCGCTTTTGAGTGATTTAATCTATTTTAACTATACATGTTTTCATTAATGCTGTGATACTGTATAATGGTATATTTTGTGTGTTCTCCTACACTTATACTAGGTTTTCTTTTACTTTTTGTCCACAGGCTGCAAATACACAGTCCATAACCAGTGTGCCAACAAGAACCCTGAACCCTGCGCTCGCACCTACGTCAAGTCCAAAAACGAGATTGGTGTAAGATTTCATTCTATTTCCTGTATTATTTCATCTTTTATAACAGCCTATAATTAAATTGATTATGACAGATTATTAATCACTAAACTACAGTTATCTTCTTTAGACTTTAAAATATCTAAAAGCAAAACTCATTAAATATATACAAACATTATTATTGGACCAATAACGCTATAACGCTACAACCACGGTCTTTCTTTCTCTGGTCTCTCTATCTGGTCTCTCTCTCTCTCTGGTCTCTTTCTCTGGTCTCTGTCTCGGGTCTCTCTCTGGCCTCTCTCTGGCCTCTCTCTGGTCTCTCTCTCTGGTCTCTCTCTGGCCTCTCTCTGGTCTCTCTCTCTAGCCTCTCTCTGGCCTCTCTCTGGTCTCTCTCTCTGGTCTCTCTCTGGCCTCTCTCTGGTCTCTCTCTCTGGCCTCTTTCTGGTCTCTCTCTCTGGCCTCTCTCTGGCCTCTCTCTGGCCTCTCTCTGGTCTCTCTCTCTGGCCTCTCTCTGGTCTCTCTCTCTGGCCTCTCTCTGGTCTCTCTCTCTGGTCTCTCTCTGGCCTCTCTCTGGTCTCTCTCTGGCCTCTCCCTTGTCTCTCTCTCTGGCCTCTCTCTGGTCTCTCTCTCTGGTCTTTCTCTGGCCTCTCTCTGGCCTCTCTCTGGTCTCTCTCTGGCCTCTCTCTGGTCTCTCTCTCTGGCCTCTCTCTGGTCTCTCTCTGGTCTCTCTCTGGCCTCTCTCTGGCCTCTCTCTGGCCTCTCTCTGGTCTCTCTCTGGCCTCTCTCTGGCCTCTCTCTGGTCTCTCTCTGGCCTCTCTCTGGTCTCTCTCTCTGGCCTCTCTCTGGCCTCTCTCTGGTCTCTCTCTGGTCTCTCTCTGGCCTCTCTCTGGCCTCTCTCTGGCCTCTCTCTGGTCTCTCTCTGGTCTCTCTCTGGCCTCTCCCTTGTCTCTCTCTCTGGTCTTTCTCTGGCCTCTCTCTGGCCTCTCTCTGGTCTCTCTCTGGCCTCTCTCTGGTCTCTCTCTCTGGCCTCTCTCTGGTCTCTCTCTGGTCTCTCTCTGGCCTCTCTCTGGCCTCTCTCTGGCCTCTCTCTGGTCTCTCTCTCTGGTCTCTCTCTGGCCTCTCTCTGGCCTCTCTCTGGTCTCTCTCTGGCCTCTCTCTGGTCTCTCTCTCTGGCCTCTCTCTGGTCTCTCTCTGGTCTCTCTCTGGCCTCTCTCTGGCCTCTCTCTGGCCTCTCTCTGGTCTCTCTCTGGTCTCTCTCTGGCCTCTCCCTTGTCTCTCTCTCTGGTCTCTTTCTGGTTTCTCTCTCTCTCTGGTCTCTGTCTCGTTTCTCTCTGGTCTCTCTCTCTGGCCTCTCTCTGGTCTCTGGTTTCTCTCTCTCTCTGGTCTCTGTTTTGTTTCTCTCTGGCCTCTCTCTGGCCTCTGCCTTGTCTCTCTCTCTGGTCTCTTTCTGGTCTCTCTCTTGTCTCTCTTACTTCAGCAGTCATGAGCTCTGGTTGTTAGAAAAGTGTATAAAGTGTGTGAGGGTTTTACAGCCTGAAAACTTACTTCTTCACAGATTTTACTTTTTGTGGGTTATTTTTAGAACGTAACCGCTGTGATAAATAAGGGACCACTGTAAAGAAAATATGATTGTATCTATGAGCATGTATATAATATAAATTGGATGGATTCTGTGTATCCAACTCCAACACTTCTTTTAAACATTTTGAGATTCACTTTTCCTGGATCGATGTAAAGCTTTTATTTATTTTTAAAGCAGGTTTCATTTCAACAACTAAAAAACACCTAAAAACCTGTCGCAGCACTTTAAATGTTGTCTCTGTAATTAGTCCACAGTAAGAAGCAAATGCACCACTGACAGGGACTTTAGAGATTTTATTCTGATCCGGATTATAATCTCCATGGCTTTTGTAAGACGGCTGTTTTAACTCACTTTACTAATGTTTTATATGAAGGACTTAATCCTCTGATTTAGGGACAATTTGGGTTTTTTTTTTTCAGCAGCATCATTCATCACACAGAAGCTTGTGTTGTTTTGTTTCCAATAGTGAAGTATCTAAGACCGACCTGGGCAAAGTGCGGCCCGAGTGCCACATTCGGCCTGATTCACATTGCTATGCGGCCCCCGGACCCTTTCCAGCCGTTAACCACAAACCGGTCTGTTGCAGAAGTGATTTTTGCTTAATTAAAATCCCAACAGTATAATTGCCCACCCCTGTGCTGGGAACTGCAGATGTGACAATAGTTTTTGTTTTCTCAATATTAAGTTGTGTTTAAATTAAATGATATTGTGACCGGTTTCTTGTGCTACTAAACTAGATATGATTTAAATTTTTTATAATTTTGTCATAATTATAGGCCTGAGTTTATCTTGATGCTTTGTCATATGCAAGAACTTAATTCATGTATTTTCAGCTCTAAAGCCTAGTGTATACTTGCGCGGCGTGGCTTACGTTAGCGGTTGCGGTGGACCTACGTAAGCACAATTGATGTTATACTGGCACGTTCCCCTTACGGAGTTTTGAGGAGAATGTTGTAATCCCACAACAAACCACATGAGGGCGATCACACAGGAGCGGTCCCATTTACGCTGCTACTTTGTCCTCTTCAGAACAACAATAACAAAAAAGCTGTTTGAGCTCATTACACGTGTTTCTACTGTAGGTTTATGTGATAGTTTTATGGATTCATTATTTTATAAGTCATTTCAACTGTGATGCTGTGAATAAAGACACAGTTCTTGTTGACAATGACATTTAACAGTGCCCTAAATATGTGTCATTAAACTCTAAAAATGCAGATGCTTTGACGAGGTTTAGGCTAAAGTTCTATATAATTACTCATCTTATCGAACTCTAGCATAAAACTGAGGACAAAAAAACAACTATTGTGTAGATAACTAGTTACTTATTATTGCAGCCATATGTTTATTGGGAATCCCTCTGTATACGTCCCTGTGCTGCGCTCAAATCATTTCAAACCGCACAACAGCCTGGAAACCCAGGCTTAAATGTTCGCATGGATTTGGGAACCAATCACAGAACAGTGAGGGACAGTGAGGGACCACAAGACGACACTCAGGCACTATTTCTCACATGGAAGCTGGTCGTTATGTAAAGGTCCAGCAGGTGGCAGCAAACACAAAGCTCTCTTCCCTCATGTTTCACAAACAGTAGCGATTGTTTGGTTCATTGTTTAAACATTGTTGCTTTTTTCACTTCCCTTCTCACTTCTCGTGGTATTTCTGTCGCTCACACACGTTATAAGGTTCAATTTAAATGATTTGTTCCTATGTGAAGATCATCAGTGTTGGGAAATTTACTTTAAAAACACAATACATGCTGTGTCACTGTTATTTCAAAGTACTACAATATTACTGTGTCTGATTGTAAAGTACTACACTACTGCAATACTCTCTATATAAATACAAACTAAATGTAGCTTATGATGCTAGCCCAGTGTGGGAGGGTCCCAGCTCAAAAGTGGCCAAAATGACGTGCGCTGACATGCTGCAATACCACCCCGGGCCTGTGGGGGTGGACCCAGAAGAAGAATTAGCCGATGCTAACATATAGCGTTGGCAGACCTCTCGAAAACGTCTTCACAGGATGGACCAAAAGTTGGCTCTTGGCCCAAAGCTCCGTTCCACATGTGTGTCAATGCTGAGGGGGGTGTTTTGGTCCACTCTCGTTTACTTGCTGTGAATTTTTGAAGTCTCTCGTTCAAATGAATGGAGTTGCGCCGGCTGACGCATGCGCAGATGCGTTTTTTCACAATTTTCTTGTGGGCGGGACCACTCGCGGCCATTTTGGATTGCTCCAGTAGAGCACATTTCACGGCCAACTCCTATGAACGGCGGAGATAGGCGTGATTCTGTCCGTCAATATATACAGTCTATGTGCTAGCCTGAGGTCGACGGAGCTTTTGGTTTGAACCTAAACCTCAACTGTTTTGTTTTACATCTTTGACTCCAACAAACTTCAACACTAATCCAGTCGGTCCATCTGTAAAATGTACGATTGTCCACTTAGAGCTGCTTCTGCTTCAGCCTCAGCGTCTTCTCCCAGAAAGGAACAACACTTCTACATTACAGCGTTACGGCAAAAACCCTTTACTCCAAACACTGAATATGAAAGACGTTTGTAAAAATAATTAACAGTTATGGACAATTGTGAAACACACTTCTACTCTGAGAATATGAATGGACGGTTCCCAGACCAAATCTCTACTACTTTGGAGTTAGCCAGACCACAAACAACACACACACATTACACAATCATGATACACTATATAATACATGCACTGTTATATGAAATTACTATACAAAATTATTAAAATGTGAAACGAGCATCAGAATAACTCCCGAAGTCATGTCAAAATGTAGACGCTAACAATTCAAACGCCTTCTTTAAGTGTTCAGCTCTTGCACCAGTTTTTAAAAGCAAATGTGACTTTGACCGTGATGCGGCTCATCCATGGTCACTCCCAGACAGCACTTTGAGTCTGTCTGGATTTGACTTTGGTAGATTAAGTAGAGTTATGTAATTAAGCCTTTGCCGTCTGTAATTAATGCTTTATTCACGAGCAGAACAGTGACGCTGACTTTCCATCTGTGTCTGGACAGATTCAGGAACAAAAACTTGTAACGCCACAGACTTCCTCCGTCGCTCTGGTGCATCATTCAGCTTTTGTTACGTTCACAGTTTTCCATGAGTTTGGGGCTGAGTCAAAACAAAAAGACAAGACTATTATTAGTGAATAATGTTTTTCAGCTTATATCAATCAATCTGTAAATTATATCTGTAAAGTGCTTTTCCTACTGTTTATTTTTGTTTATTTTGTATTCATTTTTTCTTGTTTGTATTGCGTTGTTTTGCATAAGATAAATTCTTACTACTCTACACAAGGTAACACATTTATTTATTTTTTGTTTGCTTTTGTAATGCAACAAAATATAACAATAATCCAGCAAATACCACAGTTAAAAGTCCACTGTAAACAAACACTGTGTGATCGGCTTTTGCACGATCGGCCTTTTCATGTCGTGCCGTTAAACAGTGGAACCAGCTTCAGTCTGAAAGTGTCTGTGATCAGAAACATTTTACTATTCATTTGAAAAAGCACATTTTAGAGTCAATCGTGTCAACATCAATGAACATTTATAGCAATAATTTTTATTTATTTTAGCCTATGTCATTTTAGGCATATATTACTGTATTTTTGTGTGAGGTAAGTTTGCTTTTTTATTTGTGATGTGTGTATCTATGTGTGCCTGTGTGTATCTGTGTGTGCCTGTGTGTATCTGTGTGTGTTCACCAGGGACTACAGATGGAAAGTAGCTGCAGCTAAATCTGGTGCAAACCATTTCTTCTTTTGTAAAGACTAATGTTTTTTGTTAGGGCTGTCAAAATGTATTGTTTTAATTAATTACGTTAAAAAGATTGACACGATTGACACATGCCCATGCATCTCATAAGAATGCTGCGGACACATGCGTGTGTGAGATGGTGACAGAGCAGGTCTCTGGGAATCCACGTTTTAAAAGAATACACGCGTGACCGCAAGGCACTTTGCTGTTTCCTGTATGAACCATAGACTGTATGTATGAACTCTGAGCTGAGCTGCGGCGCTCTGGACAGCGGTTCCTCCAGCGGCTGTGATCACGGCGCTCTGGACAGCGGTTCGTCCAGCGGCTGTGATCACGGCGCTCTGGACAGCGGTTCCTCCAGCGGCTGTGATCACGGCGCTCTGGACAGCGGTTCCTCCAGCGGCTGTGATCACGGCGCTCTGGACAGCGGTTCCTCCAGCGGCTGTGATCACGGCGCTCTGGACAGCGGTTCCTCCAGCGGCTGTGATCACGGCGCTCTGGACAGCGGTTCGTCCAGCGGCTGTGATCACGGCGCTCTGGACAGCGGTTCCTCCAGCGGCTGTGATCACGGCGCTCTGGACAGCGGTTCCTCCAGCGGCTGTGATCACGGCGCTCTGGACAGCGGTTCCTCCAGCGGCTGTGATCACGGCGCTCTGGACAGCGGTTCCTCCAGCGGCTGTGATCACGGCGCTCTGGACAGCGGTTCCTCCAGCGGCTGTGATCACGGCGCTCTGGACAGCGGTTCCTCCAGCGGCTGTGATCACGGCGCTCTGGACAGCGGTTCCTCCAGCGGCTGTGATCACGGCGCTCTGGACAGCGGTTCGTCCAGCGGCTGTGATCACGGCGCTCTGGACAGCGGTTCCTCCAGCGGCTGTGATCACGGCGCTCTGGACAGCGGTTCCTCCAGCGGCTGTGATCACGGCGAACGGCGCCGCTGGAAGACCACGCACAGAACTATTCTCTGCTTGTAGCGCGTGTCTTTGGTGCACAGAATAAATACAGCGCTGATGCTGGACTATGGAGCCTCAGTCTCCTCCGTGTCTTCTCCCCAAGCGCACTTGCTAAATTAAAGCTGGGGTACCTAATTTTCTAGCCTGACTCTGGCCAGACCCATGTAGTTCGCTGCACTTCACACATGAGTCTGGTACTAAGCCATAGTAGTTGGATTTCAGAAGGCAGGGCCTTGTAAAAAAATCCTTGCATGTGATTGGATAGACCACTCGTCCGTTGTCTTGAATGAAGTCTCCTTTCAACCACTCACATCGAAGCACACGGCTCCCATAGGTTGCCAAATCTCAGCAAGATTTTCCAACCCAAAATCCACAAGAATACCCACACACAAAAAAACACTCAGAATGATTTTGTGGCTAAAAACGTGATGTAATCAACTTGGGCTATCATGATTCTGTTTATTGTGTTTCTGTTTATTTAATACCTACAAGTCTCTTGGAAAAAAATATGCGGGAACCACCGAACCTGGCAACCCTGCTGCGTAGTGTGTAAACAGGAACACTGAACCAGTGCTTCAACCAAACTTTACAGGAACATTTGACTCTTAAAACACACATATATCAACATAGAACCATCAACATCTCGCCTCAAATTGCATTAAAAGTGACATCCGTGTCTTAATTCCATCGTATTTACTCTTTTAAAAAGATTCGCGGACTTTACGTTCGCCATCTTGGATTCCTCTCGCTGCTGCATGAGAGAAGCTTGAGAAGGCAGTGCAAACCCCACGTAACACCGGCAATCCTGATTGGTCAATTCAAAAATAATCTGGGGAAGGCGTTCGCTATGGGCTCGATACCAGACCCATGTGGTTCAGCCAAACGCCTCTGGTGGAGCATGGCGGAACTACAAGGGTCTGGCAGAGCCAGGCTACCTAATTGTCATGTCGGTATCAAACAGATTTAATGACATTCTACCTCAGACTGTTTTGAAATGTCATCTGTAACAAACAATAGTTTGGTCTGAGTCTAAACAGAAAGTTATATACAGAATGTTAATAGTGTGAAAGCCATTGTATATGGATTTATTGTTATAATAAACAAATACAGTACATATGTTCACTGTCATTTATCTTTCCATTCAAACAACCATTTACAGAATCGGCAAAATAGTTTCAAAATAGTTTGAAATGCGATTAATTACGATGAATTAATTTTTTTGCTGTAATTAATTTGATAAAATGTTTTAATCGTTTGACAGCCCTAGTTTTTGTTCATTGTCCCTGTTTCATAAACAATAAACTAAACTAAAGTAAAAAAAAACATTCCATGGAAGGAAATCATCAGAAAAATCATAAACATTAAAATCATCTGAAGTGTGTTTATGATTCTGTATATTCCTGTTTCTGGAACTGACTTTTACTATTTTTACTTCATATTTTTATATTTTTACTGTATGTGCTCCCGGTCTGTGAAAGGAGCTAAATAAAACCCTTTACTCACTTAGGGTGCTTTCACACCTGTTGGTCCACTAAATTGGTTCACTTGGGCCCTAAAGTTGTTACAATGTTGCAGTTCTCAACTAGTTTGGTTCTCATTCACACCAGTGTTTTTGCAATGAACCAACCACTGTGGATGTTACATATTCTGCATGTGGTGGCGCTGTTCACAAAATACTGTGTATTGGATGATGTATGTGAAACCTGATTGGTGCAGGATGTGAAGAGGGAAGAATACCAGAAGAAAACAAACTTGTCAGATCCTTAACGATGAACTGTGCTGCTCTAGTGTGAGGCTATTTTTTTATCATCGTTGCTTTGTGCAGCACAAATACTGTTGTTCCAGTTCCAGTATGTATCACAGATTCAGCACGAGAACACTCTGCGGTTGTTTTTGACTATTTTATCATATAAAAAAAACAATGTGTGTGTTAAAAAGTGAGCTACACAACAGAGCAGGGCCATATTGAGGCCGGTCTGCGTTCTCACCAGCAGTGAACCAGACTGGAGTCCGCATGGAACCGTACCGAGACCAGCTCCCTAAGGTGGTCTCGGTACGGTTCTTTAGTCCGGACCAAATTCAACTGGTCCACTTTCACACCTGCTCAAACGAACCGTACTTGCAAGTGTTCCAGACTCCAGTCCGTTTTAAGTGGACTAAATGGTGCAGGTGTGAAAGCACTACTTACTTGATTATAGCTTAAAACAACGCTTTTTCTGTTTTGTATGTTTTTCCTCAGGTTCCGTCTCACGAATGGATCAGGGCCGACTGCAAATCCAACAAGTGTGAAGTTTGCCACAAGAAAATCAAAGCGTTGGGAGGACGGAGCTGCATTTGGTGCCATGAGCTCGTGAGTTCAGATGAAAACTTAAATTAAACCAAAACATTCAGACAGATTTACAGTAAGTATTATTTTTCCCGTATTCTTCCAGCGTCACGATGAGTGTGTGGTCATCGGCATCAAGCGCTGTGACTGTGGAGCGCAGAGAGACCACATCCTGCCTCCCTGGGCCATCTTTCCCGCCTCTGTGGTAAATACACGGCTCACGTTGACCATATTCCAAAGACCCGGCAAAACCAATAGTTCTTCAAATAATTCTATTCTTGTTTCAAGTCAGAACGGACTCAAAATATAATAAAAAACACTTGATTAAAGCATTTATTACCTCATATTTTATCACAAACGTCTATTTACTAGGGCTGCACGATATATCAAAAAAATATCATTATCGCGATATTGGTGCGTGAGATATCCATATCGAAAAGATCTGATAATATTTTTTGTTTTTTTTTCCTTTATTAAAGACAACAAAACAGGTACATCAACATTCAACAAGAACAACAAACAAACAAAAAAGTGTATAAACAGATGCATTTGAAGGTCATTAATGTTTTAGTTATTTGCGTGTCACTGCAGATGCAATTTAAGGTGAAAGACAAAAATATCGCAATATTATCGTTATTGCAATACTAAACACTCGTATGGAATATTGCACTAATTTCCAATATCGTGCAGCTCTAATATTTACCAAAAATAACAAAACAACCAATTATTTATAACTGGAAATTAGGCTAAAATACACAAATAGGCTTTTTCTAAACCAGACACATTTAAGTTTTTGCTTATATTATTACCTTGACATGTTTGTACTCAGTAAAAACATTTCTCTCTCACATCAGTCCACTGTAGAAGAACTTTACTGTGTTTAAGTTCATTTGTGTTTTTAACCACATTTACAGTTAGAAAGAGTTTGTTGTTTTGTTAAATAAGACATTTTACACTTCAATGTTGCAGTAAACAGTTACTTTCGGCCTATCCACCAACTGTGTGTGTGTGTGTGTGTGTGTGTGTGTGTGTGTGTGTTCTTGTTTTAATATCCCGGTGGGGACCTGAACCTGACTACACACAGCCTGGTGGGGACCTATTCCCCCGTGGGGACCTAAAGTGAGGTCCCCACCATGTTGAGCCCTACTACAGATCTCAGATCAGTTAGTAGACATGCCTGGTGCATTATCTCAGAAGTCCCCTTGGGTCACATTCACCTGACAAAAATCTGTGTGTGTGTGTGGCCATGCGCCCCTGGTGTACACACAGAGTACTGCAGTCCCCACCAGGTAGGTGTTCTGGTTGTGTGTATTGCTCTCCATCGCCCCCTTCCCCCATCAGGCCAAATGCAGTACTACAATCTAGAAGTAAATAAGACAATTTCTTTTGTTTATTTCTTCTTTGTTTTAAACCAAAAATATTAGTTATTGCAACAATTCAACTCCAAATGTATCTTTTAATCAATATATTAATAACAATTTACAAGAAGTTAATTATTTTCTTTGTTTCCTAGGCAGTGTTTTCTTTATTTATGCTATGTTAATTAATAGATAGAGGGATATATATATATATATATATATAATATACTTAATTTATTATTATTATTCCATCCATCCATCCATTTTCTACCCTTTAATCCATTTCTGGGTCAGGGGGGTGGCAGTCAGAGATGCCACCCAAGTCTCATAGCACCAGCCCCTCACTGACCCTCTGCAGGTGGTGAGTCCACAGGAGGACGGCTGCTCTCTGAGTGTGAGCATAGCCTTGATCTTTCAGTGGGGGCTTTGGGCAAAGTGGGGTTAAGTGTCTTGCCCAAGGACACAACGACAGCAGTCATCAGTGGGAGTTGGTGGAGAAGGTGCAGAGGTGGGAATTGAACCCACAACCTTCTGGCCTTAAGGCCAATGCTCTACCAACTGAGCTACTGTCGCCCCTATTATTATTATTTTATATATATTGACAAGTGACAAAAGTGAATGCGAAATTGAGAATTCCTCCACTTCCCCAGACTCTTCAAGACCTTCTAGGAATCCATGCAGGTGTCAAGAGCATTTAAAAAGCACATTGAACACGAGTTTTTTGTCTTACCTTGTCTAATAATCCAAGTCCAGACCCTGCTCCATGTTAATATATAGTCCATTTCTGTATCCATTTAATACAGCAGGGAACATCTGTTCTGTCTTCCTTTCCTCTGGTTTCATTTTGAAGTCCATTTAGATATTAAATCAAGCTTAGATAAGTGTTCCTCCATTTGAAAATAAGACTTGAAAAAGTAAAAGCAAACAGCGGTCTCCACTCGCATTTTGCTAGCTGTCTGGCGCCGACTCTGGGACGCGTCCAATTTCATAATAAACCTTCTTATTCTTCACTTCATCCTTATTATTCTTATCAACATTTGAAACAAAGAAAGTGGTTCAAAGTGGCACGTTGAACTATAATATATAATGTGTTACATTTATGTTGGGCAAACCTGTAGCTGCCCTAAGCAGAGGAAAAACTAAGAAGGGGATTTTTTGTGTGGAATTGAAAGCAGCCGAACTAAGCTCATGCTTGCCCCCTAACATGAGGTAGGGTCACTGCGTGCCTCACTTAGTGCTTTTTTCAAGCCATGGTTTAGCACAAATAAAGACACACTTTTGTTGCTTAACAGTGGACTGTTTGAATGGGCACAAACAACATGTAGCATTCTACAACATTTGTTATTTTTATATTTATACATATATGCACACACGGTTTTTCATTTTTTATTTTTTATTATATGAGTGTTTTACTATGGATTGTTTTATTTTGTATTTTATTGTGCATTACTTTGGAAACTGTGTTTATGAAATGCGCTATATAAATAAAATAAACTTTAGGGTAGCCCTCTATTAAATTAGTTCGTTAGTGCTAATTAGGTGCGCCGCTGCTGCTGTGGGGCGCACTTTAGGGTAGCCCTCTATTAAATTAGTTTGTTAGGGCTAATGAGGCGCCCCGCTGCTGCTGTGGGGGGCACTTTAGGGTAGCTTGTACGTACCAAGTTTCGACTAGTTTGGATGAAATTTGAACTTTTTACAAGCCTCCAAGCACTTTTTGGGCCTTCAAAAACCTAACATTAAAGGGGAGGTGTACCAAAATTTCAACTTTGGACTACCGGCCTCATTTTTGACTATGTTACACAGCAGGCTATTCTGAGCTCGAATATGTAGGCGCCCACTCAAACCGACCAATAGGAAGCAAAGTAGCCAAGCGAGTCGGGCCGAAACTTTGGATTTTCGGTCGGACCGTGTGGAAGGAGGCGTGTACCGAATTTGGACTCGTTTGGATTTAATTTGCTTGAATTCTGGCCTAGCCAGTCAACATGGTGTCAGGACCATAGACCCTAACCCCACCTTGAAATGCTAGCTTGGCAAAGCTCAGATTCTTTTCCGAAGGTCGCACAGGCACAAGCCAGACCTCTACGGAACCGGCTCGGCCAGCCGAACGCAACGGTGTAAAGCTTTTGACCCTGCGATGTTCAGCCGCGGCGCTAGGGGGCGACGAATTTTAAAAAAAACGCGCCTCGTTAAGTCTAATTACTCGGCCAAACGAGGTCGTAGAACGATAACGGAGGTGTCCTTGGAAAGCCCTAGATGTGACGAGTCACATATATGAGCTGCAGCAAGGTGGCGCTGTCCTCCAACCAAAATCAGGACTTTCCTGGATTTTCCTGGCCACCGAGACCCTCCTCTTTTACAAAGCGGGTGGCCGAGCCAGTTGAAACCTTGGATTAATGTTCAGCTTGTACGTAGAAGGGTGCGTACCAAGTTTCGACTAGTTTGGATGAAATTTGAACTTTTTACAAGCCTCCAAGCACTTTTTGGGCCTTCAAAAGCCTAACATTAAAGGGGAGGTGTACCAACATTTCAACTTTGGACTACCGGCCTCATTTTTGACTATGTTACACAGCAGGCTATTCTGAGCTCGAATATGTAGGCGCCCACTCAAACCGACCAATAGGAAGCAAAGTAGCCAACCGAGTGCCCGGTCGGCCCGAAACTTTGGATTTTCGGTCGGATTCTGTGGAAGGAGGTGTGCACCGAATTTGGACTCGTTTGGATTTAATTTGAAGCCGTGACGAGCTTGATTGGCGTGATTTTTTTACCGAACGAAGGCCCGCCCACCGAGAACCGTAAGGCCCCCAGAGGTCTAACGTACACCGTTGGACTCGTCTCGTGGCCCTCTACCACATATCCGAAATTCAAGCCTGTAACCCAGTGGCGGCCGGCCAATAGAGGGCGCTAGGGCGCCGCCCCACCACTCACAACTTGCCATGTTACCTTGAATAAAACGTTTAAAAAAATAATAACATTAAAATATTTCGAAATGTATGTGTGTTTTATTTCAGATGTGGAAGAAATACTTTATAGTTTATGCTGAGTTGGATTGATTAAGCTCATCAGCGTTGTCTGTGTCGGACTGAGGACGTATTTCCGCCTCAGGGCGCAAAAGATTGCGCCCTGAGCCGTCTATGGACTCTCGTTAAAAGTTGTACATGCGCAGTAGCTCCTCTTCAATGCAAGAGATAAGACGATTTGGGGGCGCAGGAGAAGTGCGCCCTGAGGGGGCGGGATCGCCCGCGACCTGTACTGTCACTGTCTGTGAGGTCCGTTTACAGTGATTGACAGGTCAAGCTGTGGGAGTTTGAGACGAACGTAAAGAGACGCAAAATGGAGAACGAGAAAAAGAATAATTCAGTTAGATCACTCAAAACAATACCGTTTGAGAGAAGATCATACCAGGAGAAGGTTGAGGTTAAAGAGCTTGGACCTGATCAGCCAAATATTACCATTAGTCAGCAGTCCAGCGACAGGGGGAGACGGTACACGTACTTTTTCCAGGACCTGGTTCAGCGCCAAATCTTGGCTAGCAGCATGTAGCGAGGCTAATGCTTTATTTTGCTTTCCATGCCTCTTGTTTCAAACATCAGGATCTGACCCAGCATGGATCAGGACAGGTATGACTGATCTGAAGCACTTTTTAGATAAGGCAAAGAAGCATGAGCAGACTGGTATCCACATGCAAAATGCCCTCAAATTAGCTATGTTTGGGAAGATAAATATTTCATCCCAGCTGGATGAAAGCTACAGGCCTGATCATGTGACCTTGTTGATTCTCGTGTGAGGCTTCAGTGACAACAGTCAGTGTAAACTTACTTACTGCTGGTATATATCTAGTCATCATATTCATAGCCCCCCCAGTAGAAAATTCCACCAGCCGCCGCCGTCACAAAGCGCCACTGAGCACAACCATTCATTTGAATACGGCGCCATCTTGGATCGCCGGGGCTTGATGGTTGGTGTTCAGTGGCCTGTATTTGGGCATCGTCTGGTCCTCCCGGTTCTGTGCAGTGGATGATCTCCCATGATGCGTTGCGCCAAACACGTGTGTGTGGGTCTCATGCACGTGCACAGAGGGGCTCGGCCGCGCTCTGACCAATCAGAGCTGTTCATCAGAGCGGGAGTTAGAGCGAGAGCCAGACGAGCAGAGTTTGTGGCACTAAAGTGTGGATTTAAACAAAACCGAAGGATTTAAGAAGAAAAAAATTCAGGACAACAAGGGACACTAAAATCCCCACAAAATCCGACCTTTGTTAAAGCTGTAGGTTCTCTGTCAGGTTCTCTGTCAGCTGAGGTCGAGCTGTTTTAGTTTACATTGAGTTCTATGGGGAAAATGTCTGGGTAGCCCATGTGAATTTAGTCTGGTTCAGTCTGGTTCAGTCTGCAGTACCACGAGAATCCCCTGAGCACATGACTTATTCAGCTCCAAGCTAGTAACACCCTATCCAGTTATTATAATAGAGTCGCCATGAGCTTCTGGTTCTGGTTTTCTGCTTCTGTGCAAAATAACCACCTGTACCATAAACATTCAACAGTTTTTTCTTGAATTATGGAATCTGGGACTGTCTACAGAAGGGTCTTGGGACACATGGATCCTTCTCAGCCAATCAGCTCTGAGCCCGAGCAGTCAAAAAGGGACTCACAGAGCTCACAAGGCACTGCACACGATAACAGGCTTTCTAAAGAGACAGATTGCAGTTTGTAGGTCGGTCCAAACTCTTAGAGTTTTCAAATAGAATTTCTTGTCAAAATTATAATATGTAACTTTATGTGTCGACGACTACAATATTTGGTTGAAATATTAAAGGTACTACAGTATATAGGGACGTCCCGCGTGACGTCACGCCATTTAAATTTGGAGCAGCCATTTTGACGGTGTAGAAATGCAAAACCTCTGGTGATACTGCAGGTAGTAGTGAGATGTTCCTGTCATGCCGGAGCGATGCTGTGCAGTTGGATGCGACCGGATACGTGATCAGACAAAAGGAATATCTTTATACCGGGTGCACGGAGGTTTTCAGAATTATTTGTTCATGTTTTCATGACAAAAATAAAAATACAACGAGCTTTCAGTGCCTGTCTCTACTGTGTAGAGAAGCTAGCAGAGCTAGCCACTCTCAAACAAAAACCAATCAATCAACATAATGTTAATCAGAGAATACAGTATACATATACATCACTAACACAAATGCACAGAGGTTTTCAGAATTATTTGTTAACGTTTTCATCACAAAAATACTGTTTTAATGTAACAAAAAGCAATTTTTGGAAGTAACCATTAACATGAAAGGAACATTTTAGGACACATTTGAAGAGGATCTGATGGATTTAGGTTCTTTTTATAAATGAGTTCCTTACCACTGATGTTCAGAATTCTTTGTTCAGTTTTCCTGTAGTTCCAGAGAGTTTTTGAACTAGCTAGCTTAGCTCCATTGCTGCGGAGTCGGCGGACGGATTCCGTCAAAATGGCTGACACGCGGCTTCTCACTGATGCTTCAGTTTCTACTCCACATTTGGAGAAATCCATTTAAATCACTTCCAGTAAAAGTGATCTACGTCTATAGTGTCTGACATCGTGGAACAAGTGCAAATCCTGTTGGAAACAGTGTCGGGCCCGAACTGGGCTCATGCACGTCCCTCGCACAAGTCAAAAAGAGGACGGTTCAAGAAGATCCTCCTAAACCTTTTGAAGGAGAACTAAACACCAAATCAACTTTTTTTAACTCATAAACTGCATTAATATGTTTCTTATATTTCTGTCTACATGTCCTGGTATTTCTTTTGACATTTTAGTGCAAATAAAGTCCCACTTTTGAGCCTAAAACTGTCTGTGTGGCGTCCTCTCTACCTTTTTGGTGGCACAACATTTGAATTTGGTCCTGGCCTCTCATTGGCTCTGGTTTGCCTTTGTTTTGTCACTGGTACTGCTGGTATAAAACCATCCAAGTCTCACACACGCCTTGTAGCAAGTTGGAGTATTCTGGCGACATCTAGTGGTTTAAAATGTAATTACATCCGTTGACCGCCTCTACTGCTGAGATCATTCTGTGACGTAAGCCTGGTTCACACGGCAGGATAATTAGGCCGATTTAAGACCCAATTTACCCCTAACGACAATCTTAAGAACGCTCCGTTTTTTGTAACAAAAATCTGATGGATTTTCCATGTGTGGTGTTTTAAGACTGCTACTATCTCAAATCGGTGATATTCAACATGTTGGATTGTTTTGGCCCGATTTCTCTTGGTGTGTGGTGTCGGGGACAGACGAGCACGTTGCGAGGTGACTCCGGCTGTAGCCAATCAGAAGACGAGATGAGGAGGCGGCGAGGAAACACCGGAGAAAAATCAAATCAGTCAGTGCCATAAATATATACTGTAAAGTCATAAATATATACAGTCCGAGCTCGCGTTGTCTCCATTTCTTTGACCATGGCCTTTTCCTTTGATAACACCTTTTCTCTGTTAAAAACTAACTATCGCAGCTGCATCCTCTTCGTCCTCCATGATTGTTTACTGTGAAGTCACGCTTGATCTCCAGAGATTTTGTGAGATTTCCGTCTGACCTGTGAATGCTCGTGGGGGAAATCGGTTTGTGTGTGATGTGTGTGGTTTGTGTGATTTTGTCGTGTCGCTGCGCACCACGCACTGTACGACCAAAGTGGTTAGACCGTTGATTTTTTGTCTTCGTGTGTGGGGTCTCTCAAGTTCGTCTCGTGTGAACCAGGCTTTAAGTTCAGGTGTGTAGCTCTACAATTATCACAGTGTGTAAACAAACAAGGGTGGAATGACAATTTCTTGTGTGTAAACTATTGCTTTAAGCATCAATGACAACTGTCTGATTCTACAAACGAGCTGTCAATCACATGCGCAGAAAACAAAAGCAGGAAATCTGGTACCTGGGACAGTCCACAGCCGGGTCCTGGGACAGGTGGGATCCATGCATCGACACCATATTCTGCTGCTGCTGCTCTGAAGACAAGAAATACTCCTCCTCTGGCTGCGAACTGAATGAAAACATCGATAGCTGTTGCGTTTTGTCCGGCTGACACGGCGTAAAGGGGGGGTCCCAGACGGGTGTGGGCTGGTTCTGAAAGTTGGGAGACGACCCGGCCGCGTAAACCGCACTTCCATAATAATCTGAAGACGCCAGGGTCTCGTCCAGCAGCGCGAAGGAGCCGGGGTAACATCCGTAAACCTGGAAATCGTCCAGTTTGAAGGCCTGGCTGGAGACGGACGGGCTGAAGGAGGTGGCGGGGGAGGTGGTGATCTTGCAGGAGTAAGTGGTGGTGTCGAAGTCGCCCACGTACGCGCTCCCCACCAGGGTGCTGATGGCAGGCAGAGACGAGGAGTCCTCCATGGGGAGTCTGGAGCAGGGGTCTGGGGTGAAGAGCTCAGAGGGAGGAGTGGACATGGAGGAGAGGTCGTGGGGGAGGGAGGCGCACTGGGCTTGGACACAGGGCATCGCTGCTGCAAAGAGAGCATTCAGATTCAGATTATTTGCCATTGGCAGGAGGAGGTGGGGAGGAGGAGGAGGTGGGTAGGAGGAGGAGGTGCGGAAGTGGAGATGGGGAGGAGGAGGGTAGGAGGAGGAGGTGGGGAAGAGGAGGAGGAGGTGGGTAGGAGGAGGAGATGCGGAAGTGGAGATGGGGAGGAGGTGGAGGAGATGTGGAGGTGGAGATGGGGAGGAGGAGGAGGTGGGTAGGAGGAGGAGATGGGGAGGAGATGCGGAAGTGGAGATGGGGAGGAGGAGTTGCGGAAGTGGAGATGGGGAGGAGGAGGAGGTGGGGAAGAGGAGGACGAGGTGGGTAGGAGGAGGAGATGCGGAAGTGGAGATGGGGGGAGGAGGAGGAGACGGGGAGGAGGAGGAAATGGGGAGGAGGAGAAGGAGGAGATGCGGAGGTGGAGATGAGGAGGAGGAGATGGGGAGGAGGAGGTGGGTAGGAGGAGGAGATGCAGAAGTGGAGATGGGGAGGAGGAGGAGGTGGGGAAGAGGAGGAGGAGGTGGGGAAGAGGAGGAGGAGGTGGGAATGAGGAGGAGGAGGTGGGGAAGAGGAGGAGGAGGTGGGTAGGAGGAGGAGATGGGAAGGAGGAGGAGGAGGAGATGCGGAGGTGGAGATGGGGAGGAGGAGATGGGGAGGAGGAGGAGATGGGGAGGAGGAGGAGATGGGGAGGAGGAGATGCGGAAGTGGAGATGGGGAGGAGGAGGAGGTGGGGAAGAGGAGGAGGAGGTGGGGAAGAGGAGGAGGAGGTGGGAATGAGGAGGAGGAGGAGATGCGGAGGTGGAGATGGGGAGGAGGAGATGGGGAGGAGGAGGAGGTGGGGAGGAGGTGGGGAAGAGAAGGAGGAGGTGGGTAGGAGGAGGAGATGCGGAAGTGGAGATGAGGAGGAGGAGATGGGGAGGAGGAGGAGATGCCGATGTGGAGATGGGGAGGAGGAGGAGGTGGGGAAGAGGAGGAGGAGATGGGAAGGAGGAGGAGGAGGAGATGCGGAGGTGGAGATGGGGAGGAGGAGGAGGAGGAGATGCGGAGGTGGAGACGGGGAGGAGGAGATGGGGAGGAGGAGGAGGTGGGTAGGAGGAGGAGATGGGGAGGAGGAGATGCGGAAGTGGAGATGGGGAGGAGGAGATGGGGAGGAGGAGGAGGTGGGGAAGAGGAGGAGGAGGTGGGGAGGAGGAGGAGATGCGGAAGTGGATATGGGGAGGAGGAGGAAATGGGGAGGAGGAGAAGGAGGAGATGCGGAGGTGGAGATGAGGAGGAGGAGATGGGGAGGAGGAGGAGATGCAGAAGTGGAGATGGGGAGGAGGAGGAGGTGGGAAGGAGGAGGAGGAGGAGATGCGGAGGTGGAGATGAGGAGGTGGGGAGGAGGAGGAGGAGACGGGGAGGAGGAGATGGGGAGGAGGAGGAGGTGGGTAGGAGGAGGAGATGGGGAGGAGGAGATGCGGAAGTGGAGATGGGGAGGAGGAGATGGGGAGGAGGAGGAGGTGGGGAGGAGGAGGAGGAGATGGGAAGGAGGACGAGGAGGAGATGCGGAGGTGGAGATGAGGAGGTGGGGAGGAGGAGGAGGAGGAGGACACGGGGAGGAGGAGGAGATGGGAAGTGGAGATGGGGAGGAGGAGATGGGGAGGAGGAGATGAGGAGGTGGGGAGGAGGAGGAGACGGGGAGGAGGAGGAGATGGGAAGTGGAGATGGGGAGGAGGAGGAAATGGGGAAGAGGAGGAGATGGGGAGGAGGAGGAGATGCGGAAGTGGAGATGGGGAGGAGGAGATGGGGAGGAGGAGGAGGTGGGGAAGAGGAGGAGGAGGTGGGTAGGAGGAGGAGATGCGGAAGTGGATATGGGGAGGAGGAGGAAATGGGGAGGTGGGGAAGAGGAGGAGGAGGTGGGTAGGAGGAGGAGATGGGGAGGAGGAGGAGGTGGGTAGGAGGAGGAGATGGGGAGGAGGAGATGCGGAAGTGGGAGATGGGGAGGAGGAGATGGGGAGGAGGAGGAGGTGGCGAGGAGGAAGGTGGGGAAGAGGAGGAGGAGATGGGAAGGAGGACGAGGAGGAGATGCGGAGGTGGAGATGAGGAGGTGGGGAGGAGGAGGAGGAGACGGGGAGGAGGAGGAGATGGGGAGGTGGAGATGAGGAGGTGGGGAGGAGGAGGAGGAGGTGGGAATGAGGAGGAGGAGGAGATGCGGAGGTGGAGATGAGGAGGTGGGGAGGAGGAGGAGGAGGAGGAGACGGGGAGGAGGAGGAGATGGGAGGTGGAGATGGGGAGGAGGAGGAAATGGGGGAGGAGGAGGAGGTGGGGGAGGAGGAGGAGGAGGAGGAGATGGGAAGTGGAGATGGGGAGGAGGAGGAAATGGGGAGGAGGAGGAGGAGGAGATGCGGAGGTGGAGATGGGGAGGAGGAGGAAATGGGGAGGAGGAGGAGGAGGAGGAGACGGGGAGGAGGAGGAGATGGGGAGGAGGAGGAGGTGGGGAGGAGGAGATGGGAAGTGGAGATGGGGAGGAGGAGGAAATGGGGAGGAGGAGGAGGAGGAGATGCGGAGGTGGAGATGAGGGGGAGGAGATGGGGAGGTGGAGGTGGGATGACGTAGGTAGTCTATCACGTTGACCTTCTGCTTCATTAAAACCACATTGATACAAAAGAATGGATTGAAACTAATATTGATTTAAATGAGTTTTGAATAAAAAAGTAAAATAATATCGTTTCATTTTTAAAACAGATTTTCTTGTAATTTTAACAGAATTTGTCGATTACTGCAACGTTTGGTTAAAATATTAAAAGCCCGAATTATTCACTTTGTACTTTTACACACTTTGGAACAAACATGTATTATTCCAGAGAAACCTGCAGGTGAAAGTCAAAACTCTAAAGCTAAGCAGGGCAGGGCCTGGTTACTGTGATGGGAGACCTCTGGAAACAGCAGGTGCCACAGTGGGGCGGCTGCGGCTGTAAAGTGCCAAACTGCTGTGTCCTTAGGCAAGACTCTTCACCCCATTGCCTAGAATGAGTCTGGTGTGTGTGTGAATGGTTGGTGGTGGTGGGAGGGGCCGATGGCACAGACTGGTTGCCTCGCCCCAGGGCAGCTGTGGCTACAGTAGTAGTTTATCACTGTGTTTGGAGTGAATGAATGACGCTTCAAAAAAAACAATGCATTTTTCCCATTATAGAAGAAAAGTGAGTTACTACTACTACTGTGAAGAGAGATTGAATGACAGGTTGGACCCGCCCATGCTTACCCTGGCAGCTTTCTGATTGGTCAAAGTCAATTCAAATCCAGGAGGCCCCTCGTCATTGGTTTAAATGTTCTCCTCCAATAAAACTTAGCGGTCGTAGTTACGCAAACGGGAAGGTCTATTTTAAATGTATTATTGTTGGAAAATACTGGCTGTACATAATAGGGCACGGTCAAAACATTCAAATATGTTTTTATTTTTGTAAAGACCTAAAGACAGTATCTTGGAGAACTTTACAAAACTGTTGATTCGTCAGAACAGTTCAGAGAATCAAACAGCTAAAACACAAGAAATGAAAGTTGAGTTTGAGTCACTGACATCACCTTTAAGTGCTTTTGGACCGAGGCTGTGGCTAAATAAAGCTCCAGCTATTTCTAAGATTAAAGGAGACATCAGCAGTGAGTGCTGAGGTTTAAAGCTCTGATCATTCACGAAGCTCAGTGGGTAAAAGTATTTGTACTCATAAAACAAAATCCAGTTCATAGGGGGCTACTGCTGCTGCTACTGCTGCTACTGCTGCTATTGCTGCTACTGCTGCTGCTACTGCTGCTACTACTATTGCTGCTGCTGCTGCTGCTGCTGCTACTGCTACTGCTACTGGTACTGCTGCTGCTGCTACTGCTACTGCTGCTGCTGCTACTGCTGCTACTACTACTGCTGCTGCTACTGCTGCTGCTGCTACTGCTGCTGCTGCTGCTGCTGCTACTGCTGCTACTGCTGCTGCTGCTGATGCTACTGCTGCTGCTGCTACTGCTGCTACTGCTGATGCTACTGCTGCTACTGATGCTACTACTACTGTGTGGCACGTGGCTGAGTGGTTATCACTCTCGCTTCTCAGCAAGATCCGGGTTCAAATCCAAGTTGGAACAGAGTCTTTCTGAGTGGAGTTTACATGTTCACCCTTCCTCCAGGTTCTCCGGTTTCCCCTACCACTAAAAAACGCAAATCCTCCAGCTCCTACCTTTACCTTACGACTACTACTACTACTACTACTACTACTACACATCTCAAAGTGGTTAAAACCAGGTAATAAAATCAAAACTTTACAAACATGTACACAGCAAAAAGTGATGAAAACAGGCTCAAATTTGGCTAAATATATCTTGATTTGAGCAATCAAGATTTACCGCTGATGGAACAAAGCAAAATAACCTTGTTATAAAAAGATACATAAATGTCTCCGTTAGAATGAGAAAATAAAACATCAGTTCTTGTAAAAAAAACAAATGTCTTCGTCCCGTTGGAGAATCTGGTTTTTATCACAGTCAGAATGAGTCAGATTAAGATAAAAACCACTCGATTAAAGCAATTATTACCTCATAAGTTGTTGCTGTTTGCAGTGTACAATAATAAATATATCAAAAGTATGTAAAAGAATGCATACAAAGCAGATGCTGCAGATTGGTGTAAAAATCATAACAAATAAGACAAATCTTTGAGCGGGTAATGACAGAAACACCACAGTAAACTGGAAGTGTCAAAAGACTGTAAAAGACGTTTCTTCATTATGTAACATGTCGTAGTAAACGGGCCGCTTCCACAGAGCTCCTCACTTCAAGTCAGAACATGTCGCTGAAAGAATGAGGTCCCTGAAGCAGTAGAGACTTTTCCACCTCCACCTGAAGCAGCAGAGACTTTTCCACCTCCACCTGAAGCAGCAGAGACTTTTCCACCTCCACCTGAAGCAGCAGAGACTTTTCCACCTCCACCTGATGCAGCAGAGACTTTTCCACCTCCACCTGAAGCAGCAGAGACTTTTCCACCTCCACCTGATGCAGCAGAGACTTTTCCACCTCCACCTGAAGCAGCAGAGACTTTTCCACCTCCACCTGAAGCAGCAGAGACTTTTCCACCTCCACCTGAAGCAGCAGAGACTTTTCCACCTCCACCTGAAGCAGCAGAGACTTTTCCACCTCCACCTGAAGCAGCAGAGACTTTTCCACCTCCACCTGAAGCAGCAGAGACTTTTCCACCTCCACCTGAAGCAGCAGAGACTTTTCCACCTCCACCTGAAGCAGCAGAGACTTTTCCACCTCCACCTGAAGCAGCAGAGACTTTTCCACCTCCACCTGAAGCAGCAGAGACTTTTCCACCTCCACCTGAAGCAGCAGAGACTTTTCCACCTCCACCTGAAGCAGCAGAGACTTTTCCACCTCCACCTGATGCAGCAGAGACTTTTCCACCTCCACCTGAAGCAGCAGAGACTTTTCCACCTCCACCTGAAGCAGCAGAGACTTTTCCACCTCCACCTGATGCAGCAGAGACTTTTCCACCTCCACCTGAAGCAGCAGAGACTTTTCCACCTCCACCTGAAGCAGCAGAGACTTTTCCACCTCCACCTGAAGCAGCAGAGACTTTTCCACCTCCACCTGAAGCAGCAGAGACTTTTCCACCTCCACCTGAAGCAGCAGAGACTTTTCCACCTCCACCTGAAGCAGCAGAGACTTTTCCACCTCCACCTGAAGCAGCAGAGACTTTTCCACCTCCACCTGATGCAGCAGAGACTTTTCCACCTCCACCTGAAGCAGCAGAGACTTTTCCACCTCCACCTGATGCAGCAGAGACTTTTCCACCTCCACCTGAAGCAGCAGAGACTTTTCCACCTCCACCTGATGCAGCAGAGACTTTTCCACCTCCACCTGAAGCAGCAGAGACTTTTCCACCTCCACCTGATGCAGCAGAGACTTTTCCACCTCCACCTGAAGCAGCAGAGATGTGGAGGTACAATCTGTTCTGTAGTATCTATGTTTACTCTTGAATGCACTTAAACAGAGCCTGAAGTTTCTCAGAGACTGTTGTTGTTTTGTGTTTTACACAGTGGCGGACCCTGAAGGCCACCAAGGCCTTCTCTGCTGGCCTAAACGTGATTACATACATACAGTATATATCTATACAGTGCCTTGCGAAAGTATTCGGCCCCCTTGAACCTTTCAACATTTCGCCACATTTCAGGCTTCAAACATAATGATATAACATTTAAATTTTTTGTCATGAATCAACAACAAGTGGGACACAATCGTGAAGTGGAACTCAATTTATTGGATAATTTAAAACATTTTAACAAATAAAAAACTGAAAAGTGGGGCGTGCAATATTATTCGGCCCCTTTACTTTCAGTGCAGCAAACTCAGTCCAGAAGTTCAGTGAGGATCTTTGAATGATCCAATGTTGTCCTAAATGACTGATGATGATAAATAGAATGCACCTGTGTGTAATCAAGTCTCCGTATAAATGCACCTGCTCTTTGATAGTCTCAGGGTTCTGTTTAAAGCGCAGAGAGAACCATGAAGACAAAGGAACACACCAGGCAGGTCCGAGATACTGTTGTGGAGAAGTTTAAAGCTGGATTTGGATACAAAAAGATTTCCCAAGCTTTAAACAGCTCAAGGAGCACTGTGCAAGCAATTATATTGAAATGGAAGGAGTATCAGACCACTGCAAATCTACCAAGACCCGGCCGTCCCTCCAAACTTTCATCTCAAACAAGGAGAAGACTGATCAGAGATACAGCCAAGAGGCCCATGATCACTCTGGATGAACTGCAGATAACTACAGCTGAGGTGGGAGAGTCTGTCCATAGAACAACAATCAGTCGTGCACTGCACAAATCTGGCCTTTATGGAAGAGTGGCAAGAAGAAAGCCATTTCTCAAAGATATCCATAAAAAGTCTCGTTTAAAGTTTGCCACAAGCCACCTGGGAGATACTCCAAACATGTGGAAGAAGGTGCTCTGGTCAGATGAAACCAAAATCAAACTTTTTGGCCACAATGCAAAACGATATGTTTGCCGTAAAAGCAACACAGCTCATCACCCTGAACACACCATCCCCACTGTCAAACATGGTGGTGGCAGCATCATGCTTTGGGCCTGCTTTTCTTCAGCAGGGACAGGGAAGATGGCTAAAATTGATGGGAAGATGGATGGAGCCAAATACAGGACCATTCTGGAAGAAAAGCTGTTGGAGTCTGCAAAAGACCTGAGACAAGGAGGGAGATTTATCTTCCAACAGGACAATGATCCAAAACATAAAGCCAAATCTACAATGGAATGGTTCACAAATAGACGTATCCAGGTGTTAGAATGGCCAAGTCAAAGTCCAGACCTGAATCCAATCGAGAATCTGTGGAAAGAGCTGAAGACTGCTGTTCACAAACGCTCTCCATCCAACCTCACTGAGCTCGAGCTGTTTTGCAAGGAAGAATGGGTAAGAATTCCAGTCTCTCGATGTGCAAAACTGATAGAGACATACCCCAAGCGACTTGCAGCTGTAATTGCAGCAAAAGGTGGCGCTACAAAGTATTAGCGCAAGGGGGCCAAATAATATTGCACGCCCCACTTTTCAGTTTTTTATTTGTTAAAAAAGTTTAAATTATCCAATACATTTCGTTCCACTTCACGATTGTGTCCCACTTGTTGTTGATTCTTGACAAAAAAAATAGTTTTTATATCTTTATGTTTGAAGCCTGAAATGTGGCGAAATGTTGAAAGGTTCCAGGGGGCGAATACTTTCGCAAGGCACTGTATCTGCATATAGAGCATGCGCCTCTTTTGATTGGATACGCGATAGAGACCTGACGATGCAGACCATGGATCTACGTTCATGTGAGCAACAGAAACAAACACAAATGCTAACATGTATAGCACGAGTTATACTTTTTCAACCCTCTACGGCTGAAGGAGGTGAATATATCATTCTCTGTTTTTCTTTTCTCAAGAAAAACAGAGACAGAGGGACCAGGAGAGCCAGGACCAGGAGAGCCAACCATGATCACTCTGGATGAACTGCAGATAACTACAGCTGAGGTGGGGATGGTGTGTTCAGGGTGATGAGCTGTGTTGCTTTTACGCCAAACATATCGTTTTGCATTGTGGCCAAAAAGTTTGATTTTGGTTTCATCTGACCAGAGCACCTTCTTCCACATGTTTGGTGTGTCTCCCAGGTGGCTTGTGGCAAACTTTAAGAGACTTTTTATGGATATCTTTGAGAAATGGCTTTCTTCTTGCCAGTCTTCCATAAAGGCCAGATTTGTGCAGTGCACGACTGATTGTTGTCCTATGGACAGACTCTCCCACCTCAGCTGTAGTTATCTGCAGTTCATCCAGAGTGATCATGGGCCTCTTGGCTGCATCTCTGATCAGTCTTCTCCTTGTTTGAGATGAAAGTTTGGAGGGACGGTCAGGTCTTGGTAGATTTGCAGTGGTCTGATACTCCTTCCATTTCAATATAATTGCTTGCACAGAGCTCCTTGAGATGTTTAAAGCTTGGGAAATCTTTTTGTATCCAAATCCGGCTTTAAACTTCTCCACAACAGTATCTCGGACCTGCCTGGTGTGTTCCTTTGTCTTCATGGTTCTCTCTGCGCTTTAAACAGAACCCTGAGACTATCAAAGAGCAGGTGCATTTATACGGAGACTTGATTACACACAGGTGCATTCTATTTATCATCATCAGTCATTTAGGACAACATTGGATCATTCAAAGATCCTCACTGAACTTCTGGACTGAGTTTGCTGCACTGAAAGTAAAGGGGCCGAATAATATTGCACACCCCACTTTTCAGTTTTTTATTTGTTAAAAAAGTTTAAATTATCCAATAAATTTTGTTCCACTTCACGATTGTGTCCCACTTGTTGTTGATTCATGACAAAAAATTAAAATTTTATATCTTTATGTTTGAAGCCTGAAATGTGGCGAAATGTTGAAAGGTTCTGTATCTATAATTCTGTGAAGCCCCATCCAAGCATCCATTGTCTTGTGTTTTATCCGTCACTTGTCAGAATGTGCCGTACAGAACCACATGTGTCACGGTCTGTACTGCGTCCCTGTGCTCCAGAACCTCCTGCTGCTACTCCGCACGACTATTTATACCAGAGCTGAACCCGTGCCAATACTGTACATTACACTGCCGACGTCTGCTGATGATAACGCCAACAATCCAACCACTATGGAATGTTGCTAATAGTAAATTCCAAACAAACATTAGAGGCTATTTCCGGGTAAAGTTAACGTTATTTTGCCGACTCTGATACATAGTGAAAATGTGCAGCACTTTATCAAGACATGTTGATTTAAGATCCAGAAGAATAGGATGTGCTGTGTGTGTGTCCCCATTGGACATAATGTGGGACTAATAGAGACTCTCTTTCTCTGTGTCTCACTGGTCTCTCTCTCTCTCTCACTGGTCTCTCTCTCTCTTGCTGGTCTCTCTTCCTGGTTTCTCTTTTTGGGTTAGGGTTAGGGTCTCTCTGGTCTCTCTCTACTTTCTATCGTTGGTCTTTCTCTGTGGTCTCTCTCTCTCTCTGGTCTCTCTCTGGTTTCTCTCTCTCTCTGGTCTTTGTCTCTCTCTGGTTCCTCTCCTATGAGCAGTGATAAAATAAAAGCGACCAGAGTGAGACTTTAGAGAGACCAGAGAAAGTATGTGGTTGCTCTGTATTCCCCTGTGGTCTCCTTTGGACTGGTCTGTGGCTGTGTTTAGCTGCAGCCTGGTCAGTGACTGTGGGTCAGATCCCGAAGAGATCGTGTTTCTCTGTTAATGTCCAAACCCTCTGAGATGTGCAGGGAACCCCTCCAGCAGCAGCACATGACTGCAGCAGAGAGAGGGCTCCGGTGTCAGGGGGAGCTCAGGCCAAAGTCCCACTGTACAGTCACGGCCCCATACATACAGTCAGGTGAAGGCCAGGCCAAGGCGCGGTTATTTATATAGCACAGGGACAGTCAAAGTGCTGAAGAAAACTGTCACGGGCGCAGATCCAACACTAGAACTCAAATGGAGGACTGCCAAGATAATTTTTTTTTACAAAATCCAGGATGGAATAGGAATCTACACCACAAGAAGACAGAAGACACAGGGACAAGAATAAAATGGAGCAATAACAATGGACTGACGACAAGAGGAGAAAGAATAAGAACTAAGAATGACAATCATGGCAGAAACAAAATGGAAACAGTCACACAAGGCGTTAAAATCATAAATAATCACATTAAGAGTAAGATTACAATGCCTCAGTTTTTGCAGCGAAACACGACTGTTTTTAAGAAGACACTTGTCTCACATTTTCAAGAAGACTGTTACAGATTTTAGCATGAATCTGAAACGCTGCTAGCCTGGCCTTATCCATCCGTACACTCCGCTCAATCATCATTTCACTGCATGTAACGTCTGGGTCTAGTCCCTGTGTCAGCGAATACAATCGGTCGTATTTCGACCAGCTACTCAGAGAGCGCGGAAGGCGGGTGTTGTAGGTCGATGCCGGTGACGTCAAGAGTTTGCGCCGAACGGGCAGGTTGTAGTTTGGCAAGAAGGCGAAGAATGCGATAGTAAAGTAATCGGGTCTGGTTCTATCAAGAAATTGAAGCAGGAGCAAGAAGAATGTTTAGCAAATGTAATCGCTGGTCAAGATTGTGGCGCTACTCCCCACGGGCTCTGTTAGCAGCAAAGGAGTTGGCTAGGCTAAATGCTAAATGCTAACAACACACTCGGGCGCACTACATACGTCACGGTAAACTCAGATCCAATCGTTTCAATCTGCAAAAGGAGTTAGCCCCTCTCACCTGTTCACGGAGTCAATGGTGCAAATCCAAACCTTAGTACGAAATGTAATTTGTACTATGGTGTGGTACGACCAGGCTAAAATGCTGCCTCCGCATGTTTAGTCCTGACTCTGACCAGCAGGAGACCAGTCCCTGTGCTCCTCAGTCACAGCAGGAGACCAGTCCCTGTGCTCCTCAGTCACAGCAGGAGGCCAGTCCCTGTGCTCCTCAGAGTCAGAGTTGGTTCATTTGGCTCTAACATGTCGTAGTTGTACTTGACGAGGCCATGGAGAGTAACAAACAGAGCTTCTATGAAACAACATGTATTAGGTTCTTCTACATCAGATGTACCTTTTATACCTCATCAGCTGCTGTTGGAGTGTTATGTGTGACGTCACGAGGTGCTTCAGTGGAAGACGGAAGTATCCGTGGAAACATGTCAAGGTAATAACATTGTTATTCTACTATCGTCTGGAATAGAAGAACCAAATACTTTTAATTTAAGAACAAAGGAGCTGAATCTTCCTAAACTGCTGAGGAACATATCGATAAGATCTGAGGAGTTTTGAGATGGTGGTTCTTTCTGTTTATTTCAAGCCTTTTAATTATACTTTTGTCTGTTCAAAAAGGGTTCTCTGAGACCTAAACCCGGGGAGGCAGTATTTCAGATGAATGCAGCTAAAATCTGGAACTGTCTTGTCTTCTTGAAAACAGTTCTGTTTCGCTGCACATACAACTGAAGGATCTTCACTCATAATGTACTGTGAATATTTATGGTTTTCATTCATTGTGTGTTTCTCTCTTGTTTTCTTAATCACTGAGTTTCCTTGTGAATAAACTTGCCTGATCTGTTATGACTATGTTCTTATACTGTTCTTACTGGACTATTGAGCACCTTTAGAGAAAAGAAAGCCAACACCTGATGGAGCAAAACCATGGACGAAAATAATAACAACAGCTCTGACTATCGCCCAAATCACTTACAAAAGTTCTGTGTATTTCCTTGTGTCCGAACCATAGACTGTATATATTAACGGACAGAGTCACTCCTATCTCCGCCGTTCTAACTAATGGGCCAAAAGATGTGCTCTACTGGAGCTATCCAAAATGGCCGCGAGTGGTCCCGCCCACAAGAAAATTGTGAAAAAACGCATCTGCGCATGCGTCAGCCGGCGAGAGCTCCATTCATTTGAACGAGAGACGAGAGAAATTCACAGCAAGTAAACTAGAGTGGACCAAAAAAATCCACCCCCCTCAGCATTGACACACATGTGGCATGCACACAGCTTTGGGCCAAGAGCCAACTTTTGGTCCATCCTGTAAAGACGTTTTTGAGAGGTCTGCCAATGCTATATGTTAGCATTGGCTAATTCTTATTCCGGGTCCACCCCCATCGGCCCGGGGTGGTATTGCAGCATGTCAGCGCACGTCATTTTGGCCACTTTTGAGCTGGAACCCGCCCCCACTGGTCCGAACACTTCCTGTACTCTAGGGGGAGCTCTAACAAAATAAAAATAAATACAAAGGCTCCAACTGCAATGTAAGCCGCAGGGTTTAATGAAGAAGGAATCTAGAAAGTACTGTTTCATGAGTAAGTAAGTCATCTTTAATTATATAGCGCCATCCACAGGCCACGGTCCATTCTTGGGTCGCTCTACAGGAGACGCAAGACCTATGACCTATAACCAGAGCAGACATGAAGAGAACATGCAAACTCCACACAGAAAGGTCTGGAGGTGGAATCGAACCCAGGACCTTCTTGCTGTGAGGCACAAGTGGCAGGCAATCAATTCAGATAAATGTTTACATTAGCTACATTAGCGCCGTGTGAAATATTGTGACACAATGCTGAGTGGATAGCACTCTCGCCTCTCAGCAAGAAGGTCCTGGGTTCGAATCCCGGTCGGACCAGGGCCTTTCTGAGTGGAGTTTGCATGTTCTCCCCGTGTCTGCGTAGGTTTCCTCCGGGTACTCCGGTTTCCCCTATCACTAAAAATATGTCCAATAGTTCTAGCATGCGCCTCCTGTACTGGCCCCGCTTCCATCTCTGTGTGGAGTGAGAGACAAATGCCCAAAATTAACAATTGTAAACCGCTTTGAGACTCAGATCTGCAGTGAAAAGGCGGTATATAAATAAAAACTTACTTACTTACTTACATACAAATAAAGTCTGAGCTTCACAACAAGGTACAGCATGACTACATTAGCCTGGTCTTACCACACCATTGTACTAATTTCATTTCATACAAAGGTCTGGATTTGCTCCATTGACTCCGTGAACAGGTGGGAGGGGTTAACTCCTTTTGCAGATTGAAACCATTGGATCTGAGTTTACTGTGACGTATATAATGTCCCCTAGTGAGTCGTTAGCATTTAGCCTAGCTTTAGCACTAGCCTAGCTTTAGCCATCTCCTTTGCCACTAACGGAGCCCGTGGGGAGTAGAGCCACAACATCTTTGCTTCAATGACATTCACTAAACATTCCTCTTGCTCCGGCTTCAGTTTCTTGATATTTGGATTGAACCAGAACAGATTATTTTACCATCACATTCTCCGACAAACTACAACCAGCAAATTCAGCACAAACTCTTGACGTCACCGACACCGACCTACAACACCCGCCTCCCCCGCTCTCTGATTGGTCGGAGGAGATTCAACCGAGGAAACTGCAGCCACTAGGATCAGACACAGACGTACATGTAGGAGATGACCATGGACCAGAGTTTACACATGGTATGACCAGACGTACATGTAGGAAATGACCATGGACCAGAGTTTACACATGGTAAGACCAGACGTACATGTAGGAAATGACCATGGACCAGAGTTTACACATGGTAAGACCAGACGTACATGTAGGAAATGACCATGGACCAGAGTTTACACATGGTATGACCAGACGTACATGTAGGAAATGATCATGGACCAGAGTTTACACATGGTAAGACCAGACGTACATGTAGGAAATGATCATGGACCAGAGTTTACACATGGTAAGACCAGACGTACATGTAGGAAATGACCATGGACCAGAGTTTACACTTGGTAAGACCAGACGTACATGTAGGAAATGATCATGGACCAGAGTTTACACTTGGTAAGACCAGACGTACATGTAGGAAATGACCATGGACCAGAGTTTACACATGGTATGACCAGACGTACATGTAGGAAATGACCATGGACCAGAGTTTACACATGGTATATGACAGTGTTCTGTGAGGACCAGACGTACATGTATGAAATGATCATGATACAACCTTCATGAGAGGTCAATAGAAAGAGTGGAAAGAAAGACAGAGGAGACCAACACTAACACTGTCGTCAGTTTGAGGGAGAAGGAGCTGTGGTCAGAGGAGTCCAGAATATAACTGTTAAGTATGACCCAAAACTGACACTGCTCATTTCCCTCAGTGCACAAACCTCAGTCTCAGATATGGGGGTGGAAGCATCCAGCTGTGGGGCTGCTTTTCTTCAGCAGCAACCGAGAAGTGTCAGGGTTGATGGGAAGATGGATGTAGAACGATACAGGACAATGTTGGAAGAAAAGCTGTTGAAGTTGGTAAAATTATGTTGTTTTGTCAAGACAAACTGTCAATCTCTAGATGTTCAAAGCGTAGAGTCATCCCCAAAAAACTGTTTCATTCCCACTGAACTGATCCGACCCTGATCTGATCCTGATCCGACCCGTGTCATGTGACGCCAGGTCCAGCCGGGACCAGAGGAGAGAAGGGTGACAGAGGAGAGAAAGGTGCGAAGGGGGACCGGGGTATCGCAGGACCCAAAGGGGAAGCAGGATCCGCCTTTGCTGGGTCTGGGTCTTCAGAGACAGGCCACAAGGTAAAGAGAATCAGTCTGGCCTCTGCTGTCCGCGACGTCATGTGACCTCACTCTGCTCTCTGCTTTCTTTCAGGGAGAAAAGGGGGTGAAGGTCAGTGCTCCTTTCATACTCTGGTCGGTCTGGTTACCTCCTAGCTAAGTCCTACAGTTGAGGGCTGCTTTAGTCCATAGACCATTTACAGATGGACAATGCTAACCCATTAGCCTAATGTTACCAGGATAGCGCAAACACAATAGGGAAGTGCCCGTTTGACTCCAACTTGCTCTGAATCCTATTGTCTCACATGTATGCTAAACTCCTCTAGCTCGGAAACCGTTTGTCTCAACCTCACCAGTTTGGTGTAGCGCACTCTGTGATCCTGGTGTTTTTATATGTGTTGTATATTCTATATTGTCTTTGTAAATCCAGATATGAGCCATTCAATCAGATGCCTCTCGTCCACAAAGATTGTGTTGTTGAGGCAGCGTCCCCTGTGGACAGTGTGAGACATGAGGATGCATTCCACTCACATTATTGTCTGCGTTTTTTTAAATGGTCTCAGGGCAGCCCTGGCATTGGGAACAAAGGTAACAAAGGTGATCGTGGGCTCCCAGGCCCTCAAGGGCCTCCTGGAGCCCCAGGACTTGGAGCAGAGGTGGCCCGGCTCGGGGATGGCTCTATAGTACAGCAGGTCTCTGGGCCCCAGGGATCACCAGGAATTCCAGGTCTAGATGGGGCTCCGGGACCTCGAGGAGCAGACGGAGAACCAGTGAGTGAGAGATTGTTCTACACAATTTTGTTCGGATGATATCAACTTGTTTGTGTGGGATTTGTGCACAGGGAGATCCAGGAGAAGATGGGAAAGTTGTAAGTCCTTTACAAACTCATGTTAAACTAATCCCTCTCTAGGATTTTAACTTTTGGTATCAATGTGCCAGGGGCCAATGGGCCCTCGAGGGCCCCCCGGGAGCAAAGGAAGCTCCGGAGACAAAGGATCGAAGGTATGGCACCTTTCCTTTGCTTTTACTTTTACTGTACATGTTTTTCACTGACAGTTTTGACTTGCTGTTTTTAGGGAGAGCGTGGAGACGGACAGCCAGGGCCTCGCGGCCCCTCAGGACCCCCTGGGCCCCCAGGACTGGGCAGCGGTGACCGGCCAGTAAGTTGTATATATGTAAGCTATAGTAGACCAATTTTGCATCTGTGGCTTATTTTGTTTCAGACATTTTTGGATATGGAAGGTTCTGGATTTGCTGACATGGTCAAAACCCGGGTAATGTTACCATGTCGACCCAACACAAACTCACAGACATACGCACACACAAACACGTAGGACCCACGTAGGTTTTATATTAAAACAGGTACCACAGGGTTGGTACGACAGAGCACGGTCAAGATCAGTTTTATACTTCTTGTCCTTTGCAGATTTCTCCAACGTTTTCTGCTAACTGCACTTTGTACAGGGTCTCCCTGGTGTACCAGGGCCTCCAGGCCCCCCTGGTCCCCCTGGCACATCAGTCACTTTTGGAGCCAATGGTCCAGTGGCTGTTGGACCTCCTGGACCTCCTGGACAGGATGGAGTGCCTGGTATTCCTGTAAGTAACTGTTCCACATCACTGAGTATACATGATCAAAGCTGTTAAACTGAGGTTTTTGTCCAATGAACAAGGGACCCCCTGGCCCTCCTGGACCGTCAGGTCAACCTGGACTCAGAGGAGAGAAGGTACTGGGTTCATATCCACAGATTTCAGGGTCTGGGTTCTGGTCTCATGTGGCTGTGTGTGTTGCTCTTTCACAGGGAGACTGTGGAGATGTCAGCTCTTCAGGAGCTCGGCAGAAGGTGAGTGGTCACACTCCTCAGCTAAGCTCCTGCATGTCATAAAGTCCTGTTTATACACATGTACTGTATCCTCTAGTCTCCTGCAGGTCCTAGACCCCTGCAGTCCTAGTCTCAGTCTCAAACTCAGGATTCCTCCTGATCTTCTCTGTTGCTCTGATGATCCTTGTCTTTGCGTCTGGTTTCTCTCACTCATTTTGTGACAGGGAGAACAAGGAGGTCCTGGGCAGCCAGGCACTCCAGGCCAGAGCGGGTTGGCAGGTCTCCCAGGACCAATGGGACCAGTGGGACCTCCAGGACCACCAGGACCTCCAGGCCCCCCCTATGATGCCTATGTGAGCACAGATACAAGTCACAGCTTCTCTTTCTCAGTTTTGGGACTCCTTGATTTTCCTCTGATGTCTAACAGGGCGGTGGTGTGGGGATTAATGCGATTTCAACGAGCGGAGGCCCAGGTCCACAGGTACTATCCCTTTGTTTGTGCTCCTATTGTCAGCGGTCAGAGTCTGCTGGTTTAATGTTGTGTTGATTGTTAGGGTCCTCCTGGTGCACCCGGCCTGACGGTAAGTGTCCCCTCTGAAAGCTCCTGATCACTCACTACTGTACCTGTGACTCATTTTATTGAGATCTGGTTTTCTAGACTTTTGTGTATTGACTAACAATCCCCTTTAGGGAAAACCTGGTTTGCCTGGTAACCATGGAGACAAGGGTGCAGAAGGCCCTCGGGGCCCCCCTGGGGTCCCCGGCATGGACGGCTTTCCCGGACAGGAAGTAGGTCCTGCTCATCTGAGTGTGTTTATATTTGGAGCCCTTTGTTCATATATTTGTAAAATGTTTTGACAGGGTGCTAAAGGAGACCGAGGACCCAAAGGGGAAACGGTCAGTGACAGTCAGTCTTTTCACATTGATCTAGAAAATAATAGAATGTTTTCTAGGGTTTACCAGGGCGAGAAGGTGGTCCACCTGGACCTCCAGGATGGGCCTCCAGGATATATCATCTATCAACCAGGAAGTGATGTAAGTCTGTGATGAACGAATCCAGCGTCATAACAACACTCATCCACTAATAAGCCATAAGATCCGTAAGTGTTTTATATGACTAACTCTCACTGTCACCGCCCGGCTGCTGCCCACCACACTGACCCGGCTGCTGCCCACCACACTGACCCGGCTGCTGCCCACCACACTGACCCGGCTGCTGCCCACCACACTGACCCGGCTGCTGCCCACCACACTGACCCGGCTGCTCCACACTGACCCGGCTGCTCCACACTGACCCGGCGGCTCCACACTGACCCGGCTGCTCCACACTGACCTGGCTCCCCGTACTAACTTCTAACTGTCGTGCTATAGTATAATGACCAGTTTTGGAGCGAAGGGTCGGAAGAGGAGGTGAGTGCTGCTCTCATCGAATGAAGATTCTGTCTCTGTGAAGTTAGTTCCAGTGTTTAATGATCTGTTCTTTCAGGGGAGAGTTGGTGGAGCCGGGAGAGCAGGAGTCCCGGTGAGTCCGGTTACTGCCGCCCCAGAAAACAACATGTCACTACAGCACCTTGAGCCTTGTGTTCTTTCAGGGCCTCACGGGACAGAAAGGTGACAAGGGGGACGTGGGGGCTCCTGGATATGCCCCAAAGGTATTTCCATGAGCTCAAACAAACACACCAATATTTGCCTTGAATAACACGCTCTGTGTACAGGGGGAGAAGGGGGAGCCTGGCATCATCCTGGGACCGGACGGGCGACCCATGTACCTTGGCGGACTGTCGGGAAAACCGGTACAAATGAGAATGAAACTTATTTTGTGACATTTCAGTTTATTCTCCCACTGTATATGTTACAGGGGGATCCAGGGCCCCCAGGACCCCCAGGACCCGAGGGACCCCCAGTGAGTACCACCCTGTCTAACCTTCATTCTGCTGTTGGTTCTGTTCTAACACAATTCTCTGTAGGGCCCATATGGACCTGTAGGTCAGAAGGGAGAGATTGGTTTCCCTGGTCGTCCGGTAAGATGTAAAACGTGGTATTTCTTTGGTGTTGTTATGGCGATGTACGATGTGCTAATGCTGAGCCATGCAGGGCCGTCCTGGACTGAACGGGGTCAAAGGAGAGAGAGGGGACTCCAGCGGAGGATACTCCTTGCCTGTAAGTACAGTACATGTCTGTTAGTACTCATGGGTCAGTACTCAGTCCTGCTTCTGCTCAGGGGCCTCCTGGTCCACCCGGGCCTCCTGGACCACCAGGGCCCCCTACTCCTTATGTCAACACACACGGGGTGAGTTATGAGTCCAAATTAACAGATCAAGTTATAATCAGTATTGAGCGTGTTTCTCTGGGTTCCAGGGCTATGAAGACCCGTCCAGGTACTACCCAGGTGAGAGACCTTGACCATAAACTGCTCTGTGGCCCCCTGAAGGCTGGGACACAACAGCACGCATGCCCACGGGGCCTCACGCCCACAGGGCCTCACGCCCATAGGGCCTGCACTTTCTTATTTCACAGTGCTGAAATGGTCCCGAACGTCCCGAACGTTTCACAAATTTCACAAATGACCCGAGGCGGCATTGTGTCATTTGTGAATAAAGTCCAATCGTGTCAGAACTTCTGCTGAAACTGTGTCTGAAAATAGAAGAGGAGAACATTATAACACACTCTTTTTTGATGGGCAGCTACAAAAGGAGACAAAGGAGATCGTGGGGAGCCAGGTTACCCAGGCCAGCCAGGTAGACTTTCCTCTTAAATCAATAGTGATGTTTACAATACATAAAGTCATGCTTTTCCCGTTTAGGAGCGGGACCCCAGTTTGACATCCACACACTGAGGGTAAGGAGTAGAAATGTGTAATATATCTGTCACCACTGTGTCACGTTGTTTGAATTTACCAGGGACATCTCAGAGGAGAGGCTGGGTCTAAAGGAGAGAAAGGAGAGCCCAGCGGTGGTGGGTACTATGACCCTCGCTATGGCGCTGGTTTTGGACCTCCAGGAGCCCCCGGGCCTCCGGTACGCTGGCTTTTTATTGGATGTAGCCATGGTATGAATCTCACAAACATGCTCTCCCTCAGGGCCCTAAAGGAGACTCCATCATCGGCCCACCGGGCTTTCCAGGGCTTCCTGGACCTCCGGGGCGCGGCAATGATGGCCGGCCAGGACCTCCAGGGCCCCCTGGGTCTCCAGGATCAACAGTGTCTGTGGATGGACGGGGAGTGCAGAGTGAGTCGCTGTCGCACATGTTTACGGCACAACTTTACTTCTTTACTTGAGAACATTTTGTTTGACAGCCATCAGCATCCCTGGCCCACCAGGACCCCCTGGAGCACCGGGTACACCAGGGCATTCTTCAGGGGTACGTAAGCATTTTACACTTAATGAGTCTTTCATTGATGTGATGTGTTCACAGACAGCATATTAACAGACAAATATTAAATATTATAGAAAATTCACATTTGTTTACAGTTTTTTCCAGTTGCTTGAACACTATAGACAGACACTTAGACCAAAGTTGCAGAGCTTGAAGCTTTTGTTCTAAACCTAAAATACAGACTGACTATTCCTTAAACAAAAGTACTGCTTTGCACTCTACTTTCATTTCTACAACACACTTTCTCTTTCTGCAACACACTTTCTCCTGCTCACTACACACTGTGTCATACATAAGACACTTATTTGCAATCCTGAGTTATCGTTGGGAAAACACATCATTTCAAAATACCAAACACATTGAGTGACTAAAAACACTGAGACACACACATGAAAACACTGACTTACAAAATGCAACACACATCAAATCGACACAAACAGGCCTCAGTTTAGCCATTTTCAGAACTCTGCAAGTCTGAAGGCAGGAAGAGCAAGAGAGAGGAAGAGGAAGACAAGGAGTTAAAGAGGACAAAAACAACACAACATTTTGATGACATAAGAGTAACCTTTGTGGATCATGTGATAAATCGTGGCCTCAAACTGAGGGAAACAGAGAATCCAGACAAGGTCCTTCAGGACCTTCAGTTCGAAACATGTTTCCAACGCTCTACTGCAGACTGTATCTACAGTATTACAGTACTGTTCTGTATCACATGTACTGTGACTCTGTACTGCAGACTGTATTTACAGTATTACAGTACTGTTCTGTATCACATGTACTGTGACTCTGTACTGCAGACTGTATCTACAGTATTACAGTACTGTTCTGTATCACATGTACTGTAACTCTGTACTGCAGACTGTATCTACAGTATTACAGTACTGTTCTGTATCACATGTACTGTTTTGCAAGTTGGCTATTGCTCCTTTTGAAAAAAATGTAGTTTTGTGAAACATACAAGACAGTAAAGTACATAAAACTGAGATACTACAGTACTGTACACATTTGTAATGTAAAAAAACTAAACCTATAGTAACAATTTGTGGTTTCATATTTATACAAAATGACTAAAAGAACATCTGGAGGTGGTCGGCAACTGTTCACCAACAACAGGAACTTGCCTTTGTGGAAATAGACCATGAACCATGATCCACACACGCACAATTGCTTAGTTTTACATTCGAGTTTTTTTGTTTTACTGCATTGACACAAATGCAGTAAAGTATACCGTAATATTGTGATATACTGTATACTATAGTACTATGATATACAGTATACAGTAATACTGTGATGTAAAGTATACAGTAATACTGTGATGTACGGTACACTGTAGTACTGTGATGTACAGAATATTGTAGCACTGTACTGTGATGTACAGTATATACTGTAGTACTGTACTGTACAGTATACTGTAGTACTGTACTGTATTGAGTTGATATTGTTTGTAACCTTTCAGTGGTACTGAGAACCAAAACAGTTCCATTGAGCTTCACAGAAAACTAACTGATAAACAGAATTAAAACAGTGAAAATGACTGTAGTGTTTTATAAAAAGTACTGTAGTGTTTTATATAAAGTACTGTAGTGTGTTGCTTCCAATCTGAAAGTGTGTTCACGTGATGCAAGTGTGTGTCATTTTGTCCTCAGAGTTTCATTTTGACGAATTATTGTTTAATTTTGAGAGCAGAGTTTGAGTTTTGAGAACAGAGTTTGAGTTTTGAGAACAGAGTTTGAGTTTTGAGAGCAGAGTTTGAAATTTTGCAAACTGTGTTCAAGCAACAGGAAAAAACTGTAAATACCAAACAAATGAATTAGGTACAAAGCTAAGTCCTGTGATGACTTAATGGGACACTAAAAGCAGATTACACACTGTCCCTTTCAGTCAAAAATATAATGAAACAACTATTCAGTCTGTAACCGCCCTATGCGTCTGCAGTCAGAGCTTTAACCTTAGGTCTGTTTTTGATGAGGAGACAATGTAACCGAGTTAAAAGAAGAAGACAGCTCACACACACAAGGTGCAGCTCGACTAAAGCTGAGTCCTCATTCAGGTCACAGTTCTCCGCTCCTACGACACCATGAGGGCCACAGCCCGGGGGCATCCCGAAGGGTCTCTGGTCTACGTCCTGGACCAGACCGACCTGTACCTCCGGGTCCGAGACGGAGTCCGCCAAGTCCAGGTGCCAATCACAGTATCACACGGCCACACTCATAGTTCTGACCTCACACAACCATAACGACCATATGCTGTATCCGAATGTCCACACTATACCCTATTCACTCACTCACTATATAGTTCGGGACTATATAGCGACTGAGTGAGTGAGTCAGTGCACTCATTCTGTTGGCGATTCGGACAGCTGCACACTATTTTTAGCCGCGGCCCACATCACACCCCTGTCACATGTCATTGGATCAATATAATTTTATATATAAATAAAAGTATATTAAAATATCAATATTTGTCTAATATACATGTATAAAACGTTTTTACAATTTATATTCATATTTATGAATTTTGGTTGACTTATTCGCTTAACGTCTTTCATATTCACGCCACCTGACCGGCTCCTCTACCACTGGTGAAATGGCACCTCCACTGAATTTTGCGGTGTTTTTGTTAACAATTATACAACTTCTCATAATGCGAATTAAAAACCGCCGAACAGAGAGAAGGCGAAGACAGGCGATGAGGCGGAGGAGGAGAATGGCTCTTCTTTCATTAGCAAGGCGTCGTGTAAGTATTGTATTCGTCCTTTGTCTATATAGCATTAGCACCATCTACTGGGTAAATTATAGTACTTTTGGTGTACTTACTAGTTAAAAATACTATTCTCAGTCAATGAGAAACACATTAGTCATATACATTTAGACATATTTCAACAAGAAAACACATTGTATAGACACACTCACTTAAAATGCAAGAACATTAAAATATTTTATTGGTTGAAAGAACACAAAACCATAGCAAGGGAAATGGATTAAGTACTCATTTTTTCTAAATGAAAAATGAGTACTTAATCATTAAACAATAATAGAATTTGCTTGGCCATGGGGCACAGGGCTTCTGTGATTTTTTTGTGTGTTATTAGGTGCGAGTGATGTAGTGAGGGTTTCTACTTCAGTTGTCTCAGGGCAGCTCCAGCTCCCTGCAACACACAATACATTTGGTAAAATCAATGCCAGGGCACAAAAGAACATGACTTCAGCTATATACTCTTCATTTTTATTTACATTTTTAAATCTCAAAATGAAAAATGAGTACTTATTCCTGTGTCTGCACTCATAACTAAAAGTGCAGATACAGAATTAAAAAATGAATCTAGAAGTATCATATTAAGTTTAAGAGAATTTTTGTTTTGTTTTAGGGTGAACCACCGGTGTACTGCCGACTGAACCACCATGTACCCCTAGTCAGCATGTACTTAAATGGCCAGTCTGACCTTCGCCTCGATTTTCGCCTCACTCGAACCACCATCAGCCGTCTGGTTAGCCACCTGAGGAGTGCTCATCACCAGGGCTGGAGCCAGGACATGGAGGTTTTGGTTTTCCTCTTTTGGTTGGCCAGTGGCACCGCGTACCGTGTTGTCGCCAGGGCATTGGACATGCCTCAGTCCACAGTCCACGATGTGATCCACAGGGTGGCCAACCAGATCCTTCAAATGCGTGGCCAAATAATTAATTTCCCTTCCCTGGAGGAACTTCCCCAAGTTGTAGCTGGGTTTCAGTTGCTGGCTGGATCAGCTGCTCTCAATAATGTTGTGGGGAGCATCGATGGCTGCCACATCAGAATAAAGCCCCTTCAAGAAAATGCACAGTGTTATTTTAACAGGAAATTGTTTTATTCTATTCAAATGCAGGCTGTGTGTAATCACCGTGGCTTATTTATTGATTTGTTTGTTGGCTACCCCGGATCTGTGCACGATTCTCGAGTGCTTAAAAACAGCCCCCTCTACGTCCACCGGCTCTATCCCCCAAATGGACACGTCCTCCTTGGGGATGGGGGTTACCCTTGCCTCCGTCAGCCCATCACACTCCTCCCTCCATACAGAGAGCCTGTTCGGAGCCCAGTGGAAGCCCGCTTCAACCGGCACCATGCACGGGCACGATCTGTAACAGAAAGAGCGTTTGACATGATGAAGGCAAGATGGCGATCAATTTTTTTTAAGGCACTGGAAGTCCAACCCACCTTTGCAGTCGAGGTGACTGCCTGTTGCGCCATCCTGCACAACATCTGCGTCAGCGATGGTGATCTCTGGGAGCCAGTGGAAGAGGAGCCAGGGCCTGATGATGAGCAGGACCAGCATCAGCAGCACCAGCCTGATCAGCAGTGTGGACAGGAGCTGTGTGGACGGATGGCAGCAGCACTTTCCACCCCAAGGGACTATTAATTAAATGTTTGAATAATCTGTGTTTTGGCCTATTTAAATAAAAACAAAAACAATTGAATATGTAAATATCTAAAAAGAAATTGTTGAATGTATGTATAGTTTTCTTTACAAATGTCTAGTTGATTAAATTTTTTGTGTGTAAATAGTGTGCATCATTGTATGTCCATATGCATATAGTTCACACTACACTTATCAAAATAATTTTTTATCTACTATTTACAACTTCTCTCCAACAAACTCAACAGTCTCTCCTTTCTCTCTTCCTCTCTTCTTCCCCTCTCCCCTTCTCGCTTCTCCCTTTCCTCTTCCTCTTTCCTCCCCCATGGATGAGGCAATCAGGCAGGGAGGCTGCACGGATGGCCTGCTGCCTATTGCCTCATCCATGAGGGAGTACCACTTCCAAGATATGGCGATGGGCTCCCCTCCTTCTGTCCCTGTCCCTGTGCGTGGCTGTCTGAGCTCCTTAAAACAGTGAGTTTTGTATAATAAATGCTTCACAAATTAGCTTCAAAGAAACAAACCTTGTAGGTCTTTTTCAGGTTCTCCCACTTCTTGGCCGCTCTGGCAGGGGTGATCATTTCCTTTATCACTGCCCTAAAGTAACGATACATAAAAACATTTGAATATGAGTAGACGTTTTTTGAATAAGTATTTATTCATAATGGTCATACTCCCATCCAGCCGCCGAAGCAAATTTTTCACCCGCAGTCAGATGAGTCTCTCCACATCAGTGTCTGTCCCTTTAAAAAACATTAAACACACAATAAATGCTATACATATAACACAAGTGCTTTAATAACATTAATGACTGACCACCAGTGACCCGTTTCTGTAGCGTTCGCTTTAGATGTTAATGTTATGATATGCGAAAATGCTAACACTTTCGCGGCATAACATTGGTACGTTGTTTTGCAGTAAAAGGCAATGGTATTCAAATGTGTATTTTGGCAGCTTATCGTCAACAATATATCACGGTTTACACATTTACATATTTATGATGATTAAAAACTCACATTTATAGCTCATGTCCCGCTCCGCGTCCAGCTCGTCTCTCTGTGCCTCCGCCATTTTACTTCCGTCTAGTGACCATCGCTGCTCACTACATGTTCGAGATGCATTGTGGGAAAATTCCAGTGCACTACATTTTCTCTCTGGACATTCGGACACCCCTACAAAATGGCGTGACCACTATATAGTGCACTATATAGGGTATAGTGTGGACATTCGGATACAGCCTTAGTCTTTCAACAAACTGTTATTGCTCGTTTTTAAAAATCAAAAAAATTACGAATAAATAAGCATTATCTTATACTTCTTTGTGCTGAATTCAGATATTTTGGACTTAGTTCTTACTTCTTTATTATGCTAAAGTTTGAGATTTCCGTTTGCTTCCATATTATGCTAAAGCTAGAAATTTTATACTTTCTTCTTTTAGATACTAAATTTTGAGGTGCTCATTCTTAGTGTTCTGTAACTGATAAAGCAACACTGACATTTCCCCACCGTGGGACAAATAACATTTCTTAATCTTAAAGTAGTACTAGAATGTAATATGCTGCTATCCGGAATATATAACTACAATATGTGTTTGTAATATTTCGGGTGTTCATTTTGACATGTTCAGATTAATTAGATTAAAAAAACGGCACATTTTCACTTCTGCATAGAAACGCTAGGGGGCGCCAAAATGGCGGCGATGACGTAGGAGAAGGACCTCTCACAGCAGCAGCAGCAGTCTGGGCTGAATCTGTAGGAGGTTTCACTGTCATCTGAACAAGGTATAAACATATTTTCATCAGTTTTGTACATAATAGTGTGCAACTCTTTTAACCTTTTAGCCTTATTTGTGAGATTCAAGCTAATTAGTGTTGGGCAAGTTAGCTAACTCTACTTGATATCATAAAACATGCTAACAAGGCTAATATTCGTTTTTACATTATGCCAGTCTCACTTTGGTTGCCTTAGATTTATTTACCACAATGTACATTGTAATATTCATAAATGCTAATCAAAATAACTTGAATTAAATAAATATTTTGCTTTTATGAACAAAAAGCTGCTGAAGTTGAAAACATAGACACAAGAGCTAACATGATAACTACATGTGATGCAATCATTGATAAAAATGCTAATTAAACCGTTAATAGGTGTTAGCATTTAAACTAATGTCAAACTAATGTCACTAACTAATGTCACTAACTTCTATAAAACTAACGTTTAACTAATATCACTCTTATTTTGTGCAATAACTGTGACTTGTTCTTACATAATTCATTCATGCCGTCTCTACAGTGTGTGCAGTGTGTGGTCTGGTAAGTGGTGCTATTTTTACGTGGGCTGTTGGCTGCTTCACACTCCCAGGGTCCGTCCTTCACCTCCTGCTCCGGACCAGACGCTCGACACTTGATCTGACCGTGGATCCTCTCAAGTGCAGTGTAAAGAGGCTGTTTCCATTTTGTCCATGTAGCTGAGCAAAAAGCGGTGACCTAGCATAGGGGCTTTGTGCTTAATAAAACCGGTGATATTAAAAAACACACAACAGTGGTCAGAGATAGCCAAGTTGATGGCAGAGGACACACCCGCAGTCAGGCCATAGGTAATGATCAGGTCGAGGGTGTGTCCTCTGTTGTGAGTCGGCTGTGGGATATGTTGTGTAAAATCCATGTAATTTATGACACTTAAAAACTCACAGTGGGGAAATGTCAGTGTTGCATCACAAATTACACAACACAAGATAAATTAATATTCAGGACAGCACAACTCCAAACTTAAATGAAACTTGTATATTTAGCTTAATAAAGAAGCAAAGTATAAATGACTGTGCACTCTAGTGAAATAGAAATCTACTTGTATGTATTCTGTAACATTACTACAAATTACAATAAATATGAAGTGAGGTCAGTTTGCCAATATCTTCACTATTTCTTGTACAGTCTGACAGCAGCAGAAAGGAAAGACCTGTGGAACCTCTCCTTCACACAGTGAGGGTGAATCAGTCTGTTGCTGAAACCGCACTCCAGAGCAGCCAGAGTGTCCTACAGGTGCACTGATTAAAGAAGCAAAATATAATTTACTGGCTGCTCCAGTGCAGAGCTGGGTTTCTTAGGGGCTACATTTGGATATCGCCCAATGGTGGAGAGCTGGTCCCAATTTCACGTGATTCATTTTGTATTTAATTTTTCTCCTTGCCTCCACCTCCTCAGATCCTCCAGCTGCTTCACATCCCTTTTGATAGACAATTATTAGAATTTTTTCAGCACATTTCAGCATTTTTGTTGTAATAAACTTTTGTCACTTTTTAGGACCACTGCCTCCCGTCTCTGATCTGAAGATGTGACAGAGGACAAAAAATGCGAAAATGCGACAACTATAGAACCAAACTAGTCCATTGGATTTGATCACATAGTGTGTGTTATAAAATATAGGTATCGCAGCTTTGATAGATGCTGTTATTTCCACATGACTGAATATTGTGACACCCGTGATCACATGTAAATAGTGATCTTAAAATAAAAGTTTTATTTATGTCAGACAAAAATCATGTGAGAGGCTGGGATTAGAACCTGACCTGGACCTGACCCACAGACGCTAACTGCACAAGGACATCCCGAAGACAGTTCCCACCTTCTCTCCTTCTGAGCCCCTCATCGTTGTAAATCTTCCATCTTATCGTTCACTTATGAGTTTAATCCTGGGGGACTTTGTGTGGGCTTAGCCGTGCTGAGGGCCAGGTTCTCCCCGGGACGGAGTGACATGCGAAAACTCGTTCAACCTCCGGATCCTGTGTCAGACAAAACAATCAGGGCTAAAAATGCTCTTCCACAACCCCCCCCCCCCCCCCTCCCCCTGTGGCTCACACCCTGTATGTCCCAGCAGCAGCTATAGGAACAGGCCTTATATAACTGTAACAGGCCTAAACTGATCACAGACTACAGTTGCCTCGCTTTTCGCAACTCAAAGTGCTTAACAAAATTAGATAGAAGCAATCACCCAAGGCATTGAAAACATAAAGTACATTCAAAATAGTGAAGCTATAATCCTTCAGTTTTTTGCACAGCTAAACAGACGTAAAGCTAAAGCAGTGGTTCAGACTGGAAGAACTAAGCTTACTATACGCTGAATGTCCACCACTGTTGCTCACGGCAACAGCGATCTGTCAATCACACTCAGCTGCAGCGCCACACTGCCCTCATCTGGTAGCAATCAGACACTGCCCCGCATCGAGCTTAATATCTCGAGGAAGATCCATCCAAGCAGCAGCTTCATTTATGCCACAACCCTCCTCCTCCCCATCTCCGCCTCATTCCAGACCAGTTCTCATCCTTCTCCTCGATCCCGCCGAGTCTAGGCCCCGGGGAAGACGTGTCATAATCTCTTTCTCTTCTGCAATCATGGCAGTGCTCTGCTGGGGTCTAAGCGCCAAATCCTAACAACAATTCTGTTCATTGGCAATAAATGTAATCTTGAAAATATTGTCCTCAAAGCCGTATGTGTAAATTGTGTAGTCCCTGTGCTCCTCAGAGTCCCAGCCCCATAGGGCATCAACAGAGCTGCCACAGGCCAGGAGACAGTGCAGAGACCCGAGAACTTGACAATTGCAATGGTACTTCCTGGTTCTACTCAGTACTCAGACTACTTTTCTAAACTACACAGAAAAGTCAGTGAAACACATGTAGAGCAGAACAGCTGTTTGAGGCGCGGTGGTCCGATCCTGCGGTAATTCAAATCCCTCTTCTTACATAACTTCCAGAGTCACCCAGCTCTGATACGCCCCACGTGCCTCTCACGATGGATCCCCAAATAAACAAACACATAAGACTCTTAAGACCAGGGGGATTCTCGGTCCGGGCTGCCCACTCCGCTCACCATGAGAGAGGTGCGGAGAGTGGGCAGAAGAATAGAGAATCCGTCCGCAGCATTAAACAGCCTGACACAGTTATTTCTGGAGCAGTCCTTCAGTGGGAGACAGGTGCTCAGACGCTCAAACATATTCACTTTCTTCTGCTGGAACAATATATGCTGCTGAGCTGTAATGGACCCTTCCCCAGCGTGGTGGAGAGCGCAGCTGCTGAGGAACCACGGTTTGGATCCTCACTGTTTGAAGAGGAGGTGAGGTGAGGTGAGGTGAGGTGAGGGAGAGCAGAGGAATCTGTGGAATAACCAAACCATAACACACTGTCTTTAACTCAATAGAAAACATTTTATAGTTTATATAAATCTACAGTATCTCTTTGAGTCACTGTGTCTCCATGGCCTCGCCCCAAAGTACATCTGAGACATATTAGTGACATATGAACCAACTCTGAGGAGCACAGGGACTGGTCTCCTGCTGGGACTCTGAGGAGCACAGGTACTGGTCTCCTGCTGGGACTCTGAGGAGCACAGGGACTGGTCTCCTGCTGGACTCTGAGGAGCACAGGTACTGGTCTCCTGCTGGGACTCTGAGGAGCACAGGGACTGGTCTCCTGCTGGACTCTGAGGAGCACAGGTACTGGTCTCCTGCTGGGACTCTGAGGAGCAAAGGGACTGGTCTCCTGCTGGGACTCTGAGGAGCACAGGGACTGGTCTCCTGCTGGGACTCTGAGGAGCACAGGGACTGGTCTCCTGCTGGGACTCTGAGGAGCACAGGGACTGGTCTCCTGCTGGGACTCTGAGGGAGCACACAGGGACTGTCCTCCTGCTGGGACTCTGAGGAGCACAGGGACTGGTCTCCTGCTGGGACTAAGGAGCACAGGGACTGGTCTTCTGCTGGGACTCTGAGGAGCACAGGGACTGGTCTCCTGCTGGGACTCTGAGGAGCACAGAGACTGGTCTCCTGCTGGGACTCTGAGGAGCACAGGTACTGGTCTCCTGCTGGGACTCTGAGGAGCACAGGGACTGGTCTCCTGCTGGGACTCTGAGGAGCACAGGGACTGGTCTCCTGCTGGGACTCTGAGGAGCACAGGGACTGGCCTCCTGCTGGGACTCTGAGGAGCACAGGGACTGGCCTCCTGCTGGGACTCTGAGGGAGCACACAGGGACTGGCCTCCTGCTGGGACTCTGAGGAGCACAGGGACTGGCCTCCTGCTGGGACTCTGAGGAGCACAGGGACTGGTCTCCTGCTGGGACTAAGGAGCACAGGGACTGGTCTCCTGCTGGGACTCTGAGGAGCACAGGGACTGGTCTCCTGCTGGGACTCTGAGGGAGCACACAGGGACTGGCCTCCTGCTGGGACTCTGAGGAGCACCAGGAGAGTGGCCCCTCCCACCACCACCAACCACACACACACACACACACCAGACTCATTCTAATGTGGGAGAAGTGTCTTGCCTAAGGGCAAGACACTTGCCTAAGGGCACAACCCCCCCCCCCCCCCCCCCCCCCCTCCGCTGCCTGTGCCCCCCCTCTCACATGCACGGCCCATGTTCAGGCGTGTAGAGTTTCCTGGAGCATGTTTCTGCAGCAAATCACACGTGAACATGTCTCTGTCCATGTGGTGTTGGACTTCACTGTGTTCGTATTTAGGCTGTCAGCAGCAGGGGTCAGGAGCGAAGGGGCCCTCAACTGTAACTGTTCATCTATAAAAGACCTGCTGCTCCTCAACAACCTTTGAACACATTAACAGAGTTTCTCACACCTCTTTGTTCTCACAGATACGTGAATTCAGAAGCCAGTATTAAATAAGTACTGTTGTTCTCTGTATGTTATTATAGGGATAGACAGATAGATTGATAGACAGACAGCCAGATAGATAGAGAGGTAGGTAGATCATATGTTTACTGTATGGAGAGAGAAAGAGAGAGAGAGAAAGAGATTGAGACAGAGAGAGACATTAATACTACAGATAGACAGAGAGAGAGAGAGAGAGACATTAATACTACAGATAGACAGAGAGAGAGAGATAGAGACAGGGAGAGACATTAATACTACAGATAGACAGCGAGAGAGAGAGAGAGACAGGGAGAGACATTAATACTACAGATAGACAGCGAGAGAGAGAGAGAGAGAGAGACATTGATAGACAGATAGATAGATAGATAGAGAGGGAGAGATTTAGATAGAGATAGTGATACACACTATCAAGAGAAAGAGACATTGATAGGTAGAGAGACAGAGGGAGAGAGAGAGATAGGCACTAATACTATTGATAGAGAGAGAGACAGAGAGAGACATTAATACTACGGATAGATCGAGAGAGAGAGAAAGAAACATTGCTAGACAGACAGATAGATAGATAGAGATAGAGGGAGATAAATACAGTAGATAGAGATTGATAGACAGAGAGAGAGACATTGATACTATAGATAGAGAGCTAGACAAAGACACATTGATAGACAGATACTGTAAATAGACAGAGAGATAGAGGGAGTGAAATAGATAGAGAGATTGATAGACAGCGAGAGAGACATTGAGAGAGAGAGAGAGAGAGATTACTCCATGACTCCATTGTCCCAAGTCAGTGTTGGTGATTTTACACATGTACAAAACAGCAGGAGCAGAAGGAGAAGAGGGAGCAGAGGGAGCAGAAGGAGCAGAGGGAGCAGAAGGAACAGAGAGAGCAGAGGGAGCAGAGGGAGCAGAGGGAGCAGAGAGAGCAGAAGGAGCAGAGGGAGCAGTGATAGCAGAGGGAGGAGAGGGAGCAGAGAGAGAGCAGAAGGAGCAGAGGGAGCAGAGGGAGCAGTGAGAGCAGAGGGAGGAGAGGGAGCAGAGAGAGCAGAAGGAGCAGAGGGAGCAGTGAGAGCAGAGGGAGGAGAGGGAGCAGAGAGAGCAGAAGGAGCAGAGGGAGCAGAGGGAGCAGTGAGAGCAGAGGGAGGAGAGGGAGCAGAGAGAGCAGAGGGAGGAGAGAGAGCAGAGGGAGAAGAGGGAGCAGAGAGAGCAGGGGACTCCTCCTGATGGACCCGCTGAGGGGAGCAGACAGCCCACCACACGACCTGCTTATAAAGAAGTCTGTCCAAACTGTTTTTATCCATGGACCACGCTCCCGCACCTCAGCACGCCAGCCCGAAACTGACTGCACTGGATATTATATTTATGATTATATGAGTATTACTGTAAATCTATGGGAATAAATGTGAATATGTGTTTATGTTATGTTTAAATATCTATAAAACAAGTGGAAGTTCATTGTTAAGTAGAGTAATCTTTGTCCTGGATCTACAGCCTCAGTCCTGAATCTACAGCCTCAGTCCTGGGTCTACAGCCTCAGTCCTGGGTCTACAGCCTCAGTCCTGGGTCTACAGCCTCAGTCCTGGGTCTACAGCCTCAGTCCTGGATCTACAGCCTCAGTCCTGGATCTACAGCCTCAGTCTTGGATCTACAGCCTCAGTCCTGGATCTACAGCCTCAGTCCTGGATCTACAGCCTCAGTCCTGGGTCTACAGTCTCAGTCCTGGATCTACAGCCTCAGTCCTGGATCTACAGCCTCAGTCCTGGGTCTACAGTCTCAGTCCTGGATCTACAGCCTCAGTCCTGGATCTACAGCCTCAGTCCTGGGTCTACAGCCTCAGTCCTGGGTCTACAGCCTCAGTCCTGGATCCACAGCCTCAGTCCTGGATCCACAGCCTCAGTCCTGGGTCTACATCCTCAGTCCTGGATCTACAGCCTCAGTCCTGGGTCTACAGTCTCAGTCCTGGATCTACAGCCTCAGTCCTGGATCTACAGCCTCAGTCCTGGGTCTACAGTCTCAGTCCTGGATCTACAGCCTCAGTCCTGGATCTACAGCCTCAGTCCTGGGTCTACAGCCTCAGTCCTGGGTCTACAGCCTCAGTCCTGGGTCTACAACCTCAGTCCTGGATCTACAGCCTCAGTCCTGGATCCACAGCCTCAGTCCTGGGTCTACAGCCTCAGTCCTGGATCTACAGCCTCAGTCCTGGGTCTACAGTCTCAGTCCTGGATCTACAGCCTCAGTCCGGGATCTACAGCCTCAGTCCTGGGTCTACAACCTCAGTCCTGGATCTACAGTCTCAGTCCTGGGTCTACAGTCTCAGTCCTGGATCTATATTCTCAGTCCTGGGTCTACAGCCTCAGTCCTGGGTCTACAGTCTCAGTCCTGGATCTATATTCTCAGTCCTGGGTCTACAGTCTCAGTCTTGGGTCTACAGCCTCAGTCCTGGGTCTACAACCTTAGTCCTGGATCTCCAGCCTCAGTCCACACTGCTCATATCTGAATTCTGAACATGTCTTTGGGTGACCTTGGTCTGTAAAATACACTGTACACACTGTAAATAAAGATAACTTACTTTTACTGCACACTTTACTGCAGTAAACTGGACCAAGCAGGGTCGAGCACCAACGAGATCCATTGAAGGCCATGGTTTGGATCAGGTCCCAATTTGGGGTCTGGGTTAAAGTGTCTTCCTTATGCACGCAACACACACTACTGTAAACGGGAAGGAGCCTACTGTAAAACTGTACTGTGAAGAGAAGAGAACCTTTATTCATCTTTAACCGGTTCAGTTCTAGCACTTTGAAGGCGCCGCTTTAAACCTCTCCAACAAAGTGCTGCCGCCGCCACCTCTTTTCCACCGGTTTGTCACATGTGCTAATGTTGGCAGCGTTTGGAGCAGAGGAACTCGACACCTCGGAGCTGTCGGTGCAGCCGCAGACATCTGATCCACGGACAGCGCGTCCCGGGACCTGGCAGCGCGAGTGGAAAGGCAGCGTGCCGTGGCCCCCGCCGTCACATGACAGATGCCACAGAGCGTTTACTACAGAGTGCTGCTGTCAGACTGTACAATGAGAACTGCTGAGGATGTACATTCATAGCATTATAAATATTCAACAATATTTTAATACTACAAAATAAATAGTACATACATTTCAATAAAAAGGCTGCTGTTATTACTTAAATAATAATGGTTTCTCTGGTCTCTCTCTCTGGTCTCTCTCTGGTCTCTCTCTGGTCTCACTCCGGTCTCTCTCTGGTCTCTCTCTGGTCTCTCTCTGGTCTCTTTCAGGTTTCTCTCTGGTCTCTCTCTGGTCTCACTCTGGTCTCACTCTGGTCTCTCTCTGGTCTCTCTCTGGTCTCTCTCTGGTCTCTTTCAGGTTTCTCTCTGGTCTCTCTCTCTGTTCTCTCTCTGGTCTCTCTCTGGTCTCTCTCCGGTCTCTCTCTGATCTCTCTCTGGTCTCTCTCTGGTCTCTCTCAGGTCTCTCTCTGAGGTTTCTCTCTGGTCTCTCTCCGGTCTCTCTCTGGTCTCTCTCTGGTCTCTCTCTGTTCTCTCTCTGGTCTCTCTCAGGTCTTCCTCTGGTCTCTCTCAGGTCTCCCTCTGGTCCCTCTCCGCTCACCACACGACCTGCTTATAAAGAAGCCTGTCCAAACTGTTTTTATCCATGGACCAGCCTCAGTCCTGGGTCTACAGCCTCAGTCCTGGGTCTACAGCCTCAGTCCTGGGTCTACAGCAACTTGGTCAAAACTGTTTTGTACGACATACAGTACATGTAGTTAGTTAGTCTGAGCCAAGGACAGAGAGAGGACTTCACAGAGATCCAGGTGTCTCCGTTTTCAGGCCTGGAGGGTCTGTGGAAATGGCTCAGTTCATAGGGATAGATAGGGAAAAATAGGAGCCATAGATAGAGAGATGCCAAACAAAAACCATTTAAAAAGCTTGATCATATTTGTCACGTTCATTTTAATTACAACACATACACTTTTTTTAAGAAGAGAAACCAACAGCCCAAAGCACACATTAAATACTTTACAGTCAAAGGTTCTTGCACATTCACAATAATCCTGTTCCATCTCCGTGAAGCTGTCATCTCTCCACAGAAGTGCTGTAGCTGCTCGTTCAGATGTTCACGACTTTTAGACAAAATATATCATAAAAAACATCCTAAAAAATGTCAAGTTGAATTCAAAACTGTTCAAACATTGTGTAAAAGAAAGAGACAAAACTGGTTCAAAAGAGCAAAAAGTGTGAGAAAAGGCCAAAAACTAGATTTGAATAATCAGAAGATATTTAATGTTTTTCATGGATCCAAATCCTTCCTCAGTCCAGTAGTGTTTTATAAATTAGTCAAGTTTCCTAAAGCGGCCCTCTCTATTTTATAAAACGGACGATGATTCGACGGAATGAGATTTCCGGAAGTTTGTTACAGATTTTCAGATCCACATTTGATTAACAGATTCTTATTATGGGTTATGTGAAACCAGACCAGATTTATAAATTGACGGAAACCATCACGTCTGATACACATTTTTCAAGGGTCATTTATTATTTTATTTTTTTATGATTCATTTTTAAATCAAGTCATTTCCTGATGTTGTGTTAATGTTAATCGGCTGCTGTTTCAGACCGAGGACCTTTCATTTTCTATGTCACCGTCACAGAATGATCCAATCAGAGGCTGCTTGAAATGTCGCTAAAAACGTATTTGTGAATTTTTCCTTTTGACTTTATCCACACTCTCTCTTTGATCTCTCTCTGAGTTTTTGAGTTATAACCTTTTAAAGTCCAGATACTTTGACACTTTACTCACGGGGCAGTTATGTAACGATACAAACGATAATATCAGAAGAGACGATTCTGTGATTATCGATATATTTGTCAACGATAAATCACAGAATTACACCATATCTCCTCCACACTGCTCTCGAATCAAAAACAACTTCATGCTTTGTTTTTGACCATTTCTGAAGCGTCCGTGGATCCATCGGGGACGTAAGTAATTCATTAAAGCGCCTTTCCCAGAGTCACACAAAGATGGGAGCGAGGGTCTTTTAGTGTTAGGAGAGACCGGAGCACCTGGAGGGAACCTACACAGACACGGGGGGAACATGCAAACCCCACAAAGAAAAGCTCGGAGGTGGAATCGAACCTTCTTGCTGTGAGGTACGAGCACTAACCCGCCATCTCGCTACAGTCACTCTCCCGCCATGCGCCCCCTAGAGGACACCGTGGAAACAACTTGGCGAGAGATGATGGAAAGCGGTGTATTTCGTGTTCTAGAAAAGTTCATCAAATTAAAATATCTCGAGAAATAATATTGCAACTTATTCCCACTTTCATGTTCGGGCTTCCCCCAATGTCAGGGATTTTATTTAGCTTTTAACCTTTTTGATGTATTTATTTATGTATTTATGTATTTCAGATTATTTTGCTTTGTTTTGTTGTTTTTTCTATTTTATTTTGCAGCACTTTGAGGTTTCCTGGAAATGTAAGGTGCACTATAAATAAAACGTATTATTATTATGATTATTATTATTATTAAACACATTCATAAGGGTTTGTTTGGGGCCAAAAAAACTGCTACCATGAATTAAAGGCTTTCACTTTTATCTTCCAGCTCAGAAAGTAAACAATAAAAACATTTAGAGTCTGGACACCGGCTCATCCTTTCACCAGTTCATGTGTTTGTGTCCTTATCGAATGAGGAACTTCTTCTTCTTCTGCTGTTGCGGCTGCGGCGGCGTGTAAGGCACAGGTTCAAAGGCACTTAGGACACATTCCAGAGAAATGGTGATCACTGGGAAATGTGCAGCTTTGGTTTTGTTCGTAAACTTTGGTCCAAAATGAAGTCTTGCTGCAGTCGTGTCTGAGACGTTTCCAGTTGAACCGTTGTTGATGATGTCGATTTATGAGTTTTCTTTGTCTCTCAAGCGCTTTAAAGCTCCTGCACCCGCTTTTCACAATCCATTTATTCAGCAAAATGTGTAAAAGTCGCTCTTGGAGAAACCAGGGGAAAACAGATTGTGTTTCTTTTCGTCTGTATTTGCTGCGAAACGGCAGAAATGGCTCTTTGGAACGTCATAAACTCGATGCGGTGAATAATGTGAGGAATGCGTCAGAAAGTGAGGAATTACTCTGGACTCCAAATGTTAAAGAACTAATTCTACACATTTCACTTTTGTTCTGGAGTCAGAGGACGGAGCAGGAGGTGTCTGCACTGTCTGCTGCTCGGGAACGGATCGAGCGGAAGAAAATGGATGAACTGACGACACATTCATGGACCTGGGAACCTTTAGCGAGCTCTGGTTTCTCATTGGACCGTTCAGAGAGGGAACCCTTCCGGGTCATGGTAGCTACAGTATCTTATGGCAGACATTCTTACTTCAGCATTAGTTTAAGCAAATGACTAAAACGGTCTGGGATTATGGCACGAGGAAATTTGGGAATGTTTGTGTGTTAGGTTGAGTTAAAAAATATTAGTCTGTTTTTACTACTAACAGGGAATTTCCACAGTAGGCGTTAACAGCGCGTAAGCGTTGACTGCTGTCCCTGTGTAGTCTATGGAGCAGTGTAGAGGACAGTACAGAGACTGATGCTGTCCCTGTGTAGTCTGTGGAGCAGTGTAGAGGACAGTACAGAGACTGATGCTGTCCCTGTGTAGTCTGTGGAGCAGTGTAGAGGACAGTACAGAGACTGATGTAGAGCAACACAAACCACATGTGTTTGTCTTCATGGTCTCTGTACGACAGACTTTAAAACCTGCTGCTCCTCCTGCTGATGTTTAGATACACGTGTGTGTGTGTGTGTGTGTGTGTGTGTGTGTGTGTGTGTGTGTGTGTGTGTGTGTGTGTGTGTGTGTGTGTAGATACGATCTAAAGCCAAGGGTCACTATAAAAATCATGTTTCACATGTGTTTTCAATGGAGACGCGTTGCAGCGCACAAAATTAGAAATCCATCCTAAATTAGGCGCAGCCTCACATCATACGTCCATCATACGTCCGTCATACGTGTGTCATACGTCCGTCATACGTGTGTCATACGTCCGTCATACGTCCGTCATACGTCCGTCATACGTCCGTCATACGTGTGTCATACGTCCGTCATACGTCCGCCATACCTCCGTCATACGTCCGTCATACGTCCGTCATACGTCCGTCATACGTCCGTCATACGTCCGTCATACATCGTCATACGTGTGTTATACGTCCGCCATACCTCCGTCATATGTCCGTCATACGTCCGCCATACCTCCGTCATACGTCCGTCATACGTGTGTCATACGTGTGTCATACGTCCGTCATACGTCCGTCATACGTGTGTCATACCTCCGTCATACGTGTGTCATACCTCCGTCATACGCACGTATAACACTAGTGTAAATATCACCATTGGTTTACATGTAAACATGTTACGTGCGTCTGCTGCACGTATAACGCGTACGTGCTGTAACGCCTCCTGTGGACATTAGCAGTAAGACAGTGACTTTTGTGGACATGTATCAACATTTATGCACATTGGTCCATAAATGTTGGACCAATGTTGGACCAATGTTGAGTTGTCTGCTAATTTAGCCTCAGCTTGAAATCAAAAACACAGATTTATTTTTGTTGTTGATTTTATAAATTGGAAATACATTCAGGCGTCAAGGGGTTAAGGCAGTAAATGGGTGCAGGGCCTTCAAAGCGCTCTCTGAGGAGTGGAGAAAAGTGGCATTATCTTTGCTGATTATTGCTGATTGCTGTTGATTATTGTTGTTGATAGGTTTTTAGCCGATCAGAAACTTCACATTAAGTACGTTTCACCCCCAGGCGTCCGTGTGGTTTCAGAAAGGCAGCGTGTCCAGAAAGATCTTGTCGACGATGGGCGGGGGAGGCACCAGGTCTTCCAGCCGCAGGTAGAAGATCCGCTGCAGGCCCTGGGTGCACAGTGTCCGCAGCTCGGGCAGCTTCCCCAGGAGGCGGGACAGGGAGTTGGGCTGAGAGTCGCTCATGTGGTCCCTGAGGCTGGACAGGAGCTGGTTCTGGAAGTCCTCCACTCGCTTGGGCTCCTTCAGGCCGTGGCGGTCTGTGCACAGAGGGATGTTGTGTTAGAAAAATAATAATAATAATAATAATGATGCATTGGTTTTTATATAACCCTGATGCTGATCCCATGATGCTTTGCGCCAGATACTAACAAGGACGAGTGTGTGGTTCTGATGCACGCGCAGAGAAGGGGCATGACAGCGTTCTGACCAATCAGAGCGGAGCTAAGAAAATGAGCAGAGTTTGTTGCACTAAAGTAAGCGTGGATTTGAAGAAAACCGATGGATTTAAAAGACAAAAAGTTTCGAACCACAAGATCTGACCTTTATGAAAGCTGTAGGTTCTCTGTCAGGTCCTCTGTCAGGTTCTCTGTCAGGTTCTCTTTCAGGTTCTCTGTCAGGTTCTCTGTCAGGTTCTCTGTCAGGTTCTCTGTCAGCTGAGGTTCGAGCTGTTTGGGTTTACATTGAGATCTATGGGACATTTTTCTGAGTAACTCTCGTGAATTTAGTCTGCAGTACCACAGCGCCCCCTGTGCCCATGAGTGGGACTGCTATAAGCTAGTAATACCCTATCCAGTTATTATTATAGATCCAAGCCTCTCTCTCCTCCTCTGTGGCCTCTCTCTCCTCACCCTTAGCCTCTCGCTTCTCACCCGTAGCCTCTCTCCTCACCTGTGATGATGACGAGCGCGCAGAGGCAGGAGAACATGGCCACGTCCAGCTTCATCCGGTGCAGACTCTGGGAGAAGTCCAGGATGGAGTCGATCCAGTCGCCGAAGCTCCTCACACACTGCAGCCTGTGTAGCACCACGCCGCTGCAGAACACCAGCTTCTGCTGCTCCGGCTCAGACCTGCAAATCCATTCACTTCAATTTCTGTTTGTAAATCCTAACACAAAGTCATGAATGGCTGGTGGTGGTCAGACCAGAGCAGATCAAGCGTTTCTCCTGCGGGGATCAATACATATATTTATCTATCAATGCAGGAGGGTCTGTTGGACAATTAGTGTATAACAAGAAGGACTGTGGTGATGATCCAGGACACTCTAAAATTCTACAACATGTATGACATTTATCAACATTCATGAACTTTGATCTCTCCCTATGGACCAATGCATATGTGTATTTTGTTGATTCTCTGATGGTGGTGATTTAAATGGTTTTGTTAAGTCTCTGAGATGATACTGTTGTGATTTAGGGCTATACAAGAATACATTGTATTGTATTGTGTATTGTATCTATCTATCTAACTATCTATCTATGTATCTATTTATCTATCTATCCATCCAACTATCTATCATATAGTGTGGTTGTGATGGAGCGGGCACAAACCTGTAGGCCAGTCTGAGGATGAAGAGCTCGACGAAGGCCGACTCTAGCAGCAGCTGTTGATCTTCGGAGCAGAACTCAGAGAATCCAGGCACATTTTCCGCCCACGCTTTGATCACGTCCAGCGCTCCGCTCAGCAGGCCGTAAAACTGCTCTATGTCTCCGGCGTCCTCCTTCCCCACCGCCTTCTCCGCCGCCTCCTGGTACTGAGAGCACACGCATGAAGAGGTCAGTGGACATGACTTTTTTATGCCTGTTTATGTAGTTTATTTCTATTTTGACTGCTCTCTTTAATTGAATGTCACTCTGCAACCAACTTTCTGTGAACTGTTGTATTAAATATAGACTAAAAGGCGATGTGAATTAGATTGACCTGAAATTGAACTCTGTCTGTTTCCAAGCAAAAAGAAAGACCTTGTATTGCTCTACTCCCCTGGTCCCATTTTGTCCAAAGTGCATGGGTGAGTTAATGATAGTTAATCTGGGGGGATTCTGCTAATCCTTTCAAGTTGTGAAAGAAGGAGATGGAGCCCAGAATCTGGAGGAGAAGCCTTGAGAGCCTTCTGCCTTATCTCAAAGGAACTAATAAATCTATAGGTTGGGGAGGGGGAGTGTGTGAATGATTCTGTTTAGGTCTGGAGGAGACCTGATGGAGGCCGGACCCGGGACCGAGAGCTGACTGATACGACACGCCCCCTTCTTCATGCACATTTACTTATAATAACCTCATGCTTGTGTTAGTCTAGACCGGACCAGGGACAGTGTGTGATTTTGGTGTGGAGCGCCCACCAAAGTCATACTTTTATATTTTATATAGAGAATAAGGGATAGTTACTTTTGGTCCGAACAGCTGTTTTAGATTCTTTTTGTATTAGGGAAATAAACCTTTTTGAATTTAACTTTCTGAATCATGGTCATCTTTATAAGGGATTTTGAACACGTCATTTTTTAATACGTTAATTGGTGACCCCGACGTGATCCCTTTGATGACTTTCAGCCTCCCCTTGGACTCTACATCTCTCCTCAAAGCGGCCGCTGAACTGAAGGTAAGCAGATACCTTTTGACTAATTAAAAATCTGCATATTGGACTAACCAAATCGAGGGGAGAGGAGTTTTGTCCACGGAGGAGCTAATTCAAAAAGTAAAAATAGTAAAAGCCTAAAAAGTAGTGAGAGCCTTGCGAAAATACGTTAAAATTAAATAAAATAGGAGTCTATCTAGAACCCTGCGAGAATACATTAAAAGTAAAGATTTTTTGAGAAGCCTTGCCAGAAACAGGAAAGCCCGCTGTGACTAGCGTGGTTGACGGACGCGTCAACACACAAGTTAGGTTTTCACCATTGGAACCTGGGGGAATTTTGGGCCCCCCCGAAAAATGGAGACAGGCATTCCAATCGAGCAGCTCTATAAAGAGATAGAGGCTCAGATTCTGAGTGGTCTGGATAAAGAACATAGGAACAAGGCAAAACGAAAGGCTGTGAAAGCATGGGAAAAAATACAGAACAAAAGGGTCATACCTGAGTATATGACAGCGTCCGCATTAGCTAAGATTTTGCGGGAAGAGGAAAATAATTTAAAACAGGATAAACTAGACCTTGAGGGAAAGCAGGGAAAGAGTTGGAATGAGTGTAGGAAAATTAAGAAGGAACTAAAAAAGGCTGAGAAACTGAGGACCAAGGTACATAATTTTGCTTTGGCTGCCACGGCGTTGGCAAAATTACCGATGGTAAGTAAAGACAAGGAAACAGAAAACGGAGCAATGCCGTTACAGTCAAAGCTCCTTCTCTCCCTGGTCCTGGTTCTGAGGAAGTGCTAGTTACCATAGCAATGCATAGAGTTCGGTTTTTGCTGTATTTCACTAATATTTTCCAGTTTTAGCATTTAATAATAATGACTAAAAGTTAACCCCCTGTAAAATACTTACTTTGAATGAAACTTTTGGAGAATTAACTTTTTATGGGATTTTTCAGGATTCTATTGATTTGAATGAGTTGAGTTTTAGTAGTTTGAAATAGGAGAGAGTTCTGGTGTTAAGACCTTAAGTAGATTCAGGGAGTGTGATGTGCACCTGGGAGAAGTCGAGTTTGTCTGCGCTGGGGTTGGACCGGACGTGGTTCTGGACCAGAGACGAGATTATGTTGAGGGACCCAGAGCTGGACGACGGCTCCAGAGTTTTGGGTTTTGAGGGTAAGCGCCCACGCCGACCCTTCAGGCTGTCTGTGCGGACCACTGCGAGACACAAGGAACAGGACAGGGTCAGGAAGAAGGATGAGCAGCTCCTCTCCTCCTACTGCGTATGTCCTGTAGTCTGTTCATTGCTATTCACACACTGTTTCATTAACTGTTTCATGGCCACACGATGGGACCTCCGAACCCGGCCTCTTTGATCTACAAATGTGACCTGGGTCTACAGCCTTAGCCCTGGATCCACAGCCTCAGTCCTGAATCTACAGCCTCAGTCCTGGGTCTACAGCCTCAGTCCTGGGTCTACAGCCTCAGTCCTGGGTCTACAGCCTCAGTCCTGGATCCACAGCCTCAGTCCTGGATCCACAGCCTCAGTCCTGGATCCACAGCCTCAGTGATGTCAGTATTTTACCTTGTGTGTGTGTTCAGCTGTTTCTTGCTGAAGTGACAGTCAGAACGGTTTATCTGCCTCAAGGTTCTTCAGTTTCAAAGGGCTGTCACTGCGGAGCCATCTTTCCATTTCTAACCCTGCACTCGCTCTGGTCCCTGAAAGCTTGAAGACTGTAACATACTGGATTACATTACCTTCTTTGACCATGCCCACGGCCAGACATTTCTGGAATCTGCAGAACTGGCAGCGGTTCCTCCTCCTCTTGTCCACAGGGCAGTCCTTATTAGCCAGACACACGTACTTAGCGTTCTTCTGCACTGTTCTCTGTGAAGACACAAGAAGAAGCAAATAACATCAGCCATGGCCAGGCCCTTCAGAAGTCTTTAACCTGCAGGGGGCGCCACACGCTACATTTACATTACAACATGCATTAAACACAATGTATTGTTACCTCGGAGAACTTTACAAAGCTGTAGATTCGCCAACACAGATCAGAGAATCAAAAAGTTCAATCACAGTCCTGCATCGACAAAGAACGACTCAGGGAGGCACAATGAGAGAGGGATCTGCTCCCACCGACAGCTGTGGATCCAGGACTGAGGCTGTAGACCCAGGACTGAGGCTGTAGACCCAGGACTGAGGCTGTAGACCCAGGACTGAGGCTGTAGACCCAGGACTGAGGCTGTAGATCCAGGACTGAGGCTGTAGACCCAGGACTGAGGCTGTAGACCCAGGACTGAGGCTGTAGACCCAGGACTGAGGCTGTAGATCCAGGACTGAGAATGTAGACCCAGGACTGAGGCTGTAGACCCAGGACTAAGGCTGTAGATCCAGGACTGAGGCTGTAGACCCAGGACTGAGGCTGTAGACCCAGGACTGAGGCTGTAGACCCAGGACTGAGGCTGTAGATCCAGGACTGAGGCTGTAGACCCAGGACTGAGGCTGTAGATCCAGGACTGAGGCTGTAGACCCAGGACTGAGGCTGTAGACCCAGGACTGAGGCTGTAGATCCAGGACTGAGGCTGTAGATCCAGGACTGAGGCTGTAGACCCAGGACTGAGGCTGTAGACCCAGGACTGAGGCTGTAGATCCAGGTTCTCATGTTTGGAGGCGAACACAGACGTTTACCTTGAAGAAGCCCTTGCAGCCCTCGCAGGTGCGGACGCCGTAGTGCTGACACGAGGCGTTGTCTCCGCACACGGCGCAGCGGCCTTCGCTCCCGCCGTGACTCTGGACCTTCACCTCCGCCGGCCTGGGACTGACACAGCAACAAGAGCCAATCAGGGAGCTGCATCTTTAAAGATCAGTGTCTAACCATCCATAGGAGTCTGACATACATCGATATGGTGATGTATCGTGATACTTTCTCACACAATCGATTATCAATATGAGTATCTATTTTTTAGTTTTTTTGTATTGACAGTTGATATATGGCTCCATTACGCATTGTACGATTTCTGTAGAATGTTCATATTGATTTCATTGGATGTAAAACAGATTAAGTAAGATTATTACTAAAATGTGCAGGTTAAAGGGCATTCTGGCTTTATTCATTTATCTTAAAATAAAGTGTATTTTTCACTTAAAATATGTCATAAATATAAGAAAAATATTATCGTAGGTATATTTTTGACCAATATATTGATAATCGCTGCATCGTCATATTGTAAGATAATTGTTATCGTGAGCTTTGTATCGCACATAGTATCGTATCGTGAGGTTCCCGCCCCTAACCATCATTCAAATCCAATTCACAAACTCTTCATCACTCATGGCACTGTCACTTTATGGTTCCGTCACTTTATGGTACCGTCACTTTATGGTTTTGTCGCTTTATGGTTTTGTCACTTTATGGTACCGTCACTTTATGGTTCCGTCACTTTATGGTACCGTCACTTTATGGTACTGTCACTTTATGGTTCCGTCACTTTATGGTACCGTCACTTTATGGTTTTGTCGCTTTATGGTTTTGTCACTTTATGGTACCGTCACTTTATGGTACCGTCACTTTATGGTACCGTCACTTTATGGTACCGTCACTTTATGGTACCGTCACTTTATGGTACCGTCACTTTATGGTACCGTCCCTTTATGGTACCGTCACGTTATGGTACTGTCACTTTATGGTACCGTCACTTTATGGTACTGTCACTTTATGGTACCGTCACTTTATGGTACTGTCACTTTATGGTACCGTCACTTTATGGTTCCGTCACTTTATGGTACTGTCACTTTATGGTACCGTCACTTTATGGTTCCGTCACTTCATGGTACCATCACGTTATAGGACCGTCACGTTATGGTTCCATCACTTTATGGTACCGTCACTTTATGGTACCGTCACGTTATAGGACCGTCACGTTATGGTACCGTCACTTTATGGTACCTTCACTTTATGGTACCATCACTTTATGATACCATCACTTCATGGTTCCGTCACTTTATGGTACCGTCACTTCATGGTACCATCACTTCATGGTATTGTCACTTTATGGTACTGTCTCTTTATGGAACCGTCACTTTATGGTACTGTCTCTTTATGGTACTGTCTCTTTATGGTACCATCATTTTATGGAACCGTCACTTTATGGTACCGTCACTTTATGGTACGGTCACTGTATGGTACCGTTTCTTTATGGTACCATCACTTCATGGTATTGTCACTTTACGGGACCGTCAATTTATAGTACCGTCACTTCATGGTATTGTCACTTTATGGGACCGTCAATTTATAGTACCGTCACTTCATGGTACCATCACTTCATGGTTCATATTTCCAAGCCCCGGCGATCCAAGATGGCGCCGTATTCAAATGAATGGTTGCCATGGATCTATTTTAATAACTGGATAGGGTGTTACTAGCTTGGAGCTGGAGAACTCATATGCTCGGGGGATTCTCTCGGTACTGCAGACTAAACCAGACTAAACCAGACTAAATTCACATGGGCTACACAGAGATCTTCCCCATAGAACTCAATGTGAATTAAAACAGCTCGACCTCAGCTGACAGAGAACCTGACAGAGAACCTGACAGAGAACCTACAGCTTTCATAAAGATCGGATTTTGTGTGGATTTTAGTGTCCCTTGTCATCCTGAACTTTTTTTCTTCTTAAATCCTTCGGTTTTCGTTAAATCCACACTTTACTGCCACAAACTCTGCTCCTCTGGCTCTCGCTCTGATGAACTGCTCTGATTGGTCAGGAATCGCAACGCATCATGGGAGATCATCCACTGCGCAGAACTGGGAGGACCAGACGATGCCCAAATACAGGCGAGTTTCCCATAGATCTTTGCGAGTTCCAGACTGAGTTCCGCTAATCTTTCAGCGACCGTGTGTTATGGCCAGATTCCCGGCACAAGATATTCTAATCATTTAGGTCGATACATGCGTCTTGTTTCCCAGCGTCTGAAACTGCTTCCCATCACTGTTTGAAACATTAACACAAAGGCTGCTTGTCCACGGTTCTCTTTCCCATAACCTTCGCCACCACCTGCATGGGCCTATCTAAAATGTTCTTACAGCGTGTTCCTTCTTATCAAATTCGAAGGTCCTTTCGGTGCGCTTAATGTATCTCCCAAACTTTCCCGTCTGCAGCTGCGTATGACTCATCTGTCTTGTGACGAATATCCATTGTTCTGTCTGACACACCTCCAGTATAAGATCATAAGACATGTTTGTTGGGGAGAACAGACAGACGCGGCATCGCTCCAGGTCCCGTTTCTGTTTGACTCCTTTCTGCGCAGAAATGTCATTTTTGTACTCATCACTTCTGTGAATAAACTGCACAAAGGACAAGTTTGTTTCCTCTCGGTTTCATTCATTTGAGGCAATAGAATTTCCATAACAATTTGGTGTCAGAAGTGGTCTCGAAGGCTTGACCGTTGAAACGCAGGGGTCCGGATTCGGGGGACTGATCGCCCGGGATTCAAAACCAATCTCGCCGCTTTCCCATATCTCTGGACGGGCGGACTGACCGGACGTGCTGAGTTTCAACCGTCGCCTCTCGGGATTTTCACACGAAAACAAACGGTAACTTGTTTAATATTTGACTTTCTATGCTTCAGTGGTGAATCCGAGAGGCACTTGTGGGTGCAGTGTGCGTGCATGTTTGGCTTCCAGCTGGTGACGGTGCTGATCATTCTAATCCAGGCTGTTGGAAATAAATCCTAAGTTAGAGTCTTAGGCTGAAGTTCAAGTCCTCAGTTGTGAGTCAGGTTAGAGTCCTGTCTGAAATCTAAGTTCAAGTCTTAGTCTGGGGTTCAAGTCCTCAGTTGTGAGTCAGGTTAGAGTCCTGTCTGAAATCTAAGTTCAAGTCTTAGTCTGGGGTTCAAGTCCTCAGTTGTGTATCAGGTTAGAGTCCTGTCTGAAATCTAAGTTCAAGTCTTAGTCTGGGGTTCGAGTCCTCAGTTGATACTAGATCTGAGTTTGAAGTCTCAGATTCCAGCCATGTGGCTTAGAAGAAAAGGCACAGAGTCACCAGTTTGGAGCTCTCCATGCATGACTTTTATGAGTAAGAAACATGGGGATGATTTTAGGACATGCGTTGAAATGTGGGTGGCTGAATTAGGTTTTCCCAAAACTGGGTCTTTCAGCATAAACCAGTTGGACAAAATCAAATCGCAATTGGAAGAAAGAGAAACTGTGTTAAAGAGAGGCAAAACTGTGCGTGTGAAAGATTTGAATTGTCTGGATGAGAACAAACGCTGGTTGAATGTATGGATGGCAGAGGCAAAGCTTAGGGACAGCAAACAGAAACAGTCTGACTCTATAGTATGTGTAGGATCTGCGACTGATTCTTCTCCATCTGCTTTTTTTTCGAGCATACCACCGATCCCACGTCAATACGACCGTAGGAACTCCAGAGATGATTGGAACCCGCTGTACCCCGCTCTCTCACCCCCGCCCCGGTATCAACAAGAAGCCGGACCAGCGGCACCAGCGGCACCACCAGCAGCAGCAGCAGCAGCAGCAGCGACGGCCCCCCTCTTTTCACCCGCTCTGGAGGCTTCTGCATCAGCCCCTCCCCTCCTGTCTGGAGCAGCACACAGACACACTCACACTGCTCCTGCTGCAATTCAAAGTGTGACTCACGATATGGACAGAATCTCTTTAAATGACAATGGCATGACGCTGAGAGATGGAAAGACTTTACAAGCACCTATGATAGAATACCCTGGCCCCGAGGGAACCCCCGTTCTTGTTCTGCGTCAAATGGATCAGGAGATGAAAGAATCTGTCAAAGACTGGCCTTCTCCTCACCGCGGAGGTGATTCGATGGCAGACGCATTTCTGGCCTTTTGCAAAGCATGGCGTCCTACGGGCGCTGAAGTTAAAAAGCTTCTCCTCCTGTATTTAAAACCGGAGGGCTTCGCCAAGATAGAGCCGGCGGTCCATCGACAGAATTATGAGACTTTGCGAGCTCTGCAGGCGGAATGGACAGAGGCGAATGCATGGGAGACATATGTGGCCAACATAGTGACAGCTCTCAAGCGTGCGTTCCCAGTGAAATTTGATATGGGAAAGATTAAAGACTGCTCTCAAAAGACAAGTGAGTCAGTTGTGGACTTTTATCATCGTCTTGAGGATGTGTGCGTTGCCCACTCTGGTAGTCAAAAGCCAGAGAATTACACTGCCGCAGCTGAGACCACATTCGAGGTGATCTTTAAGATGGCGTTCTGCGAGGGCCTTCCCCAACCGATCCAAGCCGCACTAAAACAGACTTTGGTGGGAGGTTGGCAGGATAATCGCATCCCGGAAATCCTCAGACACGCAAAGCATGCTGAAATAAAGAACACTGAGGAGAACGCTGTAAAAACTGGCGCGCAGGAGACGACACAACATCAAGCCAATCTCACATTGATCAAAATGACAGGGAGACAATTCCGTCGTGGAGGTCGTGGAGGTAGAGGACGGAGAAGAGGTGGCAACGGACATTTCGAGAACGATCGTGTCCATGACGACCAGGACAAATGTTTCAACTGTGGTGAAATTGGACATTGGAATCGTGACTGTCCCCAGCCACGCCGAGATGCGGGACGCTGGAGTGGACGTGGACGGGGTGCGAGACCGGAGGACCAGCAGAGATTTTCTTCAGATTGATGTCTTGTTGACGTGGGATCCGAGAAAGCAACTATACAGATGAGTAATGCACACACTCTTACACACAACACACTAACTGCTAACTGCAATGAAGACGCGCTTGCCACTGATTCACTGCTTGGCTTAATTGAGGATAGAATTAGGGAGTTAGAGGACGGTCACAGGGCCAAAACAGGGACCTACTTAGCTTATGAAAATGAAGCTTACAGGAAAATGCCAACTATTGTTTGTGAAATTGAGGGTAAACCGATCACTTTTTTAGTAGACTCTGGTGCAACCCACAGTGTGATTCAGACAAAGGAGCTCTCAATCAAATTAAGTGGCAGAAGTGTTTTTTCCACAAGTGCGAGTGGACAAACGGTACCGGAATCTTTTTCTGTTCCGATCAAATGCACTTGGGCAAACGAGCGTAACCCAGCAACAGCAAAACATTCATTTTTGATGTCTGACCTTTGTCCTGTAAACTTGTTAGGCCGTGATTTAATGATAAAATGGGAAGTTGTGATCACATCGACAGCAGAAGGCCTTAAAATAGACAGAGGTGCGTGCGCAACTAATTTTGTCAAAATAAACACAAATTGTCCTATGTCTGTATATCAGTGGTGGTTTCACACCGCCAGCGCCAGTTATTTGATGGAGACTACATCTCCATTTCTTAATCCAAAATCTGAT